TTTGGGGAGTCACCGATACATCACCGTCCTCCCCGGACCACGAGACAAGTCCCGTAGGTCAAAGTAGAGGACGCCTTCATCGGCAACTCGGACCTGGGTTTTGAGCCCAAGTCCAGGTGAACACCTCACCTGCGTCATTGTCAGTGCGCCACGCTAGTGGTCGGGGAATATGTTCTAACCTCTAATACTTATCTCTCGATTACTCCAAGACAACTGAAAAAGAAGTGCATGAGGCCGGCTTTGAACTTGGGCGATGAGATCACTTAGAAGCGACAGATTCCCTGCGCCACAGCGGCCGATGAGGTAAGGTTCTAGCCTCTGATACTTATCTTTCGATTACTCCAAAACAACTGAAGAAAAAAGTGCATGGGTCTGGTATTGAACTCAAACGACAGGATTACTTCTTGGTCGTCTTACTGACTACGCCATATCGGATGACGAAAGAATAATTCGTAGTAGTTAAAGTTATTTTTCGTATACAAGTTCAGCTCATCGTGAGATGAATACCCGGGTTAAATCTCTGTGTTTGAGATGGTGCGGTGGCGCACTGGGTTAGGCGTAGAAGATTGCGCCGAAGACTAGAAGGTTCGAATCCCCCAAGCTACAGCTCTTCACGCAAGGCGCAAAGAGAGTGTGCCAGAGAACAGAGGCACAATCTAAAATATCGTTCGACTCGAAACATAAAATCCTCCCGGCTTTTTACTGTTGCTAATAATATTAAATATTTCACAAAAAGACCACCCGTTGCGTCCATCGCACTGACTCTGCAGGATCATTGGGGTTTGGGGAGTCACCGATACATCACCGTCCTCCCCGGACCACGAGACAAGTCCCGTAGGTCAAAGTAGAGGACGCCTTCATCGGCAACTCGGACCTGGGTTTTGAGCCCAAGTCCAGGTGAACACCTCACCTGCGTCATTGTCAGTGCGCCACGCTAGTGGTCGGGGAATATGTTCTAACCTCTAATACTTATCTCTCGATTACTCCAAGACAACTGAAAAAGAAGTATGGGCCGGCTTTGAACTCGGGCGATGAGATCACTTAGAAGCGACAGATTCCCTGCGCCACAGCGGCCGATGAAGGTAAGGTTCTAGCCTCTGATACTTTTCTTTCGATTACTCCAAAACAACTGAAGAAAAAAGTGCATGGGTCTGGTATTGAACTCAAACGACAGGATTACTTCTTGGTCGTCTTACTGACTACGCCATATCGGATGACGATGGAATAATTCGTAGTAGGTAAAGTTATTTTTCGTATACAAGTTCAGCTCATCGTGAGATGAATACCCGGGTTAAATCTCCGTGTTTGAGATGGTGCGGTGGCGCACTGGGTTAGGCGTAAGAAGATTGCGCCGAAGACTAGAAGGTTCGAATCCCCCAAGCTACAGCTCTTCACGCAAGGCGCAAAGAGAGTGTGCCAAGAGAACAGAGGCACAATCTAAAATATCGTTCGACTCGAAACATAAAATCCTCCCGGCTTTTTACTGTTGCTAATAATATTAAATATTTCACAAAAAGACCACCCGTTGCGTCCATCGCACTGACTCTGCAGGATCATTGGGGTTTGGGGAGTCACCGATACATCACCGTCCTCCCCGGACCACGAGACAAGTCCCGTAGGTCAAAGTAGAGGACGCCTTCATCGGCAACTCGGACCTGGGTTTTGAGCCCAAGTCCAGGTGAACACCTCACCTGCGTCATTGTCAGTGCGCCACGCTAGTGGTCGGGGAATATGTTCTAACCTCTAATACTTATCTCTCGATTACTCCAAGACAACTGAAAAAGAAGCGTATGGGGCCGGCTTTGAACTTGGGCGATGAGATCACTTAGAAGCGACAGATTCCCTGCGCCACAGCGGCCGATGAAGGTAAGGTTCTAGCCTCTGATACTTATCTTTCGATTACTCCAAAACAACTGAAGAAAAAAGTGCATGGGTCTGGTATTGAACTCAAACGACAGGATTACTTCTTGGTCGTCTTACTGACTACGCCATATCGGATGACGAAAGAATAATTCGTAGTAGTTAAAGTTATTTTTCGTATACAAGTTCAGCTCATCGTGAGATGAATACCCGGGTTAAATCTCTGTGTTTGAGATGGTGCGGTGGCGCACTGGGTTAGGCGTGAGAAGATTGCGCCGAAGACTAGAAGGTTCGAATCATCAAGCGATAGCTCTTCACGCAAGGCGCAAGGGAGTGCGCCAAGAGAACAGAGGCACAATCTAAAATATCGTTCGACTCGAAACATAAAATCCTCCCGGCTTTTTACTGTTGCTAATAATATTAAATATTTCACAAAAGACCACCCGTTGCGTCATCGCACTGACTCTGCAGGATCATTGGGGTTTGGGGAGTCACCGATACATCACCGTCCTCCCCGGGACCACGAGACAAGTCCGCGTAGGTCAAAGTAGAGGACGCCTTCATCGGCAACTCGGACCTGAGTTTTGAGCCCAAGTCCAGGTGAACACCTCACCTGCGTCATTGTCAGTGCGCCACGCTAGTGGTCGGGGAATATGTTCTAACCTCTAATACTTATCTCTCGATTACTCCAAGACAACTGAAAAAGAAGCGTATGGGGCCGGCTTTGAACTTGGGCGATGAGATCACTTAGAAGCGACAGATTCCCTGCGCCACAGCGGCCGATGAAGGTAAAGTTCTAGCCTCTGATACTTATCTTTCGATTACTCCAAAACAACTGAAGAAAAAAGTGCATGGGTCTGGTATTGAACTCGAACGACAGGATTACTTCTTGGTCGTCTTACTGACTACGCCATATCGGATGACGAAAGAATAATTCGTAGTAGTTAAAGTTATTTTTCGTATACAAGTTCAGCTCATCGTGAGATGAATACCCGGGTTAAATCTCTGTGTTTGAGATGGTGCGGTGGCGCACTGGGTTAGGCGTGAGAGGATTGCGCCGAAGACTAGAAGGTTCGAATCCATCAAGCGATAGCTCTTCACGCAAGGCGCATAGGGAGTGCGCCAAGAGAACAGAGGCACAATGTAAAATATCGTTCGGCTCGAAACATAAAATCCTCCCGGCTTTTTACTGTTGCTAATAATATTAAATATTTCACAAAAAGGCCACCCGTTACGTCCATCGCACTGACTCTGCAGGATCATTGGGGTTTGGGGAGTCACATTTGAATGGCGACTACCCCGAGTTCCGTACATCGCCGTCTCTCTCCCGGACCGCGAGACAAGTCCCGTAGGTCAAAGTAGAGGACGCCTTCATCGGCAACTCGGACCTGGGTTTTGAGCCCAAGTCCAGGTGAACACTTCACCTGCGTCATTGTCAGTGCGCCACGCTAGTGGTCGGGGAATATGTTCTAACCTCTAATACTTATCTCTCGATTATTCCAAGACAACTGAAAAAGAAGCGTATGGGGCCGGCGTTGAACTCGGGCGACGAGATTACTCGGAAGCGACAGATTCCCTGCGCTACAGCGGTCGACGAAGATAGTGTTCTAACCTCTGATACTTATCTTTCGATTACTCCAAAACAACTGAGGAAAAGAGTGCATGGGTCTGGTATCGAACTCGAACGACAGGATTACTTCTTGGTCGTCTTACTGACTACGCCAGATCGGAAGACGAGAATCTTCGTCTTTGTCCTTGTACTTGTTTTAAGAATTTCAACTTTGTATGTTATAGCTTCGTGTGCTATTTCAATTGGCTCAGAGTTATCCAATGAGAAAATTTCAAAGTCATGTGACATGCCAGACTTCTAGAATCCATTTTCAAAATTATCTGGCAACGATCGTTTTTCAAGAAATCTTGCGCATGGCAAGTAGATGGCCGGTAATCTACTGCGCATGTTGCGAAATTTTAAATTGGCCAATCAAATCTCGGTATTTTCTTGCGCATGGCAAGTAGATGGCTGGTGATCTACTGCGCAGGTTGAGAAATATTCAATCAGCCAATCAAATCTCGTTTTTTTTGCGCATGGCAAGTAGAACTTCCGGTTAGGATGTCTGTCTGCGCATGGCAGCAACATGGCAGATGCCATTCTGCGCAGATCACGTGATCAGGTATTCGAGATATGATTGGCTGTCAGTTTGGCAGGTTTTATTTGGTCATTATTATGTCCGTAAGATATTTATGTTTTGTTCTCATAATGGCGGCAGTATTATGCTCAACTTCCTAATTGGAACTAATTGCTGAAATGGACTTTATTTCTTTTACAATGATAGTTGTTCTCCTAGCTTCAAGCTCCCTTGTGTTCACCATGCTTCCTTATACGCGAACATTGAAACATCTACTCGCAGATTGTTTTCTAGCTTTACAACGACCAAAAACTTACACTCAAAACCTCGATTCCTACATCCTTAACTGAACGCCTAGTAATTATTACTCTCTGCAAAAACCCGCAACAGATACCTCTACACATTACAAATAACAATAATTATCGTTCCTAGTATCCACGGCAACAAATTAACCGATAATTATGAATATACTGACAACGAATCTAAAAATAGTTTCGTCATGAAATATTGGAAATTCTAGGGCTTTCTTTTATTGCATTTCGACGCCAGCCGTAACAAATTGAATAATTCCCTACGATTATTAGCGCTGTGACTTATTCACCTGTTTTACATGAATTTTTTCGTCATGAGAATTGTCTGGAAATAATTGAGCAGGAGCAAAATCCCACTTTTTTGAAACGAATGTTTCTAAGATAAAGAAGAGAAAGACGATTTTAACGAGTGATGTGAAATATGTGTGCACTTTTTCAAGGTGATTATCGAGAAAGAATTGTTCAATCTATGCTTATAATTTCAACTGTCAATAATAATAACTTGGAAGTGTGACTTTGTTAATATGAAGCTTTGCATAACTCAAAAATAATCACTTTTCTTAGAAATAAGCACATCTTCACTTAATATGATGCAGGCTAGAAATAAGCACAAATCTTGAAACAAGCATGATATGATAACTCGGCCTATAGCCCTCAATTTAACCATGGACCCAGGTCATCTTATCAGACACAAACAAAAGCATATGTTGATATTTTCTTATTTTTCACTCATTTATACAAAACGTTGTGATGTCACAATAATACATTGCAGATTTAATTATGATGTAACAACAAACACTAATCTCAGTACAAAGATTTTTACAAAAATGACATTTTCAAAGAAATCTATTTTTTTTTGCTCAAAAATTCCGCATAATCTTAGCATGCTGTGTGGCAACATTTAAAAAGCACTATAATTCTATAAAAAGATGACATTTTTTTAAATACTCATTGAAAATACTTTTTAGTATGTATCGGGCATTAATCAGGGATTGGGATGGGATCAAAGGTCAAAATATTTTCTTGGAAACAAAATGGCAACACTGACAAGGTCGAGATGGATATTTTAGACACTAATTGAACTCGAAATTGGGTCTTTTCAGCAGTGATTCTCAAACGGTGTGGCGCACCGCTTAATTTTTTGAGGGGGCAATAAGCTGATTAAAAATATTTGCTGAATTTTGCTTGTTTTGAAAACTTTTATTTATTCTATTATTACATTCCATCAAGTAATTTCGACTTTTTTGAATAAAACATACTTTCGTTTACTATCTGTTATTTGTAGCTTATCGTTAGCTAGCCGGCGAGGCGCTAGATTAGACAAATTCTCAAAAAAGGGGCGTGGCTCAAACAGTTTGAGGAAGGTATTACTTGGCTAATTCATTACCTGGGTAAGATATTGGACACAGGGTTAAATTTAAAACTTTATTTAACCGGGAAACTGAACGTAGCTGAGTCCAATACACATTTATTATCGGGTCATCTAATTCCCACAAATATATATAGTTCGAATTTCCAGTAAATATAATAAATAAATAAACAGACACATTACATTAGTACAATAGATACATGATTGTGGGTAATTACGACAAAAAAATATTTTTCAAAACTGGACGAAGACAAAATCAACGCAGAGAGTTAGATTATTGGTGAAAATAATGTTAAAACAAAGAAAAACTATACAGCAGTGGTTGCCAACCGGGGGCCTGTGGCCCTCCAAATGGGCCACAGAGCAGTTAGAAGGGGCCACCATGCCAGGAGAAAACTGATTTTACTTTTCCCTTTCTTCCTAGTTTCATTTCCTGACAAGGTTATGTTATTCCAAAGGATTTCTCACTTTGTTGAGCATGAATTGTTTGAACATAATGGGATTTGGAATCTACCAATCAAAATAACACTATAAATACCACTGGAAAGATAAACAGGGGGGCCATGAGTACTAAAATCCTCTCAAGGGGGCCACGAGGCGTAAAAGGTTGGGAACCACTGCTATACAGCCATTATACGGCACATTGGAAAGCCCCCTCCCTATCATGAATATTTTACATGAATAGGCAATAAATTTCTATATCAAAAGCCAGCGCAAATATTCTTTACACTTTTTCAAAAACCAACATCTTTTTCTGACGCTAAATGTTTGATGCATTGCCACAATTTCAATTATTTCACATTCTATATTTCAAAGTTTTTTAACAGTTTGAGATTTCAATACTCTGAATGGCAACTAATTTAATTTCTTATGAATTTATCACTGTAGTGTTGAACTTTGAACTTCTCAAAATTTATAAAACTCACTACAAAGCGTAGACTAAAAAATTGGTATCAAAAAGCAGAAATAGTTCTCGGAAAAATTGTAGACTAACGGAACTCACAAAACTATGACAGAAAAAACAATATTTAATTACGACGAGATTCTCAAAAATTGGAAGAAAGTTTAGTTACAATATAGTGCATTGTAGTCATTTTGTTTATTTGTGATTCAACAATAGTTTTTGTTTTATCACAATATTTGTTTTGTGACATCACAAACCAACATTAATTGATTCTCTGCCAATAGTACTGCACAAAATAGCGTGACATCATACTGCTTGATTGTTACATCACATTGGTTGATTATGACATCATAAGTGCTGATTATGACACAATTAAACATTACTTGTCTTCTTCATCATCCGTTTCAGCTTCCCGAAGCCAGGCTAACCATTTATTCACCTGAAAATAGAAATTAAAAGATTGAATGTTTAATCAAAATGAAGCTTTCAACCAGAAGTGGGAGGATTGAACAAAATTGTGTGACATAGGTAACAGTATTAAGGCACCAACCTCACACAGTATGGCATGTGTTGAAAAGTTAAGCACCAAACTGAAACAAACCATGACATATAATAGAAAAGCAAGTCAACAACCTGACACACACCATGCCACAAACCATGGTATATGCCACCAAACTGAAACAAACCATGTCATACACCTGACGAACCATGACATATGTCAAATACAAGGCATCGATCAGACACACCATGGCATACATCTAAAAACTGAAATGTTCCAAAAAACAAGACAATAAAAAGACGAAAACCATGGCATATGTCAAATAAAACAGGGCACCAACTCAAGGAAACTGATGGTACCTGCCAAAAAACTAGGCACTGACGGGCCCAAACAGAAATAAACTAAGACATATGTTTGAAAAAAATGAAGCACCTCAAACAACGTGGCATATACCACAAATACAAGACACCAACCTCACATAACAAGACATACGTCACATATACAAGGCACCAACCTGAAACAATGCCTTCCCCTTTCCACAATACTGTTCATTGACATCCTCCTTCCACACATAGTAAGTCTCCTCATCAACAACATCTTCTTCATACAAACCATTGAACAATCGGAGCAGAAGACCTTAAATCACAAGAAAAGGTTTCAGTTGAAGTAGGGATACCATATTTTCGTGACCCCAAAGCGGGACGCCTCCAAAGACCATAGCTGTGATTCATCTTTGAATTTACATAAGAGGCCTAAATTTAAAACTATCCCGGCTGTCTTCATCGACCATATTGTCATCGTGAGTTCATGAGTTCAGGACTTCCCAAACTGAGCACAGATTAACTCCTCTGGGGGAAACAAGCAAATGCCATCACTGGGGCTTTTACTTTCGCTTTCATATAATAGTTGGGGCCACTAAGTGCTATGAATTTTTGGGGGACAAAACATGAAAATTGTCCAGCATAAGAAGACAAATTGAGGGTAACTCTTTGAACAAGGCTGAGGGGAAACATGTGACAGAAAATCACAAGAAGATGTTTTAGTTTACATTACTTAGTTCTGAACAAACAGTAACTAATATGCAAGATTTAATTCAAATCAAATTCTCTCCAGCCGATTTAGATATATCCCTCGCTTCGCCCTATTTAAATATCTTTATTTCTCCATCACAATGCGCTCACTTTTCCGGGTCCGTGAATCGATATTCTAGGGGTCACAAGCAAGAGCACAGGCAAAAGACCTTGCAAAGTTATATAAAAAAGTCTCATACCTTTCGGAAACTCTTTGTTACAGCAGAAGACTTGAGCAGCATACAAAGCATGCAATTGTAACTTAGGCTTGTCGTGAAGAAATTTTTGCAAAACTGGTTTTATTTCGACCATTAGTTGGCGCTCTTTCTCTTTAATTTCCCTCAATGGATTCTGTGTTCGTTCCACGCCCTCTGCCAGACTGCTATGCTTGGTGATATGATCAAGAGAGCTAAAATAAGTAAAATCATTATTTATTGCTCTGTCTTCAAGACCCAAATGTGAAGAGTTCGCAGAAAGTTCTGGAAAACGCCTGGTAATAAAATTGTTACTACATTGGCACATCTATCAGTTCATCTTGGGAGTAATGGCAGGGCAAAGAGGAATCCGAAAAATTCAAGTTCTTCTAAAAAAAAACAGAAAAACAGAACAGGCTCGACGGTGTTGCACATCGTGCCAAGAGTTAGAAATACGCTCGTCCCATACCCTCGCTCTTATGTGAACCAAGATGGCGGACACCGGAACATACTATTTGTACCAGATTATGGTTAGGCAATAATTTAATTCCAATTTTCCTTATTTTAGTTCTATTACGAGTTCGGGGCTAGCCAAGTGTCTCCCGTAGTGTTTGTAACTGAAATCATGGCCTAACCCTAACCTGGTACACAAACTACGGGAGTACTCGCCACAGCACCCCTGATCATCCTCGCATAGGTACGCAACCCATATGAGAATAGTTGTGTGCGATACTATTTCTGGACTCCTCGCCGACGTAGGATAAAAACGTAGGAAATACCTACCATGAAACAAGAACATTGATGAACCCAGGGTCAGTGTAGAGGTCAAGGGTCACATTTTCTTTGATCCATTTGTAGATAGAGGAAGGGTTTGGATTCTCTGCAATCTGATTGGATAGTTTGGATTCAATATGGACCAATGGGAATAGGAATTGCAGTTGTTTTCCTTCTAGGATTGTAATCATTGCTGATTTTGTCTGGGAGGCTTCTGAAAAGGGAAAAATAACCAAAATAATGGTAAGAAAATGGAAGAGTACAGATAATTATATTATATGAGCATTATGACACTTAGGTCAGGGTTTCCCAAACTTTTTTGGGCCCTGGAACCCCCTATTCGTAAATCTTGGTTTTTACGGACGCCCATCCTCTGTCGTATCAAATTCTGTGCCTAACCAACGAGGAAGGATGATGTTTCATTTACTTTACAACAAGATGCAATGGCTATTTTTGATTGAAATCAATTATTTATTAAAGATCGATCAGACTCTTTTCATATCGTTGCAGACTTTCTGTGCAGTCATCACGGACTCCCAAAGAACTCCAGTTAACCTTGGTAACAGCTTGACAGTTGGCACATCATTCCAAGAATTTAAATCTCATAGGGGATAGGAGAAGACTTCTGGACATCCAACACAGAATGGTTTAGGTTACCTCTGGTCAGATACTGTCCCATCCACAATAATGGACCGACTTGCCCACTATTCAGCGCTCCAGAAGTGTGTGTACCAATATGGCGGTAACTAATTTTGTTCGCCTACTTAACATCAAGTTGTGTGAAGGGACTGAAGCCTATGGGCAGGTGGTATATTCACTTGGATAACACAGACAGTCCCCGAACTCATAATAGGACTAAAATAAGGAAAATCGAAATAAAATTATGGCCTAACCCTAACCTGGTACATATTCTATGTGAGTACCCTGAATATTACATGTAACCTCTGGCCAGTAACAGTCTCATACACAATTATGTGACCAACTTGCTAACTATTCCCCATATCCAAGGTAGACAGACTGGTGACAGAAAGGTCCACCACATAATTTACTGGTCTTCTCCTCTTTTCCTTCCACAAGGTAAATATTTAAATTTCATCATAAACTGAAAACCCAAATAACATACCTAATATGACCAACTTGCTAACTATTCCCTATATGCAAGGTAGACAGACTTGTGACAGAAAGGTCTACCACATAATTTACTAGTCTTCTCCTCTTTTCCTTCCACAAGGTAAATATTTAAATTTCATCATAAACTGAAAACCCAAATAACATACCTGGAAGCATTTCAATCATTTTGATTTTACTTTCTTGAAACTCATGAGTGATCCAATCTTCAACCTTGACCTTTGACATTTGTTGAAGGGTCAGCAGGAAGAGAGGAAAATGGTAGCCTCCGACCAGCATCTCTCCAAGATCAGACAAGGCTAAAAGCTCGAATAGTACTACTTTTGAGAGTAGGTTCCCCATTGAGGATTTAATCAGGGGGATTTCAGACTCGAGATCTGAGAGTTTCTCCAATGTTGTCTGCATACCCTGCGTTGAAAAAATGTTTAAATTGGAGTATTTAGGGGGCGCTTTCACTCAGAACAAGGCTCCAAAAAAGCACTAACAGTTTTTGATGAGCCAGTCTAATATATTATCTATGACTATGACGTTACAATGTCCTAACAGCTAGCTTGTGCGAGGCAAATAATGCATGTCAGTCTATCAATCCATGGCCGTGTATAAGAACAGTTGCTTGTTTCAGATCAATAGACTTGATGATAATGAAAGAAGCTTTATTTGTGGTGATAACAGATAGAGGTAAGATCGGAACCCAAAAATTCCAGTCCGAAGCAAACCCGAAATTTCATATTTTATTTAGGAGTTTTAGTATATATTTTTTATAAACATATATTTATTTAAAAAAAAAGTCAGCGATAGAGAAGCCCGACCCGAACGCAATGATTGACATTTCGGGTCTGGTTGGGCTCGGGCTTCAGATCTTAGCTCTAATAACTTGACTCACACTAGTCCATGACTCCAACTCATCTCAACAAGAAAACATTAAATAAGAAGCAACAAACCTGCAAGACAAGCTCCTTAGTAAAGATTTTCATCTCGATAAGATAGAGCAATAATTTGCATATTCTGTCCTTATCATGGTCTGATTTGTTTAGTGATTTTATCAGTAGTTTACTGATAAAGACTGGGATGAGTCTGTAGAAAATAAGATTAGGCAATGCAATGAAAGAGAAGATTTATGGCAAATTCTATAATAATACAAAATTTTGATAATCTCGGTGAGATGTTGCGCATCAGGTGTTCCATGGTCATATGCTTACTACGCTAACTTACGACACCGGGCTAACGATAGAACCTGCTATTGTATATTGCAAGTACAGGTAATCAAACCAATCTGGATTTTTGTAACAGAGATATTATAATCTTGATTGCAATGTGATCATAGGTTAGTCTAACTCTCTTAACTAAAATCCTACTTTCTCTGCAGCTTCAATTCATTCACAATTTTCCCAATCTGATCTTTATTTTTGATTTTCGCAAAATATTTCTCCGCTGTATCGTCAGAGATTTTCTCCACCTCAGATTTACTCATGGAAGATTTTTTTGGTTTTGTTTTTTCAGCGACCACTGGATTCTTTTTGCTAAGTGGTACCTAGAAATGTATAGAATAAGGATTAGCTGAAACGAGGACAGTGTTAGTAGCTAGTGCTACAGCCTCATATGGATAGGTCAGAGGTGGGCAAGTTACAGCCCACCAAAGGGTTTCATCCTGCCCTATTGTGCCTGCTGAAATTATGACTATAGTTTTTATGGATATGCCTTTCGTATTTAGAAACATCTTTCATTGTTCGGAGGAATATTTACACGAAAAGGATGGAATTTACATATTTATCCCGGGGGAGAGGAAAGTCGATAAAACGACATAACCATATGGCGAACCGCGGCCTCTTGTCCGGTTACCATTCCATGTCGGGTATGGGATTAGTTAGTTATTTGTTTTCATAAGCATGGACTTGATGGTGGAGAGAGCCGAAAGCGACCAGTGGTTACGTGAACCACCCTTCGGTGACGAGAAGTCCAGCAATCCTCTCGCACATAACCATCCCCGTATGAGATTCGAACGTGCGAACCCACGCAGAATAATCAGAGGTGCGGTGGAGAGCGAATTCCTAACGCTTAACACAATGAGCCACACTGTTGCGCCAAAGACGTTTTATAACCTAAAATATTTGTATCTAAGGTCTTTCGTTAGTGGAGGTCTGACTGGACTTCAATATCAGTGACTACTTGTTCAGGAACATGATGGGAGAAAAAGACGTTAATAAGTGTCTTTTGAGAAACAAACATCCCACCTGCTGGCTAGCATTGTCAATAGCATGTTGGAACGGAGCCTGTATCGCGTCAATGTTGGTCTCATGTATAGTGGGAGAAGGATGGCGCTGGTTTTGTGTCGGGCGACGCTGAGAAGGGAGTCCAGCGTTCGAAGTTGGATGATTTCTGTAAAAGAATAAAGTTTTATAATTAATCGGGTGATTATGGGTGACTGTCGCTTTGGCAAGCTCTATTTCGTGATTGTGACCGTTGCAGTGACGTAATTTTTGGATGACATAGGTAGATAGGGGTCAGGAGTGATATATGCAAAAATCGTTACGCCACGCCCACTAGGAGTTATTGAGGTAAGAAACTACACGAGATCCAAGGGGAATTGGAAAACTTTTTTTATGTGATGACTAATTTTTTTATGACTAATGAGACAACATTTCGGGAATTATTCAGGACAGTAAATTATAATTATATAATTATATTATTATATATATATTATATATATATTATATAATTATATTATTATAATTATATAATTTATGCCCTTCCTGACGGTACCAACTTAAATAAACAAGGTGTCCTTAAAGTCCCTTCAATATATCAATTTTGTTATGAAGTTCTCAGTATATCGTAACCAGGTTTGTTGTTTTTAATCAGTAATTGTTTAAGTATTTTTACTTCATTTATTACATCTGTGAGAGCCAAAACAATATATGGTATCAAATAATTCCCTTTTTAATATTAAGACTTTATGGTCACCCTATATGTTAATTTTTTCGTATCTAAGAACATTGTATAAGAATATATTTAAAACAGTTAATTATTGATTACAGTTTCGGCTGGGTATTTTAAATCTAATAGTAAATTATTCAAATCGGTTTAGACAGGAATTTCAAATCACCGATATCTTGTTTTTTACTGTCCGCAGGTGTTTCTTATGTGTGTGAACACTTGGCAAATTATCTGTGTGATAGATTACGTGATTTCACTAATTCATGTGTCTGAATTCATCACAATAAAACAGTCAATACAGCTACATATTTTCCAAGTAGGGCTGGGCATTTTCGAATACCTGAAGATTTCAGAATCGAATCGAATATGTTTTTCGAATCGAATCTCAAATACTTGGAAGATATATAATTGTATGCGATTTTTTTATTATAAATAGTCCTTTCAACATATGAATTACTGAAAACGTAGAATACATCACTCGGACAGATTGCTGAGAGTTCACACACAATAAGAAACACGTTTTATCAATAACTCACTACAGAAAATAGTCATATGTCATAATTGCATTAAAAAAATAAGGCTCCGATGAAAAAAATTAGGAAAAGTATCTATTTATAACAAAATTTCATACCTTGGAGATTTGGCTACTGCTTGTACCGGTGTCTTCAAGCCTTTACTTACTGCCCCAAGTGGGGTACCTTGGGTGAATTGGACGGTAGGTTGGGGGTAAGGTCTTGATTGTGGGGGCTCAGTTTGGCGATGTATAATTGGGGGTTCAGGATTACTGTTTAGAGCTGTGAACACTGGGGGTTTCCTGGGTCTAGTAGATGCGTTTCCGGTACCGTTGCGTTGAGAATGAATAGGCTTAGTACCAGTAGCTTGCTCTAAAATAGTAATAATATTATTTTAGTTGGTTATGTTTATTCTTCTAATCTACTACCAGTGGTGGTTCTTACATTAAAGGCTCTCAACACTTGTGTCTATATCAGCGGTTCTCAACCGGGGGCCCTCGGCCCATTAAGGGGGCCACAGAGGAGTTGGAGGGGGGCCACAAAGATGGGCTGAAATCTGAATTTACTTTTCACTTTAAAAGAAATTTCACAGTTTTTCCTAGTTTGCTGCTCAACAAGGTTATTTCGCAGGGTGTTTTCGCTCTCTTTTGTGCAAATTGTTTTAACATAATGGGATTTGGAATCTATCAATGAAAATAACCCTATTAATACCTCTGGAATATTGAAGTAGGGGCCATGAGTGCTAAAAGCCTCCGAAAGGGGGCCACGAGTCATAAAAGGTTGAGAACCACTGGTCTATATGTTCTTTTAAAAATATATCGTATTTGCTCGTTTTGTAGCCCGGGCCCATATTTTTTTTAATTAAACTCACTAACCGGGCCCTTATTCAAACTGGCCCTTATTCAAGCACGGGCGCTTGTTATTTTTAAAGTAAAATTATACACAAAATCTTCTTATTTTCCATTGTCCTCTACCACTGGAAAATCAGCTTTTACATCGGGCGGGTATTCAAGCACCGGCACTTTTTAATTTTTATGTTCTGTTCACACGGGCGGCTATTCAAACGGGCCCTTTTAAACAAGATCGGGCGGTAAAACGAGCATATACGGTACTTAGTTTTGCTTTTAACAGGTTACCATTAGTTATTTTACGTGCCACATTAAAAAATGAAAAATACAACAAACGAAGGAAAAAGAGTAAATGCATTCAAATTCAAACCGAAGAATTAAATCAATGTGGTTATAATGGATTGTATCATGTGAAGGTTTTCCATCATAGCCCATAGAGAACCATTTTATGGCCCCGTAAGGAGGACAAGAGCCGAAGTGTATGAAGTCGTGCCCAACAGTCCAGCCCTTCCTTACTTACCTGTATTTTGATTCTCAGCAGCTGCCATTTCCATTTTCTGTTGCTTTTGTTTCTGGAATCGAGGAGGGATCTCTTTGGCTGGTTCTGGAAAAGAAAGTATTTCATATTTATCTGAAGAAAATGCCGCTCCAGAAGTGTGTGTGTTCGCCTACTTTACATCAAGTTGTGTAAAGGGACTGAAACCTATGGGCAGGGGGTATAATCACTTGACTAACACAGACAGTCCCCGAACTTGTAATTGAACTAAAATAAAGAAAATCTAAATAAAATAAAGGCCTAATCCTAACCTAATTATGTGGAGAAAACAGCGCTCCTGAAGTATATGTACCACTATGAAGGTAACTTATTTTTTCCGCCTACTTTACATCAAGTTGTATAAAGGGACCCCGAACTCGTAAATTATGTTCTAACCCTAACCTGGTACACACACTACAGGAGTACCGAGAAAAGTATTATTCTACTTTTGTCGTGGGTTATAAACCTTGCTTCAACCAAACTTGGAAAGAACTGATTATTAAATTTGAGACTCTGGTTACCATATAACCAAATTTATTCCTGCAGAACTGAGCGTCAATAGACACTTCACAGCTGGTTAGTCATATTTTCAGTCACCTGAACTCATGACATCACAGGAAGTAAAAAAGAAACTTGACTATGACTGTGATTATGCTCAGCTATCTGGGGAAACACCAGTTGCCAGAAATACAAAATGAAAATATATTTGATAGCGCGACCTCGCTTCAAGCTAACTTGCGTTATAAAAACACAAAAAATTCCAACAAAAATATAATTGATAGCGAGACCTCGCTTCAAGCTAACTTGCGTTATAAAAACACAAAAAATTCCAACAAAAATATAATTGATAGCGAGACCTCGCTTCAAGCTAACTTGCGTTATAAAAACACAAAAAATTCCAACAAAAATATAATTGATAGCGAGACCTCGCTTCAAGCTAACTTGCGTTATAAAAACACAAAAAATTCCAACAAAAATATAATTGATAGCGAGACCTCGCTTCAAGCTAACTTGCGTTATAAAAACACAAAAAATTCCAACAAAAATATAATTGATAGCGAGACCTCGCTTCAAGCTAACTTGTGTTGTAAAAAAAAAACTAGGAATACTATCATTAAATTGTCACTCACTCTGGTCAGATTTGTGATTCCCTTGTTTCGCAGAGGAATCCCTTTGAGGCGGCTGAGAATCTTGAATACGCTGGGCAGGTTGGGGGCTATTGGGCTCCTGCATGGGGCTATGGTACCCAGGGCTCATTTGAGAAGGCCTAGGGGGCCGGTACATGGGGTTTGGAGCAGTTGGGTAACCATTGTACATATGTGGAGGTGGGGCAAACCTTGCCTGCTGGCCTGGGTAAATGGGTCTTGTCGGGGGTAAACTAGGGGTGGGTTTTGGGGCAGCCGGTCGAATTGGTTGAGGTTTGACTGGCCCAAAGAAATCGAAACCCTGTGAATTGCTTGTCTTGTCACTAGAGGTAGCATTGAGCACTGAAGGAGGTGAAGTACCTGAAAAGCCACCTAGAACGAAAAAATGGATTGTAAAAAAATTGAGTAATTTCAATATAATAAATTTGATTCATTACCATTAGTAATAAGATAAAACATGGTCAATATTGCCAATTTTTGGAACTAAAATTTCATATTTCAAAAATAAGGTGATACCTTTACACTTACTTCGTATTTTCGATATTAAATGTAGTCTTATCTATCCTCGCCTGGTGTTTCTGCCCTATTTACAATTCTGCACTTACCCAAACATTGCAGTTTCTGGCCCTTCGAGTCTTACTCAGTCCATTATTATTTTCGGTCATTTTTTGTTTATTTTGATAACGTATTTACAATCTCATGCCATCGTGCTCTACATTGGAGTTAATATTAGTAGGTTATATTGGAAGGAAGTATTTATTTGTGGGGATATCGTTAGCGATTTACGTATCAGTGGTATAAACCAGTCATGCATTTCAATAATCTGGTTTGGTGATTCCTGCGTTTTTTTTATTCATTATTTTTCTCACAGTCATCATATCAAACTTTTGGGACACTTGCTTTGCACGTAAATAACAGCATAATAATTTTTAACAGCTGGGGTTACTTGAAACTAATTACCTTTCTTGTTCTATGCCTATATGCTGGTGGATCAGCATGCGCATAGCGCAAGCATGCTGTAGCAGGAATAAACATGACCATATTATTCAATTCAAGAGTCCAGCTGCACACTACAACACAAATATATTTCTGTAATGTTTCGACTGAACAAAATGAGACTGCCTCAGATAAGCAGTTTACAACTGTGGCCAGAAACGTAATGCACATAAATTATGTTATCAAATGTTGGGTTTGTTTATGATAGAGAAAAATAAATAAGATCGGGACAATGCCAGGCAAGTTTGAATTACAATCAATAAACATCCCACAGTGTAGTGAGTGACAATTGAAAAGTAAATGAAACATTTCATGCTGTTATCCCTAAATCCATCCTTGGTTAAGTTCAGAAACGTTAAAGAAATACATCTGTGTTAGTGTGCAGCAAGACTCTTGAATTAAATATAATAATATTTATTTCATTTAACCTGGATATTGTGGTGACTGAGAAAAACGACTGCTTCCAGGATAATTCATCTGAAATCCCGAATTTGAACCGAATCCTGTAGTCGATGTCTGAAATCGTGGATTTCCACCTATTAAGAAATATCAATGCAAAAATGTCATTTAGGTATGTCAAAACTTTGGCACTATGAAAGTATGTGTACCAAGATGACGCACAACCTGAACCCTAACCTGGTACACATACTATGTTCAGGTTGTGCGCCATCTTGGTACACATACCTCGGGAGCGCCAAAACTTCTCCACTAACAGTAAAATATCAAACACGCTAGCATATAACCAGCATAAAAAAGAACAACATTCGAAGACGCTCTTTATGAGACAATGGGCATTGGGAAATTACGTAATGCAAAAGTATGCCAGAAGAATTAAATACTGCAAGACCTCTGTAAGTTTAGTAGTCTGTTTAGGACATATATTTTTTCTGTCAGCCTTTTGGAAATCTATAAATAAGACTTTCACCACTTTTGCGGTCTGTATAAAACTCGGGGGTGCTACTGACACATAATACCAGCTAAATTTCCATTAATAAAGATTGAATAAATAATTACGTTTTATGCGTAGTGAAAGAGGCATAAAGGGTTCCAGAATAGGCGTAGAAAGGAATTTATTTATATACCGTACCTAATTTTAGAAATGTACAAAGGAAAAATGGCATCAGATTTAACACAGCGACAAGGGCAAAAAAACAATGTCTTTTTACCCATGTGAGCGACTTTTTAAACAAAAGTGTAGGATTCAGATTTTATGCTTTACATGGAAAAATCGAAGTGTTGGTAAGGTGACACTGAATGGCTTGGTGGGCCCGGTTGTGGCAGTCTGTCTAAAGAGGGTACTCCTGTAGTATGTGTACCAAATTAGGGTCAGGCCATAACTTTTTTCTGATTTTTCTTATTTCAGTTCTTTTACGAGTTTGGGACTGTCTGTGTTAGCCAAGTGGATATACCCCGGGCCCATAGGTTTCAATCTAAAGAGTACATCAACATTGAGTTTGGAAACCCTTCATTAGGTGACTCAACTTACCAAATCCTTCACCGTTACTCTGATTATATATGGCTGATGGTGAGAGATATAGTTCTTCAATTTCCTTTCTGATCTGACGTAAAGGCCGAGGTCCAGTATCCCTTTGTGCCCGTCGTGGGAACCACTAGCGAAAGAATAAAAGTTAGATCAGCAGTTCTCAAACTTTTTAGGTCGCGCCCACTTTTTACAATTTGTCAAGTCTTGTGCCCAAGCTCAAATATAACTAGCTAACAATAAGCTACAAATACCAGATAGGGACCTCCTGAAGTATGCGCACCAAGATGGCGCACAACCAGGTTGTGTACCAGGTTATGGTTCAGGTTGTGCGACATCTTGGTGCGCATCATTTAGGAGTACCACAGATAGTAAGGCGAAAGTGTGTTTTAATCAAAAACACATTGAAAATTCGTGGATGGAACGTGAATATCCAAATTAAAGAAATTTAAATATCCAAAATAAGGCGAGAAGATCAAATCTAACTATTATTACTAATCGATTTTAATCAGTAAGTATGTTGATAGGTATTTGTCTGTCTGTCTGTTTGTTTGTCTGTTAGATGCACGCGATATCTCACGAAAGCGAGATTGAATCTGCTGCAGATTTTGCATGTGCATTCATCATATGTCGTACCAGAAGTCTATTGATTTTGGATGAATTATATCGTATAATTAGCGAGTTATTAATTAATTAGTGATGGGACACAAGGTGTCACTTTGAAGTAAGAGCACTGTTTTGGGGATCCCCTAACTTTCGATCGATAAGTCTTCGGTCTCTGACCGATATTCTCGTTTTTATTCTTAATTAGCTTCACAACTTCTCAAAAATTTTCCTACTTACATTATTCCCTCTTAGCTCAGCGACGTCCTGCAGTTTGAATCTTATTCTCGATGGAAGCTCTGTGTGTTTGCGACGCAGCACTTCCATACGTTCAAAATATTGATCCATTAGAGACTGAATTATGAAGTAAATAATGAGAAATTAAATGAATATACAACATTGATTTTCAGAAAATGTGAAAATTAATTGAATATTTCAACACATTTAGAAACGAAAATGATCAAAACGTATCAAATAATCTAATCAAGTCGTTAGTGTATGTGACAATACAATTCACCGCGGTACGTTACTATTGACAAAAATCTTATTGTATTCGATTGCTGTTACTGGCCGTAAAAGTTAAACTTAACTGTAACACTTCAATAACAGTTCAAAGCTGATGATTCATGTTTTAATGAATCAGCAATATTGCTTGTACAACTGCTGCTTAGTTAAATCATCAACTATTGTGATTCACAATTATAGGAAACTGACTCAAAGGCTGGTAATCTCATTTATAGGCTGAAACAGACAAGATCCAGCGAACAACATAAATTAGTTATGAGATATAAAATAAACCAAAGGCTAAAAATCAAAAGCGTTTAATAATATACAACAAATTACAAAGTTATTCAGGTAATGGAACTATCGAGAACAAAGTATTTTCTTTCGAAGGGAAAAGTATGCAAACAAAATATGGAGCTCCAGAAGTATGTGCACCAAGATGGCGCACAACCTGAACACAGTATGTGTGTACTGGTTAGGATTCAGGTTGTGCAACATCTTGCTGCGCATACTTCTGGAGCACCCAAAATATCATTAAGAATCAATTTGTCATATAGTATTGTGCCACCCCTACGACTGCTACTGGTCTATAATAAATATCATTACAATCATACAAAACAGTCTACTGCCTGAATACGATGCTCCCGTAGTATGTAAACCAAGATGGCGGACACCAGAACGTAGTATGTGTACCAGATTAGGGTTAGGCCATAATTTTATTCCAATTTTACTTATTTTAGTTCTATTGCGAATTTGGGGACTAGCCAAGTGACTCCTGTAGTATTTGTACTTGAAATTATAACCTAACCCTAACCTGGTACACATACTACGTTCCGCTGTCCGCCATCTTGGGTTACATACTACGGAAGTACCCTGAATACAAATAATATTTCTGTATGTCATATCCAAAAACAACAAATCCCAGCATGGATAGAAAACGCAGCACTAACCTTAGCCTTTGGATGGTCGAGTCTCTTCCCACAGGTTGTCATGATTTGACTGAGGCATTCCAAGTCTTCCGCCATGTCGTCCAACGTACCTTTCTTCTTTTTATTAATGAGTTGTTTAATGCATTTATGCATGATGCTCTCCTGGAGAATTCCGAGGCTGTAGAGTTCACCTAGTGGCGAAAAAAGTATGCTTGTATTAGCTGTCCTTGCAATTAAGGTTATAAAAAATTAGTGATCTCCTGAAGTATGTGCACCAAAATGTTGCACAACCTGAACATAGTAAGTGTACCAGGTTTGACTTATCAGGTTGTGCGCCGTCTTGGTGCACATACTTCAGGAGCGCCATCAATTAAATATTCAATAGTTTGGACTGCCAATCCATAAAAAAACATGAAATAATGAGTATGTTATCAATTATTTGATACATTAATTAATGAGGTTTTTTACAGACTACCTCAAAACGAAAATTGGTAAAATTTATTGCTTCTTACATATCAGAGTTCAAATAAGAGATTTTTATCAAAGTGAAATAATATGAATTCTGATAATTTATTTTCTAACCGATAAATTTGATATTCCCGAGCATGTGGTGTTTCGAAAGTAATCTTTGCTCCTCTTCGTCGGCATCGAGTGGCCCAACTTTCGAATCGAACGCCTCGAGTTTACAATTCCGATTCTCGAACTCATCTTGGAGTTTTGCGATCAACAAACGGCGGAAAGTCTGGAAAAAAAAATAATATTAGTAGACGTTGAACAAGTCCATTTATTTGTAACAAATAACTGGTCAACTGATCCCATATTGTACTTGTGTCAGGACAAGAGGCTGTGGTTGGTCATATGATTGCCACCTTATTACTTATCGATCTTAAGATCGGTAAGTATATTGATAGGTATTTGTCTGTATGTCTGTGTGTGTGTCTGTTAGATGCACGCGATATCTCACGAAAGCGAGATTGAATCTGCTCCAGATTTTGCATGTGCATTCATCTTATCTCGGACCAGAAGCCTATTGATTTTGGGCGAATTATGTCGTATAATTAGCGAGTTATCAATCAATTATTGATATAGTGATCTAGATTTTTGTAAAGCGAGAGAATTTTGAAACCCGCCGAGTGTGTGTGTGTGCGATGCGCAGTGCGCAAGTTACAAGAGCGGATGAATCGAAACTGCAGTTTCTGTTTTGGGGGATCCCCTAACTATCGATCGATAAGTCTTCGGTTTCCAACCGATATTCTCGTTGTCTTCCTTACTCAAAAAGTATATCCTGTATCAGCTACTGCTTGTAATTGTACAAAGTCTAAATGTCTACACCAGTGGTTCCCAAACTTTCTATGGCACATGGTCCCCTTATAATACCCCCCTGTTTATCATTCCAGTGTTGTTTTGATTGGTAGATTCCAAATCCCATTATGTTCAAACAATTCATGCTCAATAAAGTGAAAACACCCTGTGAAATAACCTTATCAAGCAATGAAACTAGAAAAAATCGGGGAGTTTTCTTGTAAAGTGAAAAGTAAAATCAGTTTTGCGTCGTGGTGGCCCCCATCCAACTGCTCTGTGACCCATTTAGGAGGCCAGGAGCCCCCAGTTGGAAACCACTGGTCTACATAGACACACTATTTGAAAAATCAAAAACATTGGTTAATTTCATTTGGCACTAGTCGGGCTTGTTCTACTATGAATGAACTTTTGCCACAAATTGTAAATTTGAAAGAGTAACAACTGTAGCTTAACAATACATGGTATCAATAAACTTCCTTTGCAATTTTAAAATTTTAGGACTTTATGGACATTCCATATCGCCTATCGCTTGCTTTTCAATAATTGTGTGTATTTCATAATGGAAAAAGACAAAACTAATTCATATGGTTTCCACATTTTTTGTAGTTTCCAGAAATAACATCAAGACCACTTGCTACTTACGTTAGGTCTTAGGGTTGATCCGTGTGGTGCTTTTATTGGTTGAGAAGGAGGAGGGTCAAAGTTCGGGGCCTCATGATAGAGACGATAACATAGGTTTGCATATAATGTGCTGTATCTCGGCTCGTCAATAGATTTGTCGAAAATCTGGAGAAAAATTTGCAAGTTATTTTTTTTTCAACCAGTAAAGAAAATGAAACGAGAAAATTATAATTACAGTTTTGCTCAGTCGCAGGGAACCAAAGCTGGTATTGCAACTAAAATAAAGCTCCTCAGAGAACAAAATGGCAATTAAGTTATTTGGTTCACAACTAATTTCCGGAATCACAACTGAAAACTGGCAAATATCACACAAAACAACGAAAACGAGGCAATGTTTACAACCATGATTGAATATCTTGTCTGAGCAAAGGAAGTGTATGAGAAGCCATCAATTCCAATTGTTATGTCATTATTGATATATCGCTGATTGGCCATTGTTACGGAAATAAACAAGGAAATCGATGCTTTGGAAAACATCCATTATCCGGTGATCGCTGAATTCCAATTATTCAAATATTTGATTTGTTATTGGCATTACTTGGAACAAAACAAGCCCCCCCCCCCCCCCCCCCAAAAAAAAAAAACACTTTAAAATCTTACCAAAATAACAATTCCTTTTAAAATAACTTTTGAAGTGATTCCAACATTGAGTAGACTGGTACTGAGAGTGCTGAAGTTTTCTGGTGTGAGTTTGTTCAGAATGCTGAAAATAAAGATAATGTCATACGTGAAAAGTTGCTTCAAAAAATAGGATTCAGTATATCTAATGCTAGGATAGGAATTGAACTTGAAGGTATGTTTAGACTAGAGGTTTGAATATCAGATTAATTATATTATATATCGCTATCAAACTTTTAAGCGGCCTTTTTAGAATTTGTCAACTCTCGTGTCCAATCTCAAAAATAACCAGTTAACAATAAGCTACAAATAACACATAGCAAAATGAAAGTGCGTTTTGAAAGTTGAAAATGTAAATAATAAAAAAACATAAATATACAAAATGGGGACAAGATCAAACCTAATAAATATTTATATTTTTCATTAGTTTCACACCCCCTGAAATATTGTCTACATACCCCCCTTGTAACGGGAAAAGCTGTACATATGTGAGCCATTCATTGATGAGGAGTCCAGCAGTATATTGCACTAAATATCCCCGCACAAGATTCAAATCTACAGATTCATCAGAGATGCAGTGGTAAGCATATCCCTAACACACATGCACAATTAAAAAACTGTTCGAAAACGACTCCCCCTTTTCAATGGTACTTAGGTCAGGAGAAAAGCAATTTTCCGCTCCAACAATAACAGTAATTTCTTGGAGCATCGACTTTATGTCGAAAACCTAATGGTCAGAGCACACCTTGAGCACAAAAACTAAAAATAGCACCCACCTTCTAACAGTTCTAAATATAATCTCTGTTCTGTCATGGCCTGATTTTCCTGCATCTCGTTGTAATTTACTCGAAGGAATCCATCTCTGCTGGCTGGAATGCAGACCAACTGTGGGGCTGGAAAAAATATAGAATAACATAAAAAATGGAACAATTATATGATGCGGATCAAATATCACTGAAACGTGATGGGATTTACATATTCGTATGGCGAACCATGGCCGGTTACCAGTCCATGTCAGGTATGGGATTAGTTAGCCAATTATATGTTTCCAGAAGCATGAACTTGATAGTGAAGGAAGAGTCCCCCATCAGATTCCAGCTTTTCCCCTTACCCCTCACTAATAGTAACCCACATTATTTTATTGGGTGAGCTAACACGTACTATTTCTTTTAACAATAACTTCCCATCTAAAATCTATAGGTTATAACTGAAAAAGGTCCCTCTTATCGTTACAGAGTCAAGAGTCGAAACATATGTGATGTATCTCACTGCAAATTTTTTTTAAAACGTATTACAGAAGAATTTTGATGAGGCACTGTGTTATGTGGTTGTATTATCGTGGTATATGTGATGTAATACCACTAGGTGAAGTTATAATACAGAAGAAAACATTACCAACCTGGAATTTCCTGCAGCCGATGATGGGCTGTTTCTACCTTCTTTTATCCGAGACGACGACAAGCCGACGTTGATTGTTGATTCTGCGTGTCCGTCCACTTTGTCCGACTCATTCAATGAATATGGAGGAAAAATCGTGAATGTAGGAAAAGAAAAAGAGGAAAGAAAGATTTTTGCTGAAAATAAAACAACAAAAAGTTAAATAATCGTCGATTCACATTTTTATATTGATTTTGGGAGAAAAAAAATTGACCTTTTGTATGTATGTTTATTCGTCTCATAAAAGCAATATAAAAGAATTATAAATACTGAAGACGGGATGTATGCACAAGACCATACTGGCCTAAAACACGAATGTGCGGCATACACCCCTTTTGATATGTAGCCTATAAATTATAATAAGGTAAATCAAATATGGTTATCCACTTATTCCGGTTATCCACCCAGTAATATTTCCCGACATGTTTCAAAATACCAAATAAGTTATCATCCAGGTAGGGCTTGGATTAGCGTTAGGAATGATTTGAAATTTGGATTTCCAGCGTAATCTGCATTTCTAACCCTAATTGGATAATGTGAGTATTATTATATTAGTGGGGGGAAGGGGAGTAGATAACTGGTAAAGGTCCGAAAATCAAATGTAATGACATGAGATAGATAGAAGTTTATTCATAATTCAGTCATTACTGCATTATTCAACAAATCAAACAAAAAACACAAATAATAACTCTAATTAAGTAAAATATACAACTAACAACGGAATTGATGAGGTCGAAAGGACTATGCCGTCAATAAACCAAAAAATATCGGGTCTCATGTATTTTCGTACCAAACATACTTATGGTGGGCGTAGCATGACAATTTTTTTCCCGTATCAATTCTAACCCCCACTTGACTACACCATTCAAAAATTACGTCAACACGACGTCACAGTGCGTAATAAAGCCCTTCAAACTATACAAACTGCCATCTAAGACGCGCAAACGAGCACCTGAAAACAGTTATTTCGCTCGTTTTCTGGTCGCAATGATTTCAATAGGAGAGAGACCGATAATGTCACTCAGTTATTTATCGTTGACGCCAATGCCATTTTGGGCGATTGTACATATATTTGGCAAGCTCTATGACGTGATTGTGATGTCGTAGTGACATAATTTTTGGATGGCGTAGTCAGATGGGGGTTAGGATTGACATATCAAAAAATTTTTATGCTACGCCCACTAGAACTACGTAGAAGGTACGAAACTACACGAGACCCAAAAAATCTCCCGGCATGAATAACATTTGGTATTACACCAATTATAAATCATGTCAATTTGTTGTAACTAACAATCAAGAATAATGTGATACTTATAAGACAAAATTTAAAGCAATGGCAGAATGGTAGCAAGAAAAGGCGTTTTCTATCCTTCAAACTGTCAAATAAAAACGCTTTAATTTTTGGATGGCGTAGTCAGATGGGGGTTAGAATTGACATATCAAAAAATTGTTATGCTACGCCCACTAGAAGTACGTTAGGTACGAAACTACATGAGTGGGGCCACTGTGACAACGGAATGACGTAATTTTTCGGTGACGTAGTCAGGTGGGGGTTAGGATTGACATATGCAAAAATTGTTGAGCCAGGCCAACTAGAAGTTGATGTGGTAATAAACTATACCAGACGCTGGGTTTTAATAAAACTGTAAAGCTCTAAGAAAATAAAAGGGGGTGGGTGACACACCCTCCCTTCTGCAATTACGCAACTTTACTACCGGTACGTCTGTTGTATTCCTATTACTGTATTAAGAGTTCTTTCACATTTAGAATCAACAAAACTAACACAAACACCCTTTAATTTTTGGTTAGTTTAGAGTTTAAGATATTACAGTATTAAATTATCAAAATTCTAAAAATTGATTTTCCTGTTTCCGTTATTCCTGTATATTTACTTCTGTACTTCAAAACTTAGCTACCAAACTATAATTGTAATAAATTGAATTTTCACATAAATTGGCATAAATATAACTAATTCAAACACCTACCTTTAGTCCAGTTTTGTCGGAAATAATAAGCAGAATACACAAAGAGAAAACAAATTTACAAAGCTAACGTTCAAGTGAAATTCAACGATCGATTCTTGAACTACTGATGCATGAAATAATGACGTCAATTGTCACGAGAATGGCTCTTTATCTTGACGACGCGCAGTTTTTATAGAAGAAAAAATCTCTTATGCTTGGTATTTTCTAAGTATGAAAGAACTGTGGAATTTTATCTTATATATTCGTTATTTATCGCGATATCCCGTTAAGTTATTCCCGTCGAGGTGAGATTTCACATCGGCTTTTTATTTTTTCAATGTCTTCTCTACTAACTTGTTTGAAACTAGCGACTAAATAATTTTCCTCGCCGTATCCCGTGGATATACGTAATTTACGGATGCAGGACATTATGATATTGATATTGTTTCATACCAGCATGTAATAAATCATCTTTTCGAATTCCATAACCGAGTTAATGTGGAATTCGTGGCCTAATTACCGTACTTGAATGAACTACGAACCTCAAAATCGCGATTTGGGCCAAAAAGCAAGGAAATTGAACACCCGAGAGTTAACCCTTGAATACATGCATTTTAACGAACCCACAAATAAGAAAATTGGGACCTCCTGAACTATGTGCACCAAGATGGCGCACAACCTGAACATAGTACGTGTACCAGGTTAGGGTTCAGGTTGTGCGCCATCTCGGTGACCACACTTCGGGGACGCCGAAAATTGTGGTGTTTTTGCAAATGTTACGAGTACTGCCCACTTACCAATGAAAGTTTAAAGCGACCTCTATATTTCTCTGATAAATTGCTGTGGTATTCGGTCTGCCCAGCGGATTGGTGCTGTACAATGCATGTACCTCATAGTAACTTCACAGGTATCAGTGAATGTTTGTCTAGGGGAAGGACTCATAGCGAAGGCGCATAAAAACACTTTTGGTAAACTGCGTGAACCCCATATTGGATCTCCTCTCCCTAAAATTGACATGGAATCTCCTCCAACATGCCAAATTATCTCCTCACTCCCAAATCACTCACTAGGGCCTACACACAAAATCCCACAAAATTTTAGGTACATGTTTTATATTTTTTCCATCATTACTTTTGTACAAAAATTGATGGAAAACATAATTAATCCTAAAATTCATCTAATATTATAGCACACAAAATAACTGAATCATGATCATCAGAAGTAATATAAGTCTTGCTGTAATGTAACTAACACAAAATTACTTTAATATTCTCATATAATTAAACTATCTTAATATCTAAACAATTTTTCTCTTCACCAGGAAGAAAATGAAAGTGGAATGTTGTACAAAAAAAAATTGTTCATTTTTGGCAACCTTGTGACTTTTATCTGCACTTTGATCAAACTTTGGCAGGTTTTGAAAAAAAAGGTTATACATTGCTCCAGAAAGTTAAGACTGTTGGGAACTATTTTGGCAATTATATTTGGTTTGGAACTTTAAATTGAGGAACTTTATGATTTGAAATAAGGCATTATTAATTGTTGAGCAAGGCTTCCAGACCGGGGAGAAATTTCTGACCAGTTCGTAGTTTATTATTTTTAGCACATTGAAAGCACACTTGATATACAAATAACAATAAATAATGAAAAAATAATCCAGGGTAAGGGGAGTCGCAGGAAACCAAATTTGGTTATCGAGCAGCGGCATCAATAAGGGAGGGAAGAATTCAGCTTGATATTTGCGTGTAGTATTTCTAATATTCTTATGTTGTATCGCATGTATAAATGCATACATCATAGACTATTCAAAATCGAAAGTGCAACGTATCGCAAGAATATGTTCCGCTAAAACTGAATAAACAAATGCATTTTATACGTAGTGGGGTAGTTTAGCATTTCTCATTAACTACTGAATCTTCAGTAATTGGAAATGAAAATGCCTACGCCATAAAAAGGGAAGGCCAACATCGAATAATATTCCATTCTGAAATAACATTTTAAAATATAGAATATATTGATTGAAACTAAAATGAAACTTTCTTTGGTTATTAAAAAATTCAACTTTGATATTTTTTATATAAACTTCAATTTTCTATAAAATTTCATTTCAAAATTATCAAAAAAAATTGAACTTGAGTTAATGAAAATTGCATACACCTTAGAGGTGAAGATAAAATTATTTAAAAAATATCAGTGGCTGTACGAAAATCAAATTTCGAAATGGGCATATTTCACGATAACAAATTAAATGAACAAATGTTTAGACACCAAAAAAAAAAAAAAAACTGAACATAGATATCTTTTTGTAAATGTATCTAGTTGCAAAAAGCGTGATCCATTCAGATTTCGCAGGGCCGCAGCTGAAACACAACGATTATTCTGATTTTAGTGGCATATTTCAGGATACCGAATAAAATGATCAAATTCAATGAAAAATAAAAAAAATTTGCACAGATAACTAAAGGCAAACTAGGTCTATAAGGGCGTAAACTCTTGGCTCGTTTCAACTAAACGGTGGACGTATTTGTGAACTGAACCTAATTCTATGAATGGCTTTATACATAAAGTTAATTGAAGGGATGGTAAAACGGGTATATGATGGATATAAATAAGCAGAAAATAACGAATAAAAACTACGAATGGTATGTTTGTTTACTTTTGGCCGACTAGGCTAAGCTAAGACTGTGGGGAATGTGAGGACTGTGGGGAATGTGCATCTAACAGACAAATACCTATCTACATACTTACCGATTAAAATCGATAAGTAATAACGAATAAAATCTACGAATGCTATGTTTGTTCACTTTTGGCAGACTACGCTAAGCAAAGACTGTGGGTAATGTGAGGACTGCGGTCGAAGGGGGTGGCAGACAGTTGACAGCTGAAAGAGAGCGTAATGGACGAAAATGAGCACACACACGTTAATTCAAAATTAAAATTTACTATTTTTTTTTGTTTTTTTTGTATTTTATTTTTTTTATTTTTACCTCCAATCGCTACGGGAATGAGAGAGAGAGAGATTGCTTATTTTGTTGACCAAAATCCATACAGTAATCAATACGAAAAAATGTAACAGAAATAAAATTGCTTTGGTATTGACAGGAGGGAGCGATGACCATGCAGTCAACGATGCAATTTTATTCACATTGAAGATGACTATTTGGAAAGTTGGTCGGTCAAATAGTACTTTTGCGAAAATTTTAACAATGAAGACATACTGTATGTCACATACAAACTGTGAAGTAAAAAGCATTTCAAATTGAAGCTATAAAACAGATGACAAAAATACAGAGGATATAATATATATACAGAGCACAGAAGCAAAGCCAGTTTTTTTAAGCCAGAGGTTCTTCATCATTGCAATCAGACAGTGATGATACATACGTTGATTTTACAAAAAAGGTGGGTAAAATTAGCACACATTTTTAACGACTTTTCAGTCCTCTGGGAAATTTTAAATGAGAGGTGGGGGATGGGGGTTTGAGGTGTGTTTGACCACGAAAGCCCCACTGGCTGCCCTAAAGAAAAGAGAAAGCACAATAGTTCTTTTCATGGGAGTTTTTGGAATCAAAATGAGATTACCTGTTTAAAAGCAAGGCCAGTAAAAAGATACAGATACACTGCATGCATAAAAATATGAAATAAATCATATTTTTTTTTTAATTTGCTGATAAAAAAGTCTCAAAAACTCGCTTAAAACAGCGGTAGTATTCCATCCAGTTGAAAACTTTTTGTAAAAGCATAGGCCGCATAGAAAGCAGGTTTGTATGGATGGTTACTGTGGACGGTTGTTGAGTTCTGCTGCATCGTCGCATCTTCTGCCTAAAAGGCCTTCTGAATATGATAGAAAAAGTTTTAAGTTTTTCTAAACAATTTATCTACTTGTATATGACTTGGGCTCTGAGCAAAGGTCGACAAATAAAACTAACCTAAACATTATTTATGTGCATGCTATCGCGTTTCTTCTTTTAAATGATAAATGCTTTTCTGAAGAATTCTGGCCCTAGGCAGATAGGATTCACATACTTATCCTGGGGGTGAAGACAGCCGAAAAAATTGCCTAATCATATGAAGAACCACGTTCTCTCATCATGTTACCAGTCAATGTAGGACAGGGCTACTCAACTGGTGGACCGCGGTCCGAATCCGGACATTTCGGGTATTTGATTCGGACCGCGCCTAATTATTTATTTTGGATCATTAGCCCCACTTTTGAATTTTCCGTTTATAAAATGACTTTCATAGATTTAAATATATATGAAAAAACTATAACGCCATAATAAACAATCTTGATTAGCTAATAATCATTAGTCGGCCGAGAAAGTGCGTGTTTAAGGATGTCGAAATATAATTTCTGGAAAGACCGGACCCAAATATTTTTTTAAGTTTTGTATGCGGATTGTAAAGTTTATTTGCCCTCAGGGCAGATACACATATACAGGTCCTTATCCAGGCCTGTCATAAACTAGAATGAACCATCACCAAAGTAACACCCTCACACGCACACACGTAAACAAGTAATAATTACTCTTCTGTAAAAATAGTTGAGTAGCCCTGATGTAGGATATGAGGTAGGTTAGTTAAGCAGTTATTTATTTTTTGGAAGCAGGGGCTTGATGGAGGAAGCCGGTTGGGTGAACCACCCTCTGGGGTAAAGAGTCCAGCAATCAATCCTCTTGCACATAATTATCCCCACAGTATTCAAACCTGCGAACCAGCGGAGGGTAATCAGAGGTGCGCCGGTGAGCGCATTCCAAACACACAATATGAGCTACACTGCCGAGATGAAATGTCAAAAAAATACAATTGTGTTAGTGCGCAGCGATACTCTCTAATCAAATAGAACGCGAGGTCAGAAATATTTTCAAGTCGACATTGCTCACTGCCGTGTCAATTTTAATGTAAGAAACCTGTCCCGAACAATTCCTTTTTTGACGTATTAACATAGAACATTTTTTGGCAGTGTGATAAATAAAATATTTCTCTCACCCTTCCACGAGGCTCACGACAGGTATGTCCATTGCTGCATTCGAGAGAACAGAAATTTAGCTCACAGTGGGGACAAACGATGCATCGATTAGCTATGAACACACCACAACATCCCTGGCATCCCTGACATCGCCTGTTAGATAAAAGAAAGCAAATTAGTGATCGATTAGTGATGGGATTCAAAATATTGGCACTCCAGAAGTGTGTGTACCAATATGGAGGTAACTAATTTTGTTTGCCTACTTTACAGCGAGTTGTGTAAAGCAGTGGTCGGCAACCACCGGGCCGCGGAAAGGTTACTGCCGGTCCGCATAGAGGTGACACAAAAACGGACAAGGCCGTAATATAACCTCTACAATCTAACCACAAACGCTACGAATAAAAAACAGCATCCAACAGTAAACCAGACAAACACAACACCAGGGTCGGAAAAAATGCGGCCCACGAGCTAATTTGTTGCGGCCCTTGAACAACCCGACATTTAATTAATGAATAAAACAAAAATTAATCCCAAATTTATTATTGTCTCTACACGGATTTATGTGGTGATAAGTGCTGCTGTACGGCGCTTCTTATGTAACAAGTAGCGTCAGTTGTATGTCGTTCGAGTTAATTTTGATTTTCAAAATTTGAAAATGTCTGGAAAACGAAGCGACGCGGGTCGAGCATTCCATAAGTGCTTGAACGGAAAAATATTTTTTTTCCTTGCGCATTCCAAAACTGGTTTGCTCGATATGCCCAGTCAGCATCGCAGTTGTCAAGGGTTTCAATGTTAAACTCTTTACGAAACGAGTCGTCGAAAATTCGACCCCGAGACCCGGGACTGCGCCACAGCTCATCTGTGCGACAGTGCAAAACGTGTAATGTGCACGTTCGGAAGAACATATGGCCTTGAGCAGCTTTATCTAAAATGCATTACACTTGGATTAAATTTCGTACTCGCTTGTCAGATCATCATTTGGACGACGAGTTGCCACAAAACATCATCTTTCACATTGATAATAAGTACATAAGAACAATGTATTGTTGGATAATAAAAAAACGCCACATATACATCTCATTGGGACAGTCTTTCAACACAGCAATAGAAGGGTAGCAATGCAATGCGCCATAATTTGAAGTTTAAATATGATAGCGATTGTTCGAAGGCGAAAATATTGCGGCCCGCGCGCTACCAGAAATGTTTATATTTGGCCCGCAAGTACATGAAGTTTGCCGACCACTGCATAACACTATTGGGCAACATGTCTGATTTCATAAACAATTGCCATATCAGTATGTCGCAATAATGCTGGGTCAATTGTTTTCTCTACGCCCGTATAAGAATGTCTCTCATCAGTCCGAATAAGATCTCCCCAACAAAACGATACAGGCATTGTTAACTTTCCCGAAATCTTTATGTGAGGCCTGGTTTTCAATATTGATAACTACAAAAACGAAATATCGAAATAGGCTGGAAGTAAGAAACACGTGTGTCAATGTCGACCATATCTCGAATATGGGAACAGTTAAAGCCTAAAGGCCATCAAACAAATACAGACATCACATTAAATAGCATCACCCTCGTTTTTGGTATATTGGCAACATAAATTTCCTAATGCATATAATTTATTGCATAGGCTTAGTTCGTTTGTATGAAGGTGGTCCGCTAAATGTTTGGTCAAGCTTTACCGGTCCGTCACTTGAAAAAGGTTGCCGACCACTGGTGTAAAGGGACTGAAACCTATGGACAAGAGGTTTATTCACTTGGATAACACAGACAGTTCCCAAACTCGTAATAGAACTAAAATATGGAAAATCGGAATGAAATTATGGCATAACTCTAACCTGGTACACATACTACGGGATTACCGAAAGAGTAAGTTGTCTCAAAGCTAACAAAATTCATTCATGGAAAAGTACCTTCGTCTCCTTCCAGATTCTCCAGGATTATGCTGAAAATGTCTATTTTCTCTGTAACCAGGATAAACAGCATCGATCTAAAATATGAGAGGAAATTTCAGAATCAGTTGTCGCATCGTGCAAAGCACTAGGAACATGCCTGGAATGGACTCGCACCATAGAGTGGATCAACCGCTGGTCGATTATGGCTTCCTCCACCATCAAGTCCATGCTTCTGAAAACAAATAACTGGCTAACTAATCCCATACACAAGATGAAATGATAACCAGATGCGAGGCCATGATTCGCCATAGGATTGAGCCGTATTATCAACTTTCCTCTCCATTGGGATAGATATGTAAATCCTATCATATCCTTCTCTATGAGTGGCATTACCTCATTGCGTATTCCACGAAGACTGAACACTCTTGCGCTATCTTGTCTGCGTGGTACAAAGTCAGATTCTTCCACTCGACTAAAAAAAAAAGTTTCATATTTTCATACTTCACTCTGAACAAGGAAAGAAGCTACTGGTACCGTGTTTTTCCAAAAAAAAGATTTCAATTTTTTTTTCTTCGAAAAATAACACCAGGACATATTTTCGAGGAATGTCTTTTTTTCATTTATCAAAAACAAAATTACAAAGCAGAGAATTACGAGATTTTCAAATATACAAAATATGAGGAAAAAAAGTTCGCGCTATCGACCAGTTTGCTTATATTAAAATCATTTTCAAAATCCAGGCTAGGTATTATTTTCGGGAAAACATGGCATTACAAAGTATTTCTGGGATCATCGAGATCTTTTCGCTTTGACATAGCTCACTCGATTTATTACGATGGAGGTGAAGTAGTGGGCATGTTGATGACAACCTGTAATACCAGTACAGTTTGGTTTAACGCTCTATCTCAGCGTTTTTCAAAGTTTTCTTGCCCAAAACACCCACGTTTTTTATCTAGCCTTGCGAAATTAGACAATTAAAAAATTAGGCCCAACGATATAGAATGGTTAACAAAACTCCATGCTTTCCAGACTAGCAAGAGGCTTGTCGGCCTGTTTTTCACCAGTTGTTCTGTGGAACACAGTTTGAGAAACGCTGCTTTAACCACTTTGCACAGAAATAACTCTCCAATGCAGACCAGCTTCTGGTCAGAATTGGCTACCTAAAAAGCTAATCAGTTTTATGCTGTCCAGCTACCAGTCAGAATCGGCTACAGTACTAGGTAATTATTTCAATGCTGTCTAGTCTCCGGACAGAATTGACTACAATACAAGCAAACCAGTTAAATGATGCTCCGGGACTGGTCGGCAACGATTCTATAAATTACTAATCAGTCCAGGTCGAAATTGACTACGAAAAATACCTAGATGACCAGTTCCTCCAGTCTGGTCTCTCATGTTTGCGGCAATAAAAAACAACTGTATGAAAATAAGGAATGAAAATTTGAATACATTTGAAATTGGTTATATTCGGTATTGGGAATTCTCGATTTTATGAATAATTTAGTTTGTTTTTATTTGAAATTTTGACATTTTAAGCGGCGATATCTGACAAATAAACTTCATTTCACTTTTGACGACCTCACTAGAGCCAGCGATTTCTCTCATATCAGGACCGTTCCGCTGAGAAAACGAGATGAATAGCTTGTTCGACTTGGTTAATTGTCTGTGCGTTTTGGCGACTGTCGATATATTTTTGCGGGCTTCGTTACGTCAATGTGGCGTCGTAACGACATAGTTAGGTGGGAGTTAGGCATGACATATGGAAATATTGTTGCACCACACCCAAAAGAAGTTATTGTTTTACAAAACTATACAAGACCCTCATAAATCTACCATTTCTACATTGCCCCATGTAATTCCCAGTTCTCGCTTTTTCTTATATTCTACACATTCAATAATCTTATGCTTACCTGTTTTGAGGATGGAAATCACCTTCATAATATGGTTCAGAATATGGAGTAATGGACGTCATAATCTGATACCTGCAAAGTTCAGTAATTGGTAGTTTATTATCCATCGTAATAAAATACAATTTGTGTAAAGAGAACATGAAATGAGACTCAAATGAATTTCAATTTTTGATTGATGAGTTATCAATCAACGCTTATACTGCACAGGGTTGAGAATTAGAAACACATTTTCGACAAGACCACTAATTTGGATTATCTGTGGGTAATTATGTGCAAGAGGATTTCTAAACATTCCGTGTTGTCTGGATAAGATTTATAAATTTATCCCAGGGAAAAGGAAATTCGATAAGACGGCTTAATTATATGGTGAACCATGGCCTCTCATTGGTTACCACTCCATGTCAGGTATAGCATTAGTTGGCCAGTTATTTGATGGCGAAGGAAACTGTAACCGACCAACAGTTATATGAACCAACCTACAGCGGCACAAATTCTTGAAATCCTCTCTAACATAATTATCCCCACAGGAAACCGCAACCGCTGGTCGGATACGTTTTTTTCCAAGATCAAGTCCACGCATTCGAAAATGTATAACTTGCTAAATAATCCCATAACCAACATGGACTGGTAACCGAACGAGAGGCCGTGGTTCACCATATTATGATTAAGCCTAGGCGAGTTGGTGTATCCAAAAATAGCCCAGTGAAATTTGAAAAAAAAATATTAAAAAAGAGTGAAGGTAATGGTGAAGCCTGATTGCAATAGTAATGAAAAATATGAAACTATATAAAAACAAAACGTAATTATAATTACCTCTCTTCGTGAGCAGTCTGCGCTTGGCCATGAGCCTAAAAAAAAATACATTTTCATTCATATGAAAAACTAAATTTGGGTCTAGTGTAGTTTAGTACCTAAAGTACTTTTAGGGGGCTTAGTATAATCATTTTTGGGGGCTCCCGAAGTATGCGAACCAAGATGGCGGACATCGGAATGTAATATGTGTACTAGGTTAGGGTTAGGCCATAATTTTAGGTATAAATACTACGGGAGGCTCTTGGCTAGTCTTCGAACTGATAATAGGACTAAAATAAGGAAAATTGGAAAAAAATTATTGCCTAACCCTAACGTGTACCCATGTTACGTTCCGATGACCGCCATCTTGGTTCGCATACTTCGGGAGCACCCATTTTTGGAATATTTTATTCCTGACCCCAACTGACTATGTCATCCAAAAATTAGGTCCATAGGAATATGAAACTATTTTTATATGGAAGCCATACATAATTGAGCAAATGATTTTGCCAACTCAAAGCAAACATAGAAATAGAAAACGAGACAGAGAGTGAGAGAGAGAGAATAAGAGAGCATCATAGGCAGACAGGTTTGGGCAAGTTCAGACTGGATTGGGCTTGTCCAGGACATGTCTGTTCTTGCCTGGGTGTTTGCACAAATGAAGAAGTGATACATCTTGTTCATGCCTCAACACTCATGGTTATGACTAGGGATGGGCAATGTAGAATAATTTACTATTCTAGAATATTCCAGAATAGAGTAAATCAAATCCAGAATACCGAATCCTATTCTATTTTCATACTTATTCAAATAGTGGGAATTTTCCTGATGGCTGGATTTAGATGTCAAAAAATTGTAAATGTATTACTATAAATGTATTATTTATATGGAAATATCCTTAGCATTGGATTTTCTTTAATACTAAACAGGCATTTCCCAGGACAATGAAATCTAAGAACATTACAATATTTTTGCCTCCAATTGTTCCAAATGTATGTGGTAATCGCTAAATACTGATATGCTAAATTAGGACACGCTTTAAACACTTTAATAGTAAGCGGTTAAATACAAAAATAAATATGACAAGGCATTAAATCATCATTAATGTTGGAGTGACGAGTGTTACAACACCCGCTGAGAATTAATTAGATGCAGGACCAGCGTGTGGCCACTGCAATCTATGCGACCACTATCAATTAAAAAAAACGTGCAAAACAAGGTTCCCGTAAACGCGATTTCGTAGTTAGTTATTAGTTAATATCATGTAAAGACGAATCCCTTTTTTATATTATTATTGTTACATACCCAGACTTGGCCCTACTCAAACTCAATACGTAAATATTTTCGAAAAATGTGGCATCTTTTTTTAAATTTATCGGCGAATAAAATTACTACAGACACTCGATCAAACGTGCGTCTATCTTGAACGATAGAAACGGACCGAAAGATATGTAATCTTTTGAGAGTGAAATTTAAATGCGACAGATCGTCGTGTTTTGCGATATAACTTTGTATTTCGGAAACTGGTGTAATAAAAGTAATAAAATTATTCGTAAATAATATTTGATTTTTGATAACATTTAACGCCTGGCTTTTGGTTTACATGCATCATTTTATGGGGAAAACTCGCCGGTCGCGGAAAATCATTTACAGTAATGTAAAATGAAGCAAGGCAATTCTGTAAACAATTAAAGATTGTTGCAATCAGATTATCGGAATATCGCCAGTAAGTTGGCATAAATAATAATTATTATTAAACCCTAGCTAGATAGCAAAGCAGGAAAACGCAAAAATGGTGCAATAACGAGTCTTCGCCGTAAGGTGTACTTCACTTCACGACTTCTTGTCCAGAATACGCCGATTGAGATTACAGTATTTGGTGTTTATTAATTTTACAGGTTCTTTGCGATTAGGCAAGTTTAATTAAACGAGTGAAATTTCCATGCGAGAAAAAACGCTCGTCTTTAATTGATAAATTAGAAACTCGAAATACAAAAATTGACGCACAGCGAAAACGCAAAAATGGTGCAATAACGTGTCTTCGCCGTGGGGTGTACTTCGCCGACTTCTTGTCCAGAATACACCGATTGAGATTGCAGTGTTTGAAGTTTACCGATCTTACGGGTTTATTCCGAGCAGACGCAAGTCTAATTAAACGAGAGAGATTTCCACGCGAGAAAAAACGCTTGTCTTTAATTGATAATTAGAAACCCGAAATGCAAAAATTGACGCATGGCGCCGGAGAGGCGGAAACCGAATCCTGTTATCGGATCCTGTTGGATTCGGATACTTTGGGATTCGAATCCTCCGGATTCGGTATTCTATATTGCCCATCTCTAGTTATGACTAACTAAGCTGTGAGCCTGTGACCAACATCAATTCACTAAAACTAAATTCATAGGAATGGCACCCAAAGTTGACAAAATTAAATAAGTATTTTTGAAAATTAATTCAAATTTATGGCGCTCCATAAACCTGTGACCAACATTAATTTCACTGAAACTAAATCCATAGTAGTGACACCCAAAGTTGACAAAATCAAATTAAGTATTGAATGAATGGGTGACCGTACATTTGAACCCACGTACATTTGAACCTATGTGTATATCCACGGGTTCAATCTATATGCGGGTGCTAAAACCCATGGGTTAGGGTTAGTATGGGTTCAAATATCCGCAAAACAAAAAAAATTTCCATAGGTGCAATTGTCGTGGGTTCAAATGTACGTGGGTTCAAATGTACGGGAACCAAATTAAGACGCTCCCGTAGTATGTGAACCAAGATGGCAGACACCGGAACGTAGTATGTGTACCAGGTAAGGGTTAGGCCATAAATTGATTCCAATTGTCCTTATTTCAGTTCTATTACAAGTTTGGGGACTAGCCAAGTGACTCTCGTAGTATTTGTACTTGAAATTATGGCCTAACCCTAACGTGGTACACATACTACGATCCCGTATGCACCATCTTGGTTCACATACTACGGGAGTACCTTAATTAATTCTCTAGATTTACGGTACAATCTCGCTGAGTTTAAACCTCAAAAAAAATTGCCAAACTATGGGGTCATCTTATACAAGTGCCAGACTATAACGTCGGCTTATACGCGTGATAAACTATACTTTAACTTGTAGGGTCAGCTTATATGCAAATTTTTATAATTTCATCGTTTAAGGGCTGTTTTTGGGGGTCGACTGGTAAGAGTCGAAATTCCTCATATATACATAGGAACAAACTCAAGAACGTTACCCAAAGTTCGAAACATAGGACTCCATATATACAGGTTGTCAAAAAAAAAATCGCCTTATTTTATTGTGATAACAATTTTCAGTTTAAATAAATTTCATTCAATGATAAATGAGAACCACAAGCACAATAAGATCTATTAATAAACAAAAACAAAGAAATTGTTTGTTTAATTCTATAAAATCGAAGAAAGAAATTTTTTTGGACACCCTTCATACACGGTGTCCATAAAGTTCCTTTACAATTTCAATTTTGTTATGAAGTCAGTTTCCAATATACACGGTGTCAATAAAGTCCCTTTACAATTTCAATTTTGTTATAAAATCAGTTCCCAATATATCTTAACCAAGTTTGTTGTTTTTAATCAGTAATTGTTCAAGTATTTTTACTTCATTTAATACATTTGCGAAAACCAAAATAAGATATAGTATCAATAAATCACCTTTGCCATTTTGAAAATTTTAAGACTTTATGGATACCCTATTTAATCATGCATACAAGTGGCAGTGCTCAACATATCTATAACCAACAACCATTATATTCGGTTAACCATCTAACCGGTAAACCATTTAACCGGTTAAATCTTTACCATCCCACAAATTAAAAAGACTGTATGTGGGGTTTCTCTATAACATTCAGAGATAAAATATAATTTTATTTCAAAACATTATGTTTTTTAATGATCTTCTCTAGTGAAAACAAAGCAAAGTTGATTTACAACCCTGTATTTACTATCTTGGGGGTTGTAATATTGCACCATCATAATAAAATTAAATAAACACTGATATTTAGTAAGAATGACACCCAATGTTATTCGAATAGTACAGTACCACTTCTTTTGACAACACCTTTCAATCTAAAATCTGTACGTTTTAAACCTTACTTGAGATTTTGTTCGTTTTCCTGATTCTATAATTAGCTTTATTTATTTTGTTTTAATCGATTATTCTACGTCTATTTTGCGGAATATGGAGTCAAAATAATCTTATACTTATACTTGTCAATATCAAATTAGACTTGGGATAGCTGCAACTTCACATTTATAGATGTGAATTTGATTGTAAACGGCCAATGAAATTCCTACCGGAAATCCATAATTATAGGATTATCAAATACCCATTCAAACTTTCACCAGCCCCCAAATTAAATGGGTTAAATATATTGTTATCTCTCTCCGTAGTTATGGCCTTAATATTAACAGAATAAATTCAGAGATGGAATGAACTTTTAATTTCTAATTATTCTGTAATCATGTACTCAAAACACATTGTACAATATAACATTTACAACCCTGTACTAGATACCTGTTTAAGATTGCACCATAATAGCGTAAGTTACACCTGTCTGGTTTATATTTAAGCAAACAAATACAGGAGATAACAGGGTTAATGGCCAAAGAAGCCATGAAGCAACCTAGTTTAAATGAATTTGAATTCAAAACTAATTGCAAAAAAACAAAAAGATGCAAACTGTAAAGGCTGTTTTGAGAAGATTTTTCATTCTCAAACTCCTGTAAGTTTATTGAAATACTTTGATTTGGTTTGGACATTGCCTCAAACAATGATTAATACCAGCTTGAAGAGCACATATTTTGGCGCTCCAGAAGTCTGTGTACCATTATGGAAGTAATTTAATTTTTTTAGCCTTCTTTACATTAAGTTGTGTAAATGGACGAAAACCTATGAGCAGGGGTATATCCACTTGGCTAACACAGATAGTCCCTGAACTCGTCATAGAACTAAAATAAGGAAAATCAGAATTAAATTATCGACTAATCTGGTACACATATTTCTTTGTGATATTTTCAATATTGAAATTTTTTAAACTTTAACATTAGCCTTTTAGCATGAAAAGTTTGAAACACCCGAAATGCTATTTGAAAAAGCTGTTCACAAATTTGTATACTCGGAATAACTCATTGTATTAAGGCAAAATATTCAATTTTTGCCTTAATACAATGAGTTTTGTTGAATTAATTGAAATCAGTTATGGCATGATAATATAAATACAAGATTGATCTTCCGCAAAAAAATAGGAATTAATCAATTAATAACTCGCTGATTATAATAAAAAAATGAATAAAAATTATTTATTTAATTAATTAATAACTCTCTGATTATACGAGAAAATTCACCTAAAATCAATGGCTTCTGGTCCGAGATATGATGAATGCACATGCAAAATTTGGAGCATATTCAACCTCGCTTTCGTGAGATATCGCGTAAAATACAAAAGTGTCTAACAGACAAACAAATAGCTATCAACATACTTAACGATCAAGATCGATAAGTGAAAATATGAGGAGTTCCGTATCTGCAACAGAACCCCCATCTGTATTTTAAACAATGTAAAAAAACATTTTTCATGTAGTTACCCCTGATCCACACCCACCTCGACTAGGGTAACACCTCCTTCCTGTCGGCGAAGAGGCAGCTCCGATTCTTGACGGAGTGGAGAAATTGAACGCTCACTCTGAGTGCCTTGAACACCAAGATGGGGCCGAGCCTCTCGAACACTTGCAACCTGAAAAGCAAACAAAACAGGGGTTAAGATTATTATTTTAACATTTCTTCCCAGTTTTACAAGGCAATATTTACGACTCGTCCTTTTCACTGTTTAGACAGGATAGGATTTGCATATTTATTCCTGAGAAGAGGATAAATGATAAAACAACTCAATCATATGGCGAACAACAACCTTTCGTTTGGTTACCAGTCCATGTCAGGTGTGGGGTCAGGTATAATAAGTTTAGAACTAATTTTGTTTTGGCGTAAAAGGCAAGCCGCTCAAGGGTCACAATAAAGTTGTTTGCAGCCGCAGGATGATTCACTTTACCGAAGGTCGGTTATGGTTTCCTCCAACATCAAAATAACTGGCAAACTAATCCCATACCCGACATGGACTGGTAACCTGACACAAGACCGCGGCTCGCCATATAATTAGGCCTCTTATCTGCTTTCTGCTTTGTAAATCCCATCCTATTTCAAGGAATAAATAACTTACGCTGTTATTTTCTTCATTGCCCTCAGGTTGATGCGAAGTATTTCCCAAACTCTGAACAGGAATCTCTGGGATTGCAATTTGTTCCTGAAATAATGAAGCACATGGTAACCCAACTTCCACTCAAAGACTTTTTGTTATATTTGATAATGTTCAGAGAAATTTATGGCAGACTTTGTTTTTGTTGTTAGGTGCGCACAAATTAACATAATTGTGAAAATAAAAACATAAACATTAACTAAAATATATAAATATTAAATATATAGTATATTTCACATATTGACTTCATCATAAATGTTTTATTGTTTCATACTTTAAAAGCTGTGTACATGTATCAATAAATTCATTTCATTTAGCTTTCTATGTCTTTTACTTTCTGTTACATAGTGTCTGTTTGACTCTATCATTACGTAACAATAGATTTAGACACCTTGCTGCAATTTATTTATTCTTCATGTTTTCTAGTTCTGGAACTGCTGCTCTATGCAATAAAGATTTTCAGAATTTCAGTTAATTTTGATCGCTGCACTTAGAGGTGACATGAAAAATAACTGACCTGAGACCTAACCAATGTAATAGTACTGCTAACACGGCTTTGCTCGATAGATATCTCGTCCGGTCTCTGTCGGGGATCAGGGTCTATGCTGAGACGAGCGCCGCCTCGGTCCCAGGGACGGTTATCAAGGATTTCACCCTAAATATAAAAAATTGTTATAGTTTCTGAATTTATAACAATCAATTTTTATAATCACATTTCACATAGAACAGTGGTTCTCAAATGATGGGGTGTACCCCTCAGAGGGAGTGTGAAGCTGATTAAAAATTTGTCAGATTTGATCTTGCCCGCTTTATTTTGGAAATTTGTTATTTTTCAGCGAAAAACAACAGCTTACAGCACTAATCAAATAAAAAATAAAAAAAATTATTGTATCCATGTTATCCATGTATTTTTGAATAAAAAATACTTTCTTCTTGCTATTTGTTATTTAAAACTTATTGTTAGCTAGTTATTTTCGAGGTAAGCCGAGACTTGAAAAATTCTAGAAAGGAGCAAGGCTTGAAAAGTTTGAGAACCACTGAAATCGAAAAAGTTCAATCAATATTTAAAAAAATGATTCTTGTGAAAAATTTGTCAGTGAAATTGAGCTTTGTGCGGTCAATGACATTCGTATATATTTAAAAAAGATAATTAAAATCCTATTTTTCTAAATATTCAAGGACCGACTTACACTTTTTAACAAGTATCATGATCCCTTAACATATTTTATCTAACTAACATTTTTGACAGCATCTTCCTGCCCGGTATCCAATGTTATCTGTGGTTGTCCGTCTCTAGCACGGTTCTCTATGTTTTGCCTGAAATAAGAATACATGATGGGATAAATGATAATTATTATTATCAAATATTAAAATACACTTGGCAATTTAATATATTATTATCAATTAATCAAAAAAATATTATTTTCAAAACAGAATCCTGAACTATTCGGATAAATACTTCCCAACTCTAAACACAACAAAACCTGTTACCTGGGATCGGTCAGGTTTTGCACGGTTACTATTGGCGATGGTCCAACTCTAATTTTGGTTTCTCCAGTGGCGCTACGTAGTGGAAATGGCAGGCGATTAACCAGAGATTGTTTCGGATTATTGTGTAAATCAGGTTGGGGTATAAAACTGCCAATTTGACTTTTGGAATTCTCAAGTTTTTGATCCTCCGGTATTTCTGCTATATCACGAACGTCTTCCATGCGCCCCAGGTCACCAATGGGTGAGGTGGGGGCAGCAACTGGAACACCTAAACCAGGCTGTAAAGTGGGGATCTTGGGTAGGGTTAATGTACTTGGGTGAGCCTCTGTTTTTGTTCGATGTCCAAGTCCTGATGTTGAAGGTAAATTCAATGAATTTGGTGGATTTTCTCTTGGTCTCCCATTTTCAGATTGTCTTTCACTAGCGTCCTTACGTGCGCCTTTGTCTTCTCGCCCCTTGACTTTTATCACACTATTTTTACACCCCCCAATTTTACCAGATTCTGGATTTCTATGTGGATCATTAGGGTCTCCCCCCTCCCCAGATGGTTGGTTTTGATTTGAACCAGAAAGTATATTATTTCCACCAGTTCCGAGACGACCACCATTTTCCCCACATTGTTGGCTATCGTTTTTCTTCTTTGCCCCCCCGTTTTTCCCCCCGCTTCCGTTACAGTCGACGCAAGGATCAAGCCAATATCCATCCAAAATTAGGTTGGACCAGAATTTCACGGTGATCAAGAATAATTTCGCATCAACAGGAAGCTTGATTAGAAAAGAACACAAAGCAGTTGATGGAAACGGATATTCCAAATTTTTGTCAACGATTTTCCCAAATTTTTGGGTACTTTTACCATTGTTGAACATATTTTTAGGCAAATATTTCATCTCTGGATAAAAATCCTTTTCCAGATCACAAAATATTTTATCATCTTCAGTGAGGCAACGTGGTAATTCCATTTCCGCACAAGATTCAAGGTCATGCGAATTGTCAAGGTCACACAGAGCATCAGGGTCACATGTAGGATGCAGATTGAATGCCCTGTCGAGGTCATGTGGAATCTTAAAGTCGTGTGACGCTTCAAGGTCATGTAGAATAGATGATTTTTCCAAATTGTCAATTGTTACTTGACTTTTCTCTGTACAGCATTCATTCTCAATATCCGCTTTATCTGAATCTGAATTCAAATCATCTGCAAATTCGTCAATGTCGTTACTTTCTGCCGCCAAGTGTTCAGTTCTGTCCAATGCCTCTGTATTATTCTGATCTTTCACCTTTATACGTAAGTCCTCGTCACAGCACTTTTCAAAAGCCAAATCAGATTTGTTACAATTTTTTTCTCCAGTCTCAATTTTGGAAGTTTTAGGAAAGCTCGTTTCTAATTTATTGATTTCGTTTTGTTCATTACAACTTTCAACATCAGAGTAAGTCTTTATATTTTTGAATGACTCTTTAGAGCACAATTTCATTTTGACATTTGTAGAATAATTAAACACTATTTTGCTTTCCTCGTGCCGTGAGGCCTCTTCTGGATAATGAAGATTGGCGGAATTCTGGAGAAAATTATACGCATCAGTGATTTTTTGTTCCAGTTCTATCATTCCTTTCGGTACGTATTCTTCCCCTTTTACCAGTTGTTGTAAAAATGCCTGAAGTTCGAGTAACTTTGTCATCGCAACAAGTTTGTCACCAATTTTGAATGCTTGATGTAACTCTGTTACTAGTTTATTGAGAGCATTTTGATACCCTTTATTCAAGTTCAGAATAAAATCCAAGTTCGAATTTTTGGAATTTTCGTTTTCCATTTTAGCACAACCATCTTTGTGATTTTTTGACTCGCAACAAGTATCCCTTTTTTTATACTTATCTTTGAAAGCAGAACTAGCCCCATGGTTCTGCCTAGATACCATAGCACCATCCAGTACTTGGTCATTTTCTGTGGACATATTCATCGAAAAAGCAGGCTCGTAAACAACTGCTGGGTAGAGCATGAAATGCATTGGTGAAGTACCATGACTGATGATGTCTGTCTTTGCTTGTGATGTTACAATTGAGACTATTGTACTGATTGTAAGCATAGTCATTAATGTCTTTGATCCCCCGCTTATTTTCTGAGATAAACATATTCTCAAATACATCTTGCTTGAAATTAAAAAAGTCTAAAGATCAGAGTGCTAGATGAATAAATGCCTGTTAAAATAAAGAACTAATATTAGGAATATACCCACATACACATAGGAGATTACTATCACTCAAAGAACTGAAATTTCATGAGGTCTTTTTACATCTTTTTTTGGGGCAAGGCTTTATATACATAAGCAGTCAGGCTTGGCAGCGTGGCTCCCCATACTAGGGTAGGTAGAAATACTCTCGCCAGCGCACCTCTGATCACTCTGCGTGGGTCCGCAGATTCGAATCCAGTAGTGATAATTATGACCAAGAGAATTGCTAGAACATCCTCCCATGTCAGTATTTAAAAAAAAGGAAATCAGTCTTTCTAGTTAAGCATTCGCTATGCAATTTGTAAAACCCAGGTGTCTGTAAGTAGGTAGGCATAGGAATTTTCAATGTCCCAGGTCGTTCACCTGGATACGAATGGCATGCCATGGTTACGAATGATATACGAATATAGTCATCTTCTCAACTTTCCTCTCCACTCAGATCCTGGCATAATGTAGAATTTATATATTTATTTCAGAGGAGAGGAAAGCTGGTGTGACGGATTAATCATATGAAAAACCACAGCCTCTCGATACAGGCTTACAAGTAAGCTAGCAAAGTAACTACAAAATCACAATAAATACAGAGGTAGGATCATGTTCTTGGCTCATTTTCGATTGTTACCTGTATTAATTCAATATTTTTTGTGAGTCGATTGTGAACAGATACCACTTTGTTTAGCAACACTTTCTATCAGTCTATACCACAGGAATAAGTTTATGCTTTGTTTACTGTATTGGTACAGGGCAGTGATTTCTCTAAACCCCACTCCCTGTAAGAGGGTGAACACCTCCTCCCCCCCCTAAAATTTCAACCCCCCCCCCCCCCCCCAGCTAATTTTCAGGTGTGACACCATACTTTCATTCCTAACCTAAATAATATCCTCCACCATTGCCACCCCCTAAATTTTGCCCCCTTCCAAACTAAAAAGGCTGGGGAACATACTGGTAGCTGTACCGTACCGAGTCTGTATACTAATTCTTTTTTTTTTCGGGTGTAAGTAAGTGTTTATTTCGATTTTCCGTTACAACAAAACAAATAGGCAATACAGGGCAAAACAAACAAATATACGGGAAATCGGAAAAGTGCGCAAAATCTAAAAAAGATTCAAGACGTGCCCACTTACCCCATACAGCAAACAACACATTGAAGTTTAAAAAAAAGAGACACAAAAAATAATTCAGGTGTAAATACTTAGGTGTGGATGTTTCAACATGGGGTGTAATTTCTACTGTATATCTATACAAGGGAATAACGAGAATTGTAGAACACAACAAACAAACAAGCGGTGCACAATATGTGATAAAATTAATTTGATTACAAACGCACTCAACTAATAGTCTACCGGACGATAAACAACAATAATAAAAGCGCCATAAAAGAAAACAACAACAACTGCGGTCTGATCAAACTGCTGGACCGGTTACTCATTTATTTTCCCCCTAATATACTGGATAACAGACTTACCGCCCCACCCCATCGCACAGCCCTGATACTAGTGTGTGTATAGATATACATGAGGATGTGTGTATAACTCTGCATAAGAAATGATGAACACAGGAACGCCTACGCTCAGTGTTCCCTCTAAGGTGTGCGCGCGTACACAGCTTTCAGAGGCTGCGCACACGCATAGATTCACTGCGCACAGGCGTATTTCGATGTTATGTAACAATGTGCTCGGTTGCATGGAACGCCAAAATTTCTTCATTGGTTTTTGCACAAATATTAGTCCTTTCCAAAAAAGTGCGCACACACCAAAATTTCTGCGCACACATACTACAAAAAATTAGAGAGAACAATGCCAACGCTCATTTCTAAAACTCTCTTTTTTTTTTGCACCACCCCATATGAGTGGGATATAACCAGATAATTACAATATTAAATTTAAAAAAAGTATTGTAAATTAAAATAATGGTATAAATATTAAAACCAGTGCGTTTTATTCCATAGTTTCGTTCCCATGTTTCGGTTCATTTATCAGTTTATCGTTAATTCATTTCATTCGTTCATGTAGATGATTTGGGTCTGGTATAGTTTAGTACCACATGCACTTCTAGTTTGCCTGACTCAACAATTTTAGGAATTTAGGATTTTAGGAGTTAGGAATAACATGTGCAAAATTCGTTATGCTACGCCAACTGGATGTACTTGTGGTACTAAACTATACTAGACCCAATGATTTCATTTCGTTTTCATACATATAGCATCATTTTATTTTTTAGGTACCGGTATATCATGCAAAACAAAAAAACATAATTAGTAAATTATGTGATTCACCTTAATAAAAAAAATGAACAAGAAAAAATAAATATCCACTTTAACTCTGGGCGCTGGATTAAAAGTTCCTGCATAACAGACGCGTCTCAACTGGATTCCGACAGTCCGAAGACGATTTTCTTTGTTTTATGAGGCTGAACTTCGACCGCCGTTTAGTTCCGCTTTTCTGCATTTATTCAAGATAGTTATGGCACGGCAGTATGGAATGTCGTTATCTAATGGACCTTTCCCCGAGCATCGACTTCCTTGTTTATTCCGTGACGTTGGCCAATCAGCAAATTGCAAAAAGTGACGTAACAATGCCCCCTTTTCGCATCCGCTCAGACACTTTTCTCACTCAGACAGATTTTCAAGCGTGGTTGTAAACATTACCTCGTTTTCGCATTTTTGAACTCTATTCGTTAGTTTTCAGTTGTGTTTCGGAAACTTGAATAAAAATCAGATAATTCAATGATCACTCTGTCTTCTTGGGAGTTTTAATTTAATTGCAGTAATAAAAATTAGTGTAGAAATAGCTGTGATAGACTAGCCTGAAATTCTTTACCGGTACTTTTAAAAAACAGATTGTTGTGTGCGATGAATCCTAATGATTCCAAATTATGGCCTGGCCTAGTCATGGATGTCGTTAATCAATCGTTATAATTAGCGTCAAATGCCGCCTAATAATGCCGCACATAAAACCATTGCCCGAAACAAATTAACTAAAACGTGAATCATTCACAAGGGAAGTGGCGGGAGATTCAACACAAAGACAACACGGTACGAATTGTAAATTCATGTGACGCGACATGACGTTAATGTTTACACAAGTCTTACCCAAAAAACATTAGGCCCCCGAGGGCCACCTAGCTTCTCAGTATTTCCAGCAGGATTGGTGCAACTTGGCGGCCCTCAAAGAAAATTCATGTGCCCGGCGGGAGAAGTGGCCAGATTTTTGAAATATTTGCGGCCCGCGAAACGAATTATTCCAATCCTTTTTGTGTTGCCGAAGGCCTATACTTTAAGTCCAATTATTGTTCTCTCTTCCCTGCTTAGTTTTATTGTTTATTTACTTCCTTCGCTGGATCGTCGATTATGCAAACTAGATCATTCAATAAAAAGTTATAATTACCATGCTGAGACATGACGACGATAAATTTCACACAATAACGCTTATGAAAGTGACCCGCATTTTATGCCAGACCTTCTATTGTTCCCATATCTTTTGTCCAGTGCAAACTATGATTAACAACTCAAGTTCAAACAAAGGTTTTGCACATTTATCTTTTACAAATTTTTTCTCGTGTCGTGGCCCCATCCAACGTTGGTTTCTGGCAAGTTTATATCCCGAACAAATCTTTATCTTGTTTGTGAGGCCTAGTGTAAAAACATATCAATTAAGCGACCCATACCCTATCTCCATCCTTTCACACCGGAACCTGGGATATGGATATGGACGTGTCATAAACTGACTATTGTACATATCGCCGTTGTGCCGTACCTTTTTGTCTTGTGTATTTTACTAGAGTTTTATTTGTATAGTCAGTTTCATGTCTGTTGTCCTAGGGTTTTTAGGGTTAAATTTTGCGTCCGGAAAGAATTTAAAAAATGCTTAAATGTCCGGAATCCGGAATTTTACTGCATCTGCAATCGTACTGTGCACACTGCTAATAAAAAACATTGTTATTTCGTACCGTGCGCATATTTTTTACCACGAGATCATCAAAATAGTCATTAACTGTCCGGAATTTTGCTTTTTCAAATATGGTGACCCTAGGGTACATGTCGCACGGTGGCGTAGCAAGACTCTCGTGGCCCCCCCGCAAAAATATTTCGGGGAAATGACCCTAAAAACTCTCGGACATAAGCTAAGACAACGTTTTTTTATTTCGTCGAAGAGAGTAACATGTCGGTATAAAAAGGCAACGGTAACCTAAAATTTGCGCTTTCGCGTTAGCAAACTCACTTAATTTAAATTTAAACGGATTAAATATTTCGTTATCTTGGTTACTTTAATTTTTTATACGTTCTTCCTCTTCTGTCCTTTTTCTGCGTTTCTGTGCGCCACTGAGAGATTTTGCTTTCGACATCATTCCGACAGCCTTCGTAATTTTGCCGGTGCGATCAAACCACAATCGACGACTCCCAGGTATTGTTACGTAACAAAACGATCTGAGCAGAACTAACATCAACATTATAAGATATGCTTTACTGATTTTGCAATGCAGCTTTTGGTTTCGCGGCTTAAATTTCTAAATTCTAACCGCTTGGGGCCCCGCTGCAATTCCTTCCTTGATGTGTCATATGTGCAAGGTTAATCAACTTAGTAGTAAGAGCATTAGAAACAAGGATTCTTTCACCTCGGAATATCAATTCTTTGTAAATTGTCAGCTCATCACTTACATGATAAAATGTTTGTAAAGCAGAATCAACATCTTTTTTGTAAGGCCATCCATTACAATGGTAACCTTTCATTTTAGAGAGCATAGGATCATTACGTGTAGCTTCTTGTAGTTCAAGTAAAGAAATGGATAAATCAGTATCCGTAGTATTCAGAAATTGCACACAACCTCATCTTCGCAATCGGCATTTTCAGTAGAATTCAAAGGTAATCTGGATAGAGCATCAGCAAATTTGTTTTCAGAACCAGATTTGTATTTCACTGTATAATCGTAATGTAGCAAACGAGCATTCCATCGAGCAATTCTCATAGATTGTCTCGAGTATTTCCTTGGGATGTAAGCAAAGTAGTAAGAGCTTGACGATCAGTTTGCAGCTCAAATTTTCTACCCCAGATGTAATTATGGAATTTTTCACATGCCCATACACAAGCAAGTGCCCCACGTTCACCAACGGAGTACTTTTTCCCATTTTCAGTAAGTGTTCTGGATGCACATGTTATAACACGTTCAGTCTTATTTGCATCAATTTGACTCAAAATAGCACCCAAACCATAGCCAGAAGCATCAGTAGTAATTATAGTAGGCAAATTAGGATCATAAAAAGCAAGCGTAATATGGCAGAAATACACTTTTTAGCAGTAATAAAACTTTTTTGAGCATCAGTATCCCACCAAAAAATAACATCTTTGCGTAAAAGACGTCTCATTGGTTCAACAATAGTAGCAAAATCATAACAAAATTTAGATTAGTATCCAATCAAACCAAGAAAGGAACGTAAAGAAGTAGCATCATGAGGGGAGGGAGCATTTAGTATAGCATTAGACAATTTAGGGTGTGGCATTAAACCCTGAGCAGTAAGAACATGTCCAAAAAATTCAATTTTGTCAACATTAAACTCACATTTACCATTCAACTTGAAATCAAGCTTCAAAAGTCGTTCAAAAATTTTATGTAAATTAGCATCATGTTCTTGTTTGGTACGACCCCAAATTACAATATCATCAAGTATACATTTAACACCTTTTAAACCTTCAAGAACAGATACCATCATCTTTTGGAAAGCACTAGGAACAGAGGCTAAACCAAAACAAGCACAACGAAATCGAAATAAACCTCCATGTGTAACAAAAGCAGTTAATTCTCTACTTTCATCAGCTAAGCTAATTGATGATAAGCAGAAGCAAGATCTAATTTTGAAAAATATTTGGCACCATGCATTTCACTAAATATTTCATCTACTGTAGGCAAAGGAAATTTATCAACCACAATCAATTCGTTAACTTTCCTCAAATCCAAGCACAAACGAATTTTACCAGTCTTCTTTCGAACTACGATTAGTGGTGAAATATATTCAGAGGAATTTCTCTTTTCAATTATGTTAGCATTTTCTAGCTGTTTCAATTCAGCAGTAACAGCATTACGAATAGAAAAAGGTAATCGTCTCAACTTCTGTTGAACTGATTTGGCATCTTTTTTCATTTTTACTTTATGCACAAACCCTTTGATAGTGCCAGCAATAGGTTCAAAACATTCAGCATATTTAGCAAATTCAGGCCCTAAGCCCTTTGGCAATTTGTAGGAAGCATTTGTATCGGTATACATTACAGACATTCTTGTACCATCAAGTTTCATATGTAAAGCATGTAAAATATCACGTCCCAGCAATGAAAGACCTTCTTTCACTACATGTATAATAGCATTGCAGAATTTACCATTGTAAGAAAGATTAGCATGAAAATAACCAATCAAGTTAATTTTGTTTTTAGAGGAGGATGTAAGATTCACTCTAGGTTGCATCAATTTCAGATTAGAAAAATATTTATGGTAAAGGTAACGCAATAACAATGTAACTGGACTACCAGTATCAACAAGAAAAGATAGTAGGCCTACTGTAGAATTAATACACAATTCAACATAAATAGCATTATCAGAATGACTAGTAGTAGTAGTATATATGTAAAATTTGATTAGAAGCCACATTTATGTGTTGCAATGGTGTACTTTTGCAAACTTTTTCAAAATGTCCAACTTTGTTGCATTTGCGACATTTCGCATTTTTTGCTTTGCAATCTCATTATTAGCAAAACGATCTTTGGAACCACATCTGTAGCAGGATCGTGTCTTCATCTTATTCGTAGTAGGACGTTCTTTGTATTTGAAGTTAGTATGATTTGACTCCATTGTATTTACTGTATTTGTATGTACAGCAATTGATCTGAAATCGCGTAAAGCTTTTTCAACTTGACGAGCAATCTCCAAAGTTTTTGTAAGTGTAAGTGTAGACTGCATTAGCAATTTTTCTCGTATTTTATTCACGCTAGTTTGTTCCACGATTTGGTCACGAATCATTTCATCGGGATCACGAAAATTACAATCAGTCATTAACTCCAGCAAGATATCCATCAATGGATTCACCAGGTAATTGAGAACGTTGTCGGAAACGATATCTCTCAGCAATAACACTTACAGCAGGTTGAAAATATTTTTCAAGCATTTTAACAGCTTTCATGTATACATCATCATTTTCATCGAACGCAACTGCATCTTCTGTCAATGTGTAAAATAATCTTTGGCCTTCAGCACCTAGGCAGTGTAGTAGTATAGCCTTTTTTTTTCTAGCAGCAAGCAATTCAGTATTGGCAGTAGCACCCATGTTTCCATGCAACTGGTGGTTTTCCAGGATTGGATAAAAACATAGCAGGTGGTGGGAATCCGTAAGAACTCATTTCTCCGTAAGGAGAATAGTGAGGTAGCAGAAATTGTAGCAATGTAAAAACAGCAAACCGGTGTGTAGGCTAGCTTTTTGTATCAAGCCGCAGCGACAATCAGCAAAATGTCCGAAGTATTTACCGTCGCTTTTCACGTAAAGTAAGGTAACCTCCGTCTTACTACTTACTGAATACAGCGCGAAACACCGCAAATAGCGCAAAACAGAGGGAAACAGCGCAAAATAGTGGGGAAAGAGCGCAAAACAGTGTGAAGCAGAAAAAATTTTGCAATGAGTTCGGGGCACCTTGTTTTGAGTTGGAGTACCACGGCAGCAAATTAAAAACACAAACCAACGTATGTAGCCAGTAATGCTGTAATGGCAGGTCTGCCCCTGCTGGTGACACATTTTGGGTACCATAATTTAGAACATTTTCCATATGGTTGGCTTTAGGGTTAGGTAACAAGGGACTTCCAGAAGTATGTGCACCAAGATGGCGCACAAGCTGAAAATAGTATGTGTGTGTGTGTAGCGGATTCAGGTTGTGCGACATATTGCTGCACATACTTCTGGAGCACCAAGTAGGTAGATAAAATTTCGCATGATGACCTATAATCCGGTACGTAACCTTGTAAATATACCGGAAATAGCGCCATAAAACCGCCATAAAAGCGTCACGTCCCAGCCATTCCGCGAGAATAGCAAAATGTATTTTCTCTTGTACCTCATGATTGGCCGAAATATCATAATGCATCACAACTGCCTAAATCAAGGGCCTGCACAAGGAACATTCAGAGAAATATAGGGTGTCCATAAAGTCTTAATTAAACTTTTTTGAAATTGTAAAGGAAATTAATTTATCGATACCATATATTGTTTTGGCCCTCACAGATGTATTAAATGAAGTAAAAATACTTGAACAATTACTGATTAAAAAACAACAAACCTGGTTGAAAAATATTGAAAACTAACTTCATAACAAAATTGAAATTGTAAAGGGACTTTATGGACACCCTGTATAAAAAGATATCAACACAACACGGACATGGACCTTAAAATCTGTGACAGGAGACACAAAACCATATGCCTTTTCATACATTATTGAGACAATATATTTGAAGTCGACTCAAACATGATGTGACATATGAAACTTTCTTTGTCAATTTTGATGAAATTTAACAGGGTATACATTATTGAGACAATATATTTGAAGTCGACTCAAACATGATGTGACATATGAAACTTTCTTTGTCAATTTTGATGAAATTTAACAGGGTAAAGCTTCCATATGTACACATCAAGAAGTTTAGTCTGAATCAGTAATCTTCCCCTAAAAATAAACAATCCAAAATTCTTGGTTGCAAGCCTGGTCTTTGCAACTTGTTAAATTTCATCTATATTGAAAAAAAGCATGCGAAAAATTCATATTGGAAAAAGCATATGAGAAAGTTCTATTGAAAAAAGCATGTGAAAAATTAACAAACCATAAATTCGACAAAAAAAAAATGAAGCGTGATCTCACAGCATTGGAACTGTGACATATATGCACTTTCATTAAACTTTGGCAAGTTTTAATAAAAATTCAAGGATGGTGAGATGATTTGAAACTAGTTTAGCAATTATATTAATAGGTTTGGAACAGATTAACTTAGTATTAGGAAATAACATTTTAAAAACCATTTTTGCATATCAATTATTGAGTAGGTTCCATTACATTTGAACCCACGTACATTTGAACCCATGACAATTGCACCCTATGGAAATTTTTTTGTTTTACGGATATTTGAACCCATACTCACCCTAACCCATGGGTTTTAGCACCCGCATTTAGATTGAACCCGTGGATATGCACATGGGTTCAAATGTACATGGGTTCAAATGTACATGGGTTCAAATGTACGGTCACCATTGAGTATATTGGTTTTAAATTTTCAAAGCATATCAAACATCTTCTTCCTAGTGTGTTAGCACCTTTACCAAATGCAGGGGTTATTTATATCTATATCCATAAAAAATTAAATTTTACATAAAGTAGTTGAAAAATATTTCTTCTATAGAAAATAGAAATTCTGATTTTTTTCAGAAACGGTTTTATCTATAAAATGAACTTTTTTCAGGATTTTCCAAAATTTCATTTGCAACAAGTCAAAAATTGAACTTGTTAACAGATACAAAGATTGCATATACCTTGAAGGTGATCAAATTTATGCATAATCAAAAAATAAAATAATAAAACATGAAAAAACGACTACAGTAATAGAAATACATGGGCGGAACCAAAATCCATCCAAATAAAGAAAAAAAAGGCATATTTTACCTTCAATGGCTATAACATAAGAGCCTTGGTAATAAACTAATAAAGCCTTTTTTGCACAAATGGGCATACGACTGGAACAGGTCTACAACATATTTCATCTTCTTGATAAGTGAGATGAAAGCAGGGTAACAAATAAAATGGCCAAATTTTTACCAAATAAATGGATAAAAACATGCAAATTTTTTTTTCACATAAAGCTAAAGGTGAGTTGACTAATGGGACCTAAATATATAAAGTTTCCATTCAAATGGTAACATTTGGGGCTATGTACTTCATTAAACTTATAAAATGAGCACATAATATGCAAAAACTTTTGCACACATAGCTAAAGGCAGGGGCGTAGCCAGAAATATTCAAAGGGGGGATGGAGTTCTAAATTTTTTATTTGCCAAGCTAGATCGAAGCAACTAGCGGTTCTGTCCGAACACCGGAAATGTGTGTTTTAATTAGTCTTAAGGGTCTAAAAAGCATTCCAAGCTACAAAAAATTGCCTTGTATTATACAGAAAGATCTTTTTTTGGTCAATTTTTTTCCATCCCGGTTAGTCCCCATCTTCCCCGTGTTCCTCCATTTCTGCGTTTTCTTCACCTCCATCTTCCATTGCGTCCTGTCCATCATTTGAGGGGAGATTCTCGAAAACTCTCTAAAACATGAGATTGTATGTCAAATACTAAAACGAGAGAGCAATGCTCAAAGTCATACGACTAAGCATTATTATGGAGTGTTTGGATTCATTGATGCATATCCAAATCACTAGATGTCGCTAATGAGCCATCCAATTCTAAATGATCATAAGGGCTGTTCTTGTAGTCTAGTAAATTTCGAATTCATTGTTGTTTTTCCATGATTTGTGTATTTTAACGATAATTTTTGTCAATTGGTATGTGTTAGCCAAGTGAATATACCCCATGCCCATAGGTTTCAGTATCTTTACATAACTTGATATAAAGTGGACGAACAAAATTACCGTAGTTACTGCCATATTGGTACGCATACTTCGTGAACACCGAATTTTTTATGCAACAGAAATGCGCTACCAAAAAAAAAGTTCGAGGAGCACTCGCCTAACACTACTCACATCATGTATGCAGCGATGCCGTTGACCAATATGTTCTTCACACAGAAAGACCCCACACACAGGGCAGAATTGAGGGGCAAGTGGATGTGTATGAGCTCGGCATGTGTCGCAAATCCTAAAAATAAGTTTAAAAACTGATAATTCTGGAAGATTTTCATTTTTGTTTTAGAAACTGGTATTGTACAGAGCAATGGTTCTCAAACTTTTAAGTCGAGCCCCTTTTTTAAAATTTGTCAAATATCACGCCCCACTTAAAGAATAACTAGCAAACAATTAGCTACAGATAATAAATAGTAGGGCCAAAGTATGTACGTTTTATTCGAAAAAACATGTCAAAAATAATATGTGAATGGAGACAAAATATCCAAAATAAGGCGGGCAAGATAAAATATAAAATTTATTTTTATTTTTAATGAGTTTCACACCTTTTTAAAAAACTGTCTACGCCTACCTTGTGAGGCGCGCCCCACCGTCCGAAAACCACTGCACTAGAGAATATATTTAAAAGCCATGGAGGCCTACACTAGTTACCATCCGCGTTGACTATACGGATTAACATGTGTTGCAAGTGTAAAGGTCATAAAACCGAGGATTATCTGCAGCAAGTTGATCAATGAATGATGCAGACATAAATTAAATCTATAGGCTATCTATTACTGTATTTTTTTTCATGATGAAAATATAATAAATATAATACAGGGTAGTCTCTAGAAAAACAGAAAATTTGTTAAATCACAAATAGTACCGTTTACAAAGTATTTTTAAAGACATATGTTATATTACACTCCTAGATTTTCGAAATGTTGTCTGTGCACTTCAGAGCAGTGTCTGTGTTTTAAAGGTTAACTTGTGGGATCCAATTCAACCCATACCTATTTTATTTGTGAGCCATCTGACTTTTAAATTTTCTAGCGGCCACCCTGTATAATAGACCTGATATTTTCAACTTACCAAGGCCTCCCTTCTCTGGGGCTTGCTGGATGGTTGAAAGTCCGGCCCGGCCGGGGTTGATCGTATGCGATCTGAAGATAATGAGACAAATATTACTTTTTACGCATCGGCGACAAGAGCAAAATAACATTTTGTATTTTTACTTGTGTGAGCAAATTTTTAAACATGAATTCTTAGATTATAATTCTAAATCTGTGTTGAGTGTTGACTTGTACATAGCCTTGCTGAGTATCAAAACATACAATGAGAAAGTGAAAATAAAATACAAGTTTTACCAGATTTCCAGCATAATCATCCAAGTAACAAACTTGCCGACGTCGTTGTGCAGCGGCTCGTTGTTGTTCAGTCAGTGGAAAGTCTTCAAAATTTCTAAAAATAAAATTTGAATTAATTTGATTTGTTTGATTTTTGATTAATTTTTAACTCTTTTTGGAGTGCACCGATATGTTGGTAAATAACTTTGTTTGCCTGTTTTATATCAAGTTATGTAAAGGGAATGAAACTTATGGGCAGGGGGTATATTCACTTGGCTAACACAGACAATCTCCGGACTCGTAATAGAACTAAAATAAGGAAAATCGGAATAAAAGTATGACCTAACCCGATACACACTCTACAGGAGTACCCAGATGAATATGATGGATGAATAAAACGCTGTTTCAAAAATTTTTTAGCGATCGCCCTTTATTTAATTCTTAAATGATAACTCCATTACTCACCCATAACTCTCGACTCTAGAGTTTTGCAGTGGCTGTTGATGGGACGTCCTGGGGTTTGTAGCAATGTCACTAATGGTAAAAAAATATGAAATTCAAAACTATTCTGAATTAGTCTAACAAAACACAATAAAGTAGAAACTCTACCTGCGAAATTAAATCGTACCTGAAGCTATTTTGAGAGCAGAACGTTTCGTAGGCGGGAACGCATTTTATCTTATAAATGACCAAGTCCATTCTACGCCCCCACAAAACTTGGACACGATAAGTTCATAAATTATAAGTAATAATTAACCCTGTAACAAATACATGTTAGAATTACTGCATAATAAATAGAAAAGATAAACATGGAAAGAAAGAACAGAGAAATAATGAATAAAAACTACGAATGATATAGGATTTGCAGGAATGTCACTAATGGTGTAAAATATATGCAATTCGATAGGTTTTTCAAATTTTCTCTTGATGTTTGGGGCAGCCGCATCATTGGTCGCAACCTTCAGACAAGAGACATACAAGTAGAGAAAGTATGTAGTCAGGAAATTGCAAAAGGGGGGGGTTGAAATTTTTAATTACCAAGTTAGAGTACAACATCTAGCGCAGGGGTCGGCAACCTACGGCCCGCGGAGCAATATAATCCGGCCCGCGACGCTTCACTGAATTATAGTAACAAAACAGCTGTTTTGTCGATTATATCCTTTACGCAAAAGAATTTACGTGTAGACTAAATTATATTATAACGTAACAAGCATATTATAATTCACAATTACTCGTTTAATGAGCCTATAATTTAATTATAATTTAGACAAATGACAACAAAACACAGAAAGTTGATGCTAAGTGCAAATGGTTTAATGGCGCAAAAAATATTCAAATGATCAGTCTTCTCGCGCTGCTTAAAATTGAACTTCTGATCTGTGTGATAAAATGTGATTCATCGGTCATCCATTCGGTTTTTAACTTTCTAAAAATATGTGCGGCCCGCCAATGACTTGCAACCTTTAATTTTGGCCCGCGAGTAACAAAAGATTGCTGACCCCTGATCTGGCGGGTCCTGCCGAAAACGTGTGTTTTCAAAAGTCTTTAGTGTCTAAAAAGGCATTTCAAGCTACGAAAACCTGTTTTGTATGATACAAAAAAAAACTTCGGGAGTGCCCAAATTTCTACTCCGAAAAACTTCAGCAGGAAATCGATGTTTTCCTCATTAAATATATAAAATCTGGATTCCATATCTCAGACCCAATTTATTACTTCCTGGGTAAGGCGAGAATGGGGTTAAAACCAAGGCCTTTAACTCACCTCCCTTCTCTGAGAATCTCTGGAGGATGATAGAAAGTACGATCGGGTCGTTGTGGCTCGTAGGCAATCTAAAGATAATGAGACATGCTTATTTCATTCGCTCGTACCCAACCAAACCGAAATATTTGATATTTTGAGTATATCAGCGTTATCTAATCAGTGAGGAAATTTACAGCTCCCATGATCGAGGAGAAAGGTTGTATTTGCAACCAAGATTTCTATTGCTTAGTTATTTGTTAATATTGTAATACATATATATACACATAAAAAAGACCAAAGGTTGCAACTTTTTTGCCATATAACCAACTTGTGATATCACCCGTGCCACACAAACCCTATTATGAATTACTGACGTACATTATTCGTAGGATCTTCATCATCATGCCTTATATCAATGGAACGAAGTAAGTGTTGAACAATGTCACGGCGGTTATTCAGACATCGTTCTGGGCCGGGACGTGAACGATTTCTGACCTAAAAACAAAAGAAATGTTTAAATATATCGATACAAGGTTCTGTCAATGTCATGGTTCATCGAGCATATTTTAACAAATTGATCAGGGCACATCTTCATTGAAATATTCAGTAGATATTCAATTCAAAGATTTGAAATAAAACGATTTTGCCAATGGACCATATTATAACCAACTTGTGACCTCACTTGAGCCACACAAACCCTACTATATCCTCTTCAATAAGATGTTTGGGCGCTCCAGAAGTATGAGAAACACGATGGCGACGCCGGAACGTAGTATGTGTACCAGGTTAGGGTTAGGCCATAATTTTATTCCAATTTTCTTATTTTAGTTCTATTATGAATTCGGAGACTAGCCAAGTGACTCCCGTAGTATTTGTAACTGAAATTTTGGCCTAACCCCAACCTGTTACACATATTACATTCAGGTGTCTGCCATCTTGGTTCACATACTTCGGGAGTACAGATGTTTAACCCTTGGCTGTTGCTGCTTGATAACTAGTATTGCTTCCCTCCCCAAGTGATGTAAATACCATTTTTCCCCATTATTTTGCATGATTTTTGACTTTTTACTGGCTGGAATAAATAAAATTAACTTGATATCTAGCCTATCCATAGTCATGTTAATTTTGAGCACAAACATATGATAACCAGATATTAGGGTGAGCACTACTATATGACATCCGCCTTACCTATCGCTATATTGAAGGTTAACACTATTATATGACATCATCCACATGCATCAGAGTGAACACTAGAATATGACATCTTGCACAAGAATTACTTGCTTACATTATTCACAAGATCTTCATCATCATGCCTACGATCAACAGGGCCAGTGCGAGGAAAGGGCGCAACAAGGTCCGGGTGGTTCTCCGGATAGCGTTCGGGGTCAAGACATGCACGTTTTCTGACCTAAAAATAAAAGAAATGTTCAAATATTTTGACATACAAATGCTGCCAATGTCACGGTTCATCGAATAAATTTCAATCAATTAATCTGTAAACCAGTGGTTTCCAAAAGGTGCGCCGCAGCGTGTTGTCAGGTGTGCCACGAAATTAAACAGAATTGTGCTGAAAATAACTAAAATATGATTTTAAATATCGTCTTCATTATGACAGATTTAGTGTTGCCTATTTTGAATACTTAGTATACAATTCAATGAATTCCTTTTAACTTTCCATGTTTTTTACTTTCTGTTACATAGTGTCTGTCCACCTCCATTGTTACGTAACAATAGATACAGACGCCGCTTACTGCAATTTTGTGATGTTTAGTTTATTTATCTGCTGAACAGAGTTAAGGAAACATGCAGAAATGGGGAGGAAGAGTTGACCTTCTGCCTTTTTTCCCCAGGCCTACTTGTTTACTATAAAGTACACATTAACGACCAAAATATTGAGATTTATTGTAGAGCGGCATATCTTTTTCGGGCAAGTGCGCCGGGAGTATTTTTCCCTGGCAATTTAGCACGGCACGAACAAAAAGTTTGGGAACCGCTGCTCTAAACAATAAAGAGGGCTCCTGAAGTATGCGAACCAAGATGGCGGACATCGGAATGTAATATGTGTACTAGATTAGGGTTAGGCCATAATTTTAGGTATAAATACTACGGGAGGCTCTTGGCTAGTCTTCGAACTGATAATAAGACTAAAATATGGAAAAATTGGAAAAAAATTATCGCCTAACCCTAATCTGTTACCCATGTTACGTTCAGATGTCCGCCATCTTGGTTCGCATACTTCAGGAGCACCCAATAAAGAAATGTAAACATCCGAAATAAGGCGAGCAAGATCAAATCTAACAAATATTTTCATTTTTAATTAGCTTCATGCCCCCTCAAAAAATTATTTACCCCCTCTTGTGGGGCCAACTACACAGTTTGAGACACACTGTTCTAGGCAAACGCATTAGAACTCAACACCCACATTGGGCTGGCGTACTTCTTGTCCAGTGTCAGTGGATTCTGGTTCTGGAATTCCTCGTTTACGTGGAATTGTTCTGTTGAAAAAAATACAATGTGAGAAAGGATTCTCATAGTTATTCCAAGGAGGGAAAGTTGATTAAGACGGCATTATCATATGGCGAACCACAGTCTGCAAACATTAAAGTGGCTACAGCAGAATCTTGTTAGAGCAGCCAGAATTCAAGTTGCGGGCATAAAGTTGATTACTACTGACTAATTACTAGGCCTGGGCATTTTTGAATCAAACATTCGAAACGAATTGAATAGTAAATTAGTCGAATCATTTCATAGCAAAATTTTAAAACGCCGCCATCTTGTTTTTTTACTCCAATGGTCAAGGTAGATTTCTCAATTTCTTTTATTGGAGCCATATTTTTTCAACGTAATTCTGACATACAACTCTTTTCTGTAGTAAGTTATTGATGAAAACGTGTTTTGTGAGTGAACGCTCAGCAATCTGCCTGAGTGATGTATTCTATGTTTTCAGTCTCCCAAGTATTCGAGATTCAATTCGACAAAAAATATTCGATTAGATTCTGAAATCATCAGGAATTCGAAATGCCTAGCCCTACTAATTACACATCACTGCAGTTAAAAGTCCAGAGTGGTAAAATTAGGTCACATTAAGCTCATTCAAATTTGTCAAAACAAGCCACCCTCTAAAAGTCGTTTAAAATCCCCCGTTAACAACAATAAACATAAAATCAAACCTTCTATGGTTTTCATTTCCAGATGTGCCTTGAGTTCCTTGACTGCTGCTTGCACCACTGGGTAATTCAGGTCCTACGCTTATGTTCACATCTTCATGTTCCCTGTGATTGGGAACTGGATTCTGAGTAGATTTTGTTTGATCGCCTTTGTTCATATCACGTGGAGCCGAGAAGGCTTGCTGAATTTCTTCTTGTTGTGTAGGGTTCGTTATTGAAGTATTTCGTCTCGAATTATTTCGAACAACATCACTTGGTCGATTCTCCCTATTTCCTCCATTTTCGTGTGTATGCCCGCTATATCCTGCTGTTTCTATGGAAGCGTTGCCTCGTTGGTTGCATTCAAGAATTGTGCTTCCTTTATTTTCATCTGAATTTTCTCTATTTTCATCCGAGTTTCTGTTATTTCCATCCTGATTTTCCCTGTCTGAAATTCCATTATCATTTGCGCATCCCGAAACAATTTTCTGATTTCTGCGATTTTTTTCTGGGTCACCATCCCCGTCTCCAGTTCCGTAGGAACCTTGACTCGAACATCCCCCGCTTGCAGAATTCCCGCCCGACGAAATTTGGGCACTCTGCTGTGGATTAGAATTTGACGATGAACCCTCACTTTTTTTCTCATTGTTATTGCCATCTACACATTCCTGGAGACAATCTGGTTGAAACGTTTGTTTTCGTCCATGTACTTTACATTCAGTTCGATTGTTTTGAGCCCCGAATCGACAAATAGAATCCTCTGTTACGGCACCAGCTTCGTCCAATTTTCTGAGCGACCCCTCGAAAGATTCCCAATATTTCATAGTAGAGACATTATTTGTAAACATGCGGTTGTTAAAATTATTCTCTGCACCATTCTGGAAGTTTTCCACTTCTTCTACTAGGACCCTTTTTTGTTCATCAATTTCCTCATTTATTTTTTTCTTTTCTGGTTCAAAATCCTGATTTCCAAATTCCACAACGTTTGAGCACTTTGGGACTATATCCCTCTGTTTGCGTTCATCATCAAATTGCATTGAACAATTTTTCCAGACCTTGGTATACACTTTGCCAGAAGTTCCAGAAACCACACGAAGTAGTAAATCAAACTTCAGCATTTTTGCAGAAACTTGGACGATTGTTTTTTCATCTTGTCTTTTGAGTGTGGTAATATTCTCAGAAACAAGACTACTTATCTCCCTTGACAAATTCATTGTATTCTGAATCTGAATATACAGGTTTTCTTCGGAGCGAACAGATTTTTCATGTTTTGAGGAGTCTATGACCTTGGTATGGTCCGAATGACCTTGATCTGAAGACATGCCAAATAGAAGAGGGTATTCGTCTTTTGAAAGGCCGACATTGCGTAACATTCTCCATTTTGCAAGAAAGATATTGAATTTAGCAAAAATGAAAGCACACAAATCCAGTGAATCTTTGATGTCGGCAGAATAATTGACGAGTCGTAGATTTTCATCTTCCTCAACCTCCGAGACCGCTAGTAATATTAGAAAGAAAACAATTCTTCGTAAAAATTTCGGAAAAACAGGAGTTGCAGTCTTTTTTTTCCAAGGTTTTCCAACACGATGCATGGCTGTTAAATTATTGACTCTGTGACTATTATAGTCGACTTTCTGTCTTCACACCAATGAAGCACTATGACTTGAAACGAAAAGACTTTAATGCAAGACAACTTATTTTTAAAGTAAGTTAAAAGGCGCGGCCATAAACTGTAGCCACAGTACCATACTACTCTGAAAGGAAAAGAAACATCATTTTTAATCTTGATAGAACGTTCATTCATGCATTTCTTCCAAGCTTAAAAGCTAGTCATTCAAATTTTTTAGGAAATTCAGAATTTGTATTGTTCATCTTATGAATCAATCAATCGTTTATTTTGGTACTCTGAAAAACAGCACAAAAAGTAGGCGAACAAACAAAATGCAGAGATACCTGGAAGGCAATCATAACTTAAAATAAAGTTAAAAAACGTAAAAGTACGCGCCCGTCCACCAAAAATATAATAATAAATATACAAGCATACAAAAAACACGATTCCAATCGGGCAATGTTTCAAGAAACACATTTTTGCTGAAGGGATCTGTGGACAACTTACACGAAATAATAACAAAATTTAAGTAGAGAAATTAAATGTAAGACTTTTAACGACTTCTTCCGTCCAGTTATGGTAATTGAAAGATCACCAGAATTTACCCCACATATCATATATATAAATGAAGTTGATTTTAAATATTTGAATGTAGCAAACTCTGGGTATGGGATTCTAGATTGTGTATATCTAAATAAATAAATAGCTGTAGGAAACATCTTGCTTTCAAAGAAAAAATCACCAACAATTTATCAAATGTACAAAACAGATTAAAAAAAAATGCATGCATGAAAGGAGCATCAATTTTCGAAGGATAAAGTGTAAATTTGCTAAATCACCAAAAAAAATCCCAAATTGACTCCATAGATGCATTTCTTTGATAAGTTTGCTAACAAATATTGAACACAGCAAATTTAAATAAGAGTTCTATGCAAGTGGGATCATGCTCCTTATGGTTATGAAATAGGGCCTTAGTCATCATAGCATGTTGCTGTTCAAAAAGCACAAAAATAAAGTGATATAGTAGCTTACAGACAAGATTGAAATAGCTGTAAATACAAAGATCGAACAAAGCATGCCAATGTTAAAAGCAAATAGTGACTAGTAGTAGGTATGTTACAAAAAAATTAAAGTTCATCCGATTTAAATAAAAACTGCACCAGTGGATAGATCTATGTGAAAATAAGAAAACAATACCAAGTTTGTGAAAAACGGTCAAGAATTAACGGAGATATCGGCATTTAAGTACCACCCGATAGGCCAATTTTTTCCATGAGGATTGTATGGCGCCGACTCAAAAACTGTGCCGCAAGAATGTCAGACCAATAAACAACAGAATGTATCTCGGCTAATTTTGAAGGTAATTGAAAAAAAAATAGGAACAAAAAGGTATTGTGAATAGAAAAACCTAATGCAAAAAGTTTACAAATTATTTTTAACGAAATTGGCTGCTTTCCAATTAATCATGTACGAAAAGTCTCTGAACTTTACATAACTTCTGGTCAGCAACGACTTCCCCACTACGACAGTTCCCGCCTACGCGGCAATTAACTGATTTAGCTTTTTCCATATCCGACCTTAATGAACGATTCTTTATAATTCAATATCCCGTAACTCGTAAGATATTTACCGCACTTAGTGAAATGCTAAACGAGAGAAATCGCTGCGAGGGAAAATGTCGCCGTTCAATCGATAACTGATGCGCGTTGACAGACGCGTGCTAAGATCATACTTCCCGTGCCTTGAATTAATTTGTACCGTTTCGTAAACGTATGCGAATTGACTTTTTTTAATAAGAACTTTGATGAATATGAAAAAGAACACATATCAATCACTAATCTTTCGATGTGCGTCACATCTGAGAAAAATTGGGATTATTTTAGGATTTTATTCTGGCAACGATCATTGTGGCCGTCGGAAGATCGTCGCAAATCAACCCTGGAGTTGTGCATATTAGTTTGACAGTGCCTCGTAGCGGGTAATAATTAACGATGTTCTGATTGAACAGACTTCATAAAAATTGGTAAGTATCAAGTTGGGAATGACATACATGCGACATATATATTTTATTGGTGTCCATAGACAATATCATTAATTTGCAGTGCGTATAACTTTAGCGTAATTTTTAAAAGCCCCGAATGTTGGGAAATTTATGCGCTAATGAAAAAATTCAAATACCGAATCATAGTTGTGTATTTTATCTAAGTTATGCCAAAATTTCATGGAATTCCAAACAACAGCAGGCAGTCCGTAGTCATTTTTATGAGCGGTATTCTGACACGGCCTAACGGTACTTAGCAGACGTGGTGCGTACATTTTTTGGCGCGAAAAAGCGCGTTTTATAACATTCCTACTAGTAGGGAACACAGCAAAAAAGATTGGGACAGTGGGTCTGAAAAAAATACAAAATAGCTATATACATTAGAACCATTTGCCAAAACAATATTCAAAGAACTACCAATCCTGGTAAACAACATGAAGATGTAAAATAATTTATTAAAACAGTAAAAGCAAGCTTAATACCACACTCACACAATGAAATACCCTCGAGCAAAAATGTTATAAGCGACAGAAGAAAAGTAAAATTATGCTTGTGTCCTACGTGCCACATAATCACAGTAAGTGGGGGTCTAGTATAGCAGTATAGTTCAGTAGTTTAGTACCATAAGTACTTCCGGTGGGCGTAGCATAACGAATTTTGCATATGCTATTCCTAACCCCACCTGACTATGCCATCTAAAAATTATGTCACTACGACGTCACCATCACGTCATAGGGATTGCCAAAGTATAATTACGATCGCCCGAAATGACATCTGCGCCGCTGATAATGAACTTGCTAAAGCCGGCGATCTCTCTCCCATAGTGATCGTTGTGACGAGAAAACGAGAGAAATTGCTTGCTCGATTTCGGGTGATCATCTGTGCGTTTTGGACGAGCATCCGCATACTTCGGTGGGCCTTATTACGCCACTGTGACGTCGTCGGTGACGTAGTCAGGTGGGGGTTAGGATTGACATATGCAAAAATTGTTGAGCCAGGTCAACTAGAAGTACATGTGATACTAAACTATACCAGACCAGTAAAGTGGTTGCAAATGTCATCGAAAATATATCAATTATTCGAGGCAAAAGATGAAAAAAAAATACCACCAAATAATATTTACCGGTACCGTACGGTACTAAGTAAGGATATAGAGGCTCATAATAAAAAAAGGATGTGATTTATATCCATTTGAAATATTTCTATTATTCTGGACAATGCTGCAAGGTACGGTACCGGTATGGTATTCCCTTTCCAGCTTTCTGCAGTTCTGTTATTTCTAACCTACAGATTCCAAAAACTTCCATCCTGACGGATACAGTCATAACTAAATGATGTTATCCATAATTTGCAATGTGTTAGCGCAACAATCCGGTACTTTCCCAGCATAGGCTGTGATATTCATCCGCCACTAGGGTACCGGTACCCTGTGACGAATAGAAACTAGAGCCCGTGATGATTCATTCGCCGGTTTTAATGGATGTTTATACGGAACATGGACTTTCTCGTTCACTGGCTAATAATCAAACTCTTACAGTTTTTTGAGACTTTGCACTTGCACTCTTTACTTGTGTCGATGTTCAGTTTTCTTCGATCCTCCATCTACAGCTGACATGAGCAAACTACGGCCCGCGAGCTAAATCCGTCTCGTTGGGTAATTCAATATTACCCCTCCCCGCGATGCTCCCACATCCAAACTGAAACCAAATTTGGTGTTTTAGCTAAAAAAAAAATAGCTCAAAGAATTTGTCGACATTCTGATTAAATTTAGTTTTGACACGAAACTTATTGTTTTTCACTTTTTTTTGTAACACTGTAAATGTTGATCATAAAATAGAACCTTTAAACGTCATACTAACATGACCCGCCAGTCTGGGTGGTTGAAAGTTTGGACCCTGGCCCAAAAACCTTGCCAACCTCTGGTCTACAGCCATGTTGTAACGTAGAGAAGACTGGGGTCAAGGGTCGGGAATTTTTCACGTGACTTTACTCAGAGATAAGTCTCCTTATTACTTTTGAGTGAGTGATTGTTGCAGATTATTCATTGTTGCGGAAATAAACAAGGAAATTGGGGAAACATTCAATGCTAGATCTAAGAGTTTCAATACGGCGCACTTTTTTCTACAATTCCTATTTGATCGCTGTGACTGCATTAACTTTAGTTCAATAGCTGTGTGTGTCTCTCTCTCTCCTATTTTTTCTACAAATTCGTTGTCGAACTCATGAAACGATACTCTCTTTCATCTTTCGCGTCAGTCCGCCGTTTGCTTTCACGCGGTAGACTTCGGAACGCGTATATCTGTGACAAGAGTTGCCAACCTGAGTCCGCTCTTGTTATTTTCCTTTCGTATATCTGACTGGTTGATAAAATGACCGTCGTATTCTTTATCATTCACGTCTTTCTCTGACCTAAATTTAGTCCATACATCTGAAACAATAAACTGACTAACTATTCCTATACCCGACATGAGCTAGTAATCGGACGAGAGGCCGTGGTTCGCCATATGATAACGTCGTCTTATATGCGTCCACTTTTCCGCTATAATCATTGAAATCATACTCTAGGCCTAGATATTATCACAGTTATACCTACTTTTGGATCTATTCTACAAAGACCCCGCCATTAATGCAAAAATGTGAAATTTGAGAAAAACGTCCGCTACGTTTTAAAATAACAAACTACAAATTATTCAGTTAGGGTTCGGGTGAGGAATGATTTGAAAATGTTAAGTTCCAGTGCAATCTTCATTCCTAACCCTATCTAGGTATTTACTAATTTTCTTATTTTGAGCGTTGACGGGGGGTTTGTACAGAAGAAGCCTAATAACGTATGCAAAATTTAAAGTTCAGCAACGACTGAAACAACTAGAGTTCTTTGTTTATAAAACTACCGCCCGTACAAGTTGAATTCGACTACATATTTTACCAATGTAACACATTTCCTATCTGCTTGTCTGTACGTCTAATAGCACCAAACTAAACCGTGATGTGAATTGAAAATCCTCACTGTTACCAGCAACAATTCATATATTGAAGTATCCGCGGAAAACAGTGGTGGTCAAAATGTTTTGGCAAAACTTTGCCCACCCCTGTTTTACAACAACGCAACTCAGCATTTCCCGCTATTTATGAATATCATCAATGACTATTTCGCTGTATTGAATGGCGTCGTATTCTATTAGCGCTATGGAGCAAACACTTAGTTTAATAGCTGTGCGTCTCTCCCATTTTTTCTACAAATTTCTCTTGTTGTCTGTGATATAAAACGAGACGCAACCGGTCTGCCGCTATCTCTCACGCGGCCGGCAGCAGACAAAAACAACGTTTGAGAGTTTGAGACACGTATTTCTGTGACCAAAGTTGCCAACCTGAAGTCCGTCCCTCCCTCGTTTCTTTCTATTTCTGACTCGGTGCCAAATGAACGTCGTATTCTTTTATCGTTCACGTCTTTCTATGTCCTAAATTTAGTTCATATATCTGAAACAGTTAACTAATCCCATACCCGACATGAAACACGCAACCGGACGAGAGGCCGTGGTTCTTCATATGATTAAGCCGTTCTATCGACGTCCTTTCCCCGCTACAATCATGAAAATCTTGCCCTATATACCATCACACAGGGGCGTTGCCCGAAAAATTTTAAAAGGAGGGGGCTGAAATTTATAATTGCCAAATTAGGCTGTAACAGCTAGGCTAGGTGGTCTGGCCGGAGGCTCAACTTTGATGGATGCAGAATTGTAAATTGCTTCAAATACCATATGATAACAAATGAATTATGTGAACGAATTATTGCGTTGCCAAAAAAGCATAAAAAAATATTATATTAGCTATTACTTTTGTTGAAAAAAAGGTTCCGCTAAAGTTAGTGGACGACTTTCTTATTACAAAAATTCCGGGAACAAATTCGTTGATTGAACATCAATTGAACGCGGAAGGTTACAAGTCCTTAAAAGTAATACAGTCTCGTGAAAGTCTGACGTAAAAACAATTTATGAAGTGATAAACAAATTTGTTATTCGGAGAATCCCCTTGTTACATTCCCATACATACATTGTTTACTATAATCAAATATCTGGTATGTTTGCCGCCAATATTAAACTTGATATACTTCAAATATCATTTTTCTTTGCAAGTAGTAGGTTTACTTTTATATATATAAATATTTATGATAATTCAGATAAATAATTGAATACAATTGAACTATTGCTCAGAGGTTGTCCGAGCCTCTAGAATGTTTCATCGGGATTACGCTCCACCAAAAAGGTTAAAAAGTTCTGAATCAAAACACAATCAGGCTAGAATGTTAGCGTCAATAGAATTCTTCTTTACGATGAGTAAAAAATCATATTACTCTCGCTGTTCATAGTGTTCTCGCTGAATGAATGAATGTATATTGTTTAACATAATCAAATACCTAATAGATTTGACGCTATTATTAAACTTGCGATACTTCAAATATCATTTTGTTTTGCCAGTATTAGGTTTATTTTTATATATATTTGAAGTTTATTAATTCAGATAATTAAATTCTTGTACAGGGGTTACTCGAGCATCTGGAATGTTTAGGGTTCCGATCTACCAAAAAGATCACAAAGGGAAGCTTCAAAATACAACCATTCTAAAATGTTACCGTCAATGAAATTCTTCTTTACAATGAGTAATGTATTATATTACACTCGCTGTTCATAATTTAAATTCCAAAGATAAAAACAAAAACACTTTTTGTTACAGCAAAAATTATGACGTCGCAATGTAAATTTTCACACATTTACGTAAAATCTAGATATGACATCACATTATGACGTCATTTTTAAATATTGAATGTACTCTACAAATCTCCACCATCAAACGGAGCCTAAATATAATACAATTGCGCGTTCATATCATACATATATGAGTTAAATAAAGTTTATTTTCGCATTTCATTTGCTCAAGTGATAAGTGAACACCTCGCATCTGACACCGAAATTTAGAAAATCATAATTTTGCCGCCCCTGTAACAAGCCTCGCCGCGTAAGCCACGAGTCACATGTAAAAACCACGTGCTATGTGCGAAAAACAATCAGTTAGAGAAGGGGAAGAATTATACCCAAGGTTTTCACAGTCAATTTCTAGAGCTACTGAAACTATAGCGAATCATTATAGAGTATGGTGCGTTAGTAAATACCGATTGACTCTAGAACAGGGTTTCTCAACTGGTGGGGCAACCACCACAAAGGGGGCGTAGAGCCGTAGACAATTGTTTGTTTGTATGTTACAGGGAACACATATGTAAAACTCCTAATTATATGCACTTTTTCACTCTTTTTCAAATAGAATTTCGGTTATAACACACCTATATAGGGAAGCAGTTAATGCAACGTGGTCAGCTAATCAATCAATTTCCAAATACCAGACATATATTTCTAAGTTGGACAAAAAGTGTCGAAGTTGAACATAAAATGGCGTCACGATTTTGACATTTCGATGACAGTGTCACGAGATCATTCGAAGAACTAATAAATATATTGACAATAAAACAATCAGCTAATTATGGACCAGCGATAAATCATGTCAAAAAAGGCAATTTTAATATATTTTCAGCCTGCGTTTCATAGATTAATAAATTTGTATAATTTAAATGCATTTCATAGTATTTGAACAATCATAAGATCGATAAGATGCCTTTTCATTTGTTCTTTTTTCATGTATGGCCATGGATATTCCTATAGCTCATCATCTATGGCGCATGCATGGCAAAATTACTGTCTGTTGCGAGATTAGAATAACTTTGGTATTCTAGTAAATTCACCATATTTTTCATAGTTTCGTGGAAAAAATGGAAACGTTTAATACCAAATTTGCTTAAAAATAAAAACCATGGACAGTTCGGATCAGTTAGCGTTTAAGGCGACCAGTTGGTGGATGACATATACAAGGCGACATATAGAATAGGCAGCCATGAGAATTCAGTTAGTATTGGTCGTGATTTTGGTGACAAAGTTGGCAAGCTCGGCTACTTCTAAGAAACGTAAGTGACCTTGGGTAGCATTTTCATACTTCTTTATGAGAGAGAAAGTTAATACATTTATCAGTATATAGATATCACGCGAACCGCGGACTATTGTCCGGATAAGAGTCCGCGTCGAATATGCCTATAAAGAAATGAATTTAAAAACAAATTCAGCGGGAAAAGGCAAGGTGAGCCCTTTAACTATTCTCATCTGCAACATAGACTGATAACCGACGGAGAGGCCATGCTTTGTCATATATTTGAGACATATTATCGACTTTCCTCCCATTTGAAAATATCCAAATTTTGTTTTGCGAAGGGATTTTCTCCCCACCTAAGAAATATATGAATATTTCAACTATTTCGAAGAGAATAATCACTCAAAATTCTTTCAGCGAAAGGCGTTGTGGGACGATGTGGATTGGACGACGAGGGAAAGGCGGGGCTTATCGCTTCACCGAATTTCCCCCATGCTAATTATCCGCCAGATTCCGTCTGCAATTACACAGTGACCGTGGCAGAGAATTCTGTGATTAAAGTAAGTTTATGAACGAAATATGTAAAGTATAAGCTTTTTTTTTACAATATCTCAGTCGGCTTTTTCAAGACCTGGGGGCAGTAATTTCGGTGCTCCCGTAGTATGTGCAACAAGATGGCGCACAACCTGAACATGGTATGTGTATCAGATTAGGGTTATCAGGTTGTGCGCCATCTTGGTGAACACACTACGAGAGCACCGTAATTTCTCCACACCACTCCCGCCTCAAATTTTAAAACCCCTCCTAATTTTGAGGTGGGATACCACAATGTAATTTCTAACTTAAGTATAATTGTATTTGAATATTCCGAAAAGGGCATTATTTATTGGTCTAAATGGTCTGCCAAAACATAACAGTTTTTTTTATAAGTTACCGCTAGTTTTATCGCTGATAGCAAAAGATTCACCATCCCCTAAATTTCGAAACACCCCCAATATGAAAAGTTTGGGAACTTACTGGCTGGGGGCCTCACAAATAATTTGTTGAACCGCTTGATCCTTTCAACTTCAACAACGAAAAACGGCAAACTTCGATCTTTCTAACATGTAAAACTTGTTATAGTTCGAGTTCTTATACACGGACATGGAAGACGGGCCTACGCAGAAGCTAAGCAGTTGCTATGCGGACTATGTCGTCATAACTGAAGATGACAATGAAGAATCAACAATGGTCGGTAACCAGAGGTGAGCATTTAGACATCATAATACACCTTCCACCTAGTCTAGATTTGCAAGGTAATCATATGTAAATACCAAACCATAATTTTTCAACCTAACCTAACGATTCCACTATTTCGTAGCTGGATTGGCTGCATTACGTTCAAACTTGGCAATTAGAATTCAGACCCCCCCCCCCTCCTTTGAAAATTCTTGGCTACGTCCCAGCGGTGAATCACGCGTTAGTAGCCCTACTTCAAAATTCTAAATAGGTTTAATAATTTATCAGATTCTGTGGTTACGACACTCCGTTCAATCCAGTGTTAACCAAAGGCAACAAAGCTTACATTTGGTTTCGATCTGACGATACTATAGAAAAAGAAGGATTCGTCATCAGATGGAAAGCTGTTCAAGCGCCAAGTATGTTCCTGTTTGAATTTTTACCCAATGTTTCAGACCTGTGTCCAGTGTTCACTAATTTAGACCGACTTTTTTAGACTCAAAACACAAAAATTAGAAGTATTGCAAAGAACAGATTGTTGTATGCGATGAATTACAATGATGGTTTGAAACACATACCCCATTTTACAGGCGCCAACTCGCGAAAACAATCTTAAAATAACCCCCAAAAAATTTACAATGGTAAAGTATAGGAAGAATTTTTCGGGAGTCAAAGGTCGGGGAAATGTCCATATATTATAAGGGTCTCAAACTTAAAAGTTTAGTAAGTCATGGTTTAAATGAGTCGAGCCTTTTTAAACATTGGTAACTTATATTACAGGGGAAACATTCGCCTGCGATTTCGAATCTAGGAATGGTTACTGCAGCGGATGGCGACAATTAGAACCGAGAAGCACGATTCGTTGGAAGGTGAACCGAGGTCAAACAAGGTCAAGCAGACGTCACTGGGTCACTGGACCGTGGTACGACCACACCAAGAATAACATAGGTACGTACATGGAATCCCAAAGCTCTCGGAACTTTGCAACCTACTGCTAATGTTGCCTATGTTAAGTTACATAAACGTTTTCCGATCGGGTATAGAGAGAAATTTGTCAACCAGAAAACAAGCGATGGTACAATAAAATATATACAAAATATTGGGTATAGACTGGATGGAGCGATACGACCATAAGGTCATCAGAGTCAGCTCCCCTAAATTGACTATTGAGATTCACACTTAATGCATATATATATATGAACAATGTACATTGTAAATAAGCTACTTGTTGGAGGGTTAACCGAATCTTTTAGTAAGCAGGATTTCCGGAATCCCAAACTGCAATCTCCAATTTTTAGTAACAAATATTTAACATATAAATCATCTCATAGGTGGATCCTATGTCTTTGCCGAAGCGACTGGTATGAGACAAGGCGACGTAGCCACTCTGATATCTCCTTACTTTTCAATGATGAAAACGGAAAGATACTGCTTGTCATTCTGGTGAGATATACACCAGTTATGTGATATATATTTTAGGTGACCGTACATTCGAACCCATGTGTATATTCGTGGGTTCAATCTATATGCGGGTGCTAAAACCCATGGGTTAGTATGGGTTCAAATATCCGAAAAACAAAAAAAAAATTCATAGTTGCAATAGTATGCAGGTGCAATTGTCGTGGGTTCAAATGTAATGGAACCATATTTTAATTAGATTTTGAGGATGTAACACCTAGTTTTTGAAAGACTTATTACTTGTATTTGCGCTGCCAGTGTGTGATACAGGCTTTATTCCGCGAAAAGTCGCTCTCCTTCGCTTTTTAATACGATAGTCGCATGGAAACTACTTTCGACTCGACCTCGAAGGGCGATCGCGAACTTTAATTTAAAATTTTCACTACTTTAAAACGCAGGAAGTAGCAAGAATGCCAGGATCGTTTTGTACAAATCCCTCGCCACAAGTGCAAAAATGTGGGATTGGAGAAAAACATCACCACCAAATTTGTAATATTCCTGTGGTGTTGTGGTTAGAAATGATTTAAAAATTTCTAGCGCAATCTGCATTTCTTACTGGGTAGTTACTAATTTAAATTATAAGTTTGAGCGTTGATGGGGGTGTGGCGGGGGCTTTGTGTAAAAGATCCAATAGCCTTTTACCACAATTAACGGACCGACCAATCGACTTTAATTTTCAGTGGCCTATTGTTCTTTGTTCCCACAATCTAAGCTTTCAAGGAAACTTCACTTCTGAGACATTTACAACATAAAGCGTGACAATTTCTTCCATGCAAATGTCATTTCTTGCCAGCAATAATTTAAATGACTTGGTAAAGGAAGAAGAACGTTCGAACTACATATCAAATCGATCTGAATGCAATGTCGACCAGGTCGCGCCACAATTGTTTAGATATTTTAAATGACTCAAGAAACAAGAAAACGTTTGAACTGGCTGTCAAATTGGCCCGAAATGTCATATTGACCTGAGCAATTCCGCTTCTTCTATCACGACATATTGCATAATAGTTAATCGAGGTATAAAGGCTTGCACGATTTCCGTTGCATAAATGCCGGCATTTCAGATCTATTGGGCCAATGACTCTCGAAGAAGTATTTATAGCAGTGTTTCTCAAACTTATTAAGCCGCGCCACTTTTTTAGAATTTGTGGAGTCTCGCGCCCTACCCCCAAAATAACTAGCTAACAATGAGCAACAAATCAGGGGTCACCAAACTTTTTTGACCGCGGGCCGGGTATGACTCAAACTGTGTTGAAACGGGCCGGATGAATATTCTTGTCAATGCAATATAATAAATTCACAAAAGTTGGGAAATCCATTCAACAATATATCTTCTACATTTCTGAAGACTTGATTCAAATTCTATCTATATCGCTATCAGGAACATCCTAGGAAAACAAATATGAAAGATTTCAATATCTAAACAACTATCCTGAGTTTAGCTGGTATCAAAACGTTTCTGTCGTGAATTAGGAATTTTCAAAATCCGCTTTTTCGCGCCAAAAAATGTACGCATCATGTCTGCTAAGTACCGTTATGCAGTGTGAGAAAAACGCTCATAAAACACTACGCACTGCTTGCTGTAGCTTAGAATTCCATGAAATTTTGACATAATTTAGATAAAATAAACATCTATTATCTGGTATTTGATTTTTTCATTAGCGCATAAATTTCCCAACATTCGACGCTTTTAAAAATTACGCTCCAGTTATATGTAGTGCAAATTAATGATATTGTCTATGGACACCAATAACTTTTATATGTACGTGTGAATTTCTTTCCTAATTTGATACTTACCAATTTTTATGAAGTTTGCACAATCAGAACATCGTTAAATAGTACTCACAATGAACCACTGTCAAACTATCATGCACAAAAACTCCAGCGTTTATTTGTGACGATCTTTCGGCGGTGTCAATGACCGTTGCCAGAATAAAATCCAGAAATAGTCTCAATATTCCATAGATGTGACGCACATCGAAATATTAGTGAATGATATGTGTTCTTTTTTCCTATTTATTACAATTCTTATCAAAAAGTAATACAATCCTTATGGAAAAAATTGGCCTGTCGGATGGTACTAAAGTTCCGATATTTCCGTTATTTCTTGACCGTTTTTTATAAACTTGGTATGGTTTTCTATTTTCACTCAGATCTATCCACTGACGCAGTTTTTATTTATATCGGAGTTAGTGTGACTTGTGAAATTGGAGCAGTTCGCGAGCGATTACAGTACTGTTAGCGCAAAATGCACATTCGATGTTTATTTTAGCACAAGAAACGTAAACAGTTTCGTCGAAAGCACGCGCTACGAGTGTACAAGTGCATATTTCTCAGAAAACGTTGCGTACCGGTAGAGAATTTTAGCCTATTATGTCACAGCTATTCCTAGACTAATTTTTCCTTACTACAATTAAAACTACAACTCCTAAGGACGCAAATGATGATTGACTTATTTGATTCATACTTAAATTTCCGAAACACAACCAAAAACTAACGAATAGCATTTAAAGTCGCAAAAACGAAATATTGTTTACAACCACGACTGAAAATCTTTCAGGGTGAAAAAAGTGTCTGAGCGGAAGCGAAAATACCTATTAATACGTCACGTTTTTGCATCTTGCTGATTGGCCAATGTTACGAATTAAACAAGGAAGACGATGCACGGGAAAATCTCCCTTGGAGAAATATTTAGCAATTTTTGCGTGTTATTGCGGGCCGGATGAAAGGACGCCGCGGGCCGGATCCGGCCCGCGGGCCGTAGTTTGGTGACCCCTGCAACAAATAACAGATAGTAAGGCGAAAGTATGTTTTATCAAAAAATCGTTGGAGATGCGTGGATATGACGTAAATAATAAACTAAATGAAAATTTTCTCTGAACAGGCGGCCATATTTACGGTTCCACATTTTTTCGTCGCTTAGTGTATGGCTTCTCTTTACGTTTGGCCATTTCTCTCCACTATCGTGGCCCTAAATACGTTATTTATAAACTATGAGCCAATAAGATTCGAAAAAATGTTAATATATATTCATTTTCTATCAACAGGCGATCACATCTACGGTTTCGCGTTTCCATGGATTATTTTTTAGTCGCTTTGTGTATGACTTTCGTTTGCCCATTTCCCTCCATTATCGGGTCCCGAATACCCTAGTTCAGTGGCTCCCCAACCTTTTCCTTAAATTAAACGCGTCAGTTTTATTTGTATATTTCATTTTATTGCCTCATTTTATCGACGCCCCAAATATGCCAAAGCTTTGTTGGCTGACCAACCAATAATAAAAACGAGAATATCGGTTGGAAACCGAAGACTTATCGATCGATAGTTAGGGGATCCCCCAAAACACAAACTGCAGTTTCGATTCATCCACTCTTGTAACTTGCGCACTGCGCATCGCACACACACACTCGGCGGGTTTCAAAATTCTCTCGCTTTACAAAAATCTAGATCACTATATCAATAATTGATTGATAACTCGCTAATTATACGACATAATTCGCCCAAAATCAATAGGCTTCTGGTCCGAGATAAGATGAATGCACATGCAAAATCTGGAGCAGATTCAATCCCGCTTTCGTGAGATATCGCGTTCATCTAACAGACACACACGCAGACAGACAGACATACATACAGACAAATACCTATCAATATACTTACCGATCTTAAGATCGATAAGTAATAAAAATTATTTTGTACAACTCAATAATGCAAATGGGGTGTCTATAAAAATTTACAATTTTTTTTTCAAATTACGAAGGAAATTTATCGATACCATATATTGTTTTGGCCCTCACAGATGTATTAAATGAAATGAAAATACTTGAATAATTACTGAATAAAAAATAACAAACCTGGTTAAGATATATTGAAAACTAACTTCATAACAAAATTAAAATTGCAAAGGAAATTTATCGATACCATAAATTGTTTTGGCCTACACAGATGTATTAAATGAAGTAAAAATACAACTACTGAATAAAAAACAACAAACCTGGTTAAAATATCTTGAAAACTAACTTCATAACTAAATTAAAATTGCAGAGGAAATTTATCGATACCATATATACTGTTTTGGCCTACACAGATGTATTAAATGAAATAAAAATACTTAACTTAAACAATTACTGTTTAAAAAACGACAAACCTGGTTATGATATATTAAGACCTCATTACAAAATTGTGGACGGACTTTATGGACACCTTTATTTCACAGGTATCACATGTACGGTTCCGGCATCGGGACTTTTGCTATTTATGAGGTGCAAACAGATGGAGCTCAGGACCCTCGATTCCCGCTTCGTGGGAGAAACATTTTCCTTGAAGCTGGGGAGAAAGGCAAAAGTTGGCAGGAAGGAAAACTTACATTAAACAGAAGGGCTGTGCCGATGAGGGTGGGTTGAATATTACACAAATCTTGTTTTAGAAAAATTTGCTTAACGCTGGGTCATGCGCACTCCTGCAGAGAAAAACGAAAGGTATATGAGACGGAAGTTACACTCACTTACTCTGAAGTGGGGGAACTCATCTCAGAGGCGGGCAACAAAATAAAACTAAAAAAGTTGCTCAACCCGAAGTAAAACGTAAAGAAGACTTATCTCCAACGAAAGTCACTCAATTACTCGAAAGTAAAGGAGACTCACTTCTCAGCAAAGTTACGGGCAACCTAGAAAACATAGAATAGGCTCAGTGCAAGATTCCACGCGTTCACTCAAAATGAGAATCACCTCCGAACGAATCTCCACCGATATGCTAAGTGCAAATAAAATTATATAGAATTATAGTGCGATAATCAGTAATTGCTAAGATTGTGCGAAGCGGACAACACATGTCAGGAAATTAATAACCTAGATTTTTGTGCCTGTAACTACTAGGAAGCGTATGTTAAATAATGGTGCGGCCCGCGGTTTCATCCAGTTATTTGTATCTGGCCCTCCTGCACTAAAGGTTGCACACCCCTGTTCTAGTCCGGTGATTCGCCATATTACTAAGCCGTCTCATCTGCCCACCAGGGAGAAAATAAAATAAATACTATTCTATATTTTGACGCTCAATATTGTATATTTAGTTTATCTTCGAAGCGACAAGAGGAAATTCATACAAGGGCGATATCGCCATTGATGACATCACAATCACAGAAGACGAATGCCAAGAACCGAAATAAGCTGGCTGGTGGCGACCGCAGCATTTCAGAAGAAAATTACGTTTTCACGATATTAGTTCGAATGCTTCAATAAAAGTTTCCTTCATTTCAAACGTCACTATTTTTCGAATTTATCCAAAGTATGGTTTGGGAGGAATATTTTAGATCACATTTTCATTTTGCCATTGCTAAAAACGATCCGAATTGAGGATCGATACATATTTATCTCAGAGAAAAGGAAAGGCAATAAGTCGGCTTAACCTTATGACAAACCACAGCCTCTCTTTCAGTACCAGTTCATGTCGGTTATGGGATTAGTTAGCCAGTTATTTGTTTTCAGATGTATGGACTTAATGGCGGAAGTCGTAGCCGATCAGCGTTCTGTGAGCCACCCTAAGGTGACTAAGAACACAGCAAACGATAACCATTTTGGCATACGTTACTCCTAACCCCCACCTGACTACGTCATCTACGAAAAGTCAAATATTACGAAATGGCATCTACGCCGACGATAACAAACTCACTGAATCCAGCTACAGGAGTGGTGACTCCTCTACGGCCCATGGGCCGGGGCCACGGCCCATCTAATTGGGCCACATGGGCGGTGGCCCATCAAGCTATGGGCCGCGGCCCCATCAGGAAAATTTCAATTATCTTACCAAAATTTTCAATTTTTACAAAACTGTCAATATTCGAACAAAAAAATATACTCCTGTAGTATGTGTACCAGGTTAGGGTTAGGACAAAAAAAATTCAAATTTTTTACATTATAGTTCTATTATGAGTTCGGGGACTGTCTGTGTTAGCCAAGTGAATAGTCCCTTTACACAACTTGATGGGCCGCGGCCCATAGCCTGATGGGCCGAGGCCCAATTCGATGGGCCGTGGCCCCGGCCCATGGGCCGCAGAGGAGTCACCACTTCCACTCGAATCCAGCCATCTCTTCCACATCGCCATCATTATAACGAAAAAATAGCTTTCTCGATTTCGGATGATCGTCCGCAGATTTTGGACGGCGGTCTGTATTACGTGACAGTGGCGCAATTTATTCATGAGGTAGGCAGGTGAGGAATGACATATGCAAAAAGCCAGGCTCACTAGAACTACTGGTGGTATTAAGCTATGCTAGACCCCAAAATTTAATTTGACTTGGATACAAGGTACCCATGCTGCTATTTTACGCTCCAATAATTTGGGAAAGTCGTAGGAACAAGATATTAGAATATGGTCGTTCAACCCGTGGCCCGGGCTGTCTTTTTCGAATCCCAATGTCTTTCACAAATCTGGGTGGGCCAATATTGAAACCTTTAATAAAAAAATGGTGCTCCTGAAGTATGCGAACCAAGATGGCGGACATCGGAACGTAACATGGATAACAGGTTAGGGTTAGGCGATAATTTTTTTCCAATTTTCCTTATTTTAGTCCTATTATCAGTTCGAAGACTAGCCAAGAGCCTCCCGTAGTATTTATAGATAAAATTATGGCCTAACCCTAACCTGGTACACATATTACATTCCGATGTCCGCCATCTTGGTTCGCATACTTCGGGAGCCCCAAAAAAATTCCTCATTCAATTCCGCGAGAAGCACCACCCAGCTATTGAAAGCTTATTACTTATCGATCTTAAGACCGGTAAATATGTTGATAAGTATTTGTCTGTCTGTTAGATGCACACGATATCTCACGAAAGCGAGGTTGAATCTGCTCCAAATTTTGCATGTGCATTCATCATATCTCGGATCAGAAGCCTATAGATTTTGAATGAATTATGTCGTATATTTAGGTAATTAGTGATGGGACACGCGGTGTCACTATAGGATCAGAGTGAATGAATGGGGATCCCCTATCTTTCAATCACAAGTCTTCGGTCTCCGACCGATATTCTCGTTCATATATTTATGTTTGTGAGCGTTATTACTGGAGAGAGATGTTTAAATTTATTTTTATCGTCTGCCATGTGTTTCAATCGTTTTACTGTGGATCTAGAAGAGGCAGTTTCTATGAACTCAATATTAAACAGCATTTAGTCTACTCGTACCAACAAGGCTTTTCGCGGATAAACCATGTCAAATCCCCGCGAGATCACTAATTTCTGACAGTCATATGACAAACCCAAAAACCTAAAGATGACAGTGCATTTTCCAACAGACAATTGCTAAGGCTTGCACACAGTCAAAATTCCTGAGTAAGGATCAAATTTTCCTCGACTTGTGGTCTTTTTTGGGCGCTTCAGAAATATGTGCACCAAGATAGTGCACAACCTGATAACCCTAACCTGGTACACATACTATGTTCAGCTTGTGCGCCATACTTCGGGAGCACCCTTTTTTGGATTCATTGGGGAACTTGGGGTCCGGTATCAGTTTTCCAAAACTTCTAAGCACAATACCATAACCGAATGAAATTGAGATTCATCACATAACACATTTAGTACAAACTAAAAGTTTACTTATCAATAGCAGCTGACTTAACAAGTTGAATATTGAAGCGAATTATAAATATTAGAACGTTAAATATTATTGAGAGAATTTTGCTCAAGGCGAGGCCATTCGTGCTCTCACAAATAAAGAATTATTTCTAAGCGATGTTGAAAAGTATTTACTCCAAAAAAAAATCATCTCTGAGCAAAGTTATGTGCACTCACTCGAATTAAGGAGACTCGGGCACTCACTCAGAAGTAACAACAACATTTCATAAATCCCACTAAATATACTTACTTTAACCATTTCTCTAAAATTTCATATTTACCCCAACCAAGAATATTATTATTAATATAATCACATGCTTCCTTCAATAAACGTCCCAATCATGCCATGAATCCGACTTCATGTGCTTACTCCAGACTATTTGCCTCAATACCCTAACCCAGAGAATATTACAAAATCCCTTTATTTAAAAGTGCTATGCATCAAATGAGCTTGTCAAAATGGATAAGTTTGAATCCCAGATTGAGCACGAGGACAACATACCATGAATCACACTTCATTTGGTGCTCCCGAAGTATGCGAACCAAGATGGCGGACATCGGAATGTAACATGGGTAACAGGTTAGGGTTAGGCGATAATTTTTTTCCAATTTTCCTTATTTTAGTCCTATTATCAGTTCGAAGACTAGCCAAGAGCCTCCCGTAGTATTTATACCTAAAATTATGGCCTAACCCTAACCTAGTACACATATTACATTCCGATGTCCGCCATCTTGATTCGCATACTTCGGGAGCCCCCTTCATTTGTTTGAAATTATATGACTTAACCCAGTACCATATCATGGAACCCTATTTATCATCAATCATCAAGCACTATGCCCCACATCAGCCGGTCGTACTTCAAAAAATGGTAACCATGCGTAAGTACTCTACGAAAATGACATCATTGGCTTCTATGGTGATCCTGGTGTATGACTTGGACTAAAAATGGCCGCTCAGATCAAACCAATCCGGCCATTCTCATGAGTGAATTTGCATACTGCATTGGTTTGGCTTCTGGGTGAGGCTGAAAATAATGGATTTGAGATTTTGTGAGACTTCGATCACTCAAAATGATAAAATTAATGATAAATCAAATAAAAATATTCCTAAAACTAAATATTGAATAAAGTTGAATGAGTGTTTTTGGAATCATTTTGGACATTGTGGGATATTTGAATAGATCTGAAAGTTATATTGCATATTGCAAATTTACATTTAGATATATTTAAAATTAGTTTTCAGAAAAGCATTCTGGGCGATTGGTATTGAAAAACATCCTTGATACACGCCAAATTAATCCTAAAATTAGGAATCCTAATACAGCGTTTCCCAAACTTTTTGGCCGCGGAACCCTGTTTTAGAATCTTATTTTTGACATACTATGCAGTATCAATTCCTGTGTCTAACCAACGAGAAATGGTAATGTTGCATTTACATCACAATAACACAAACGATAATAATGTGTTGGATGAAATTGGTTTCGACTGCACAATTTATTAATTATCGTATCGTCGTCTCTTTTCATATCATCGCGCAACCCCTGTGCAGTCATCACGGACCCCCAGTGGTTTGGGGACCCCAGTTCGAGAAACCCAGTCCTAATATGATTGTTTCGTACTATGAAAAGTGAATCCTTACCACGGCTTCAAATTGTGTAAACTCAGGTTTGAGATCTGGCGCCTTCAAGTGTATGAAAGCACCTTTGTTACCCATCTGATCACAGTAATTCGGTGCCGAAAATATCGTTATACATTTTCCGTTGTGGGAGACTTCATAACCGTCATGCTAGAAATATCAAAATGATGAAACTATTATATTCATCTCATATCAAGGGTTTCATACAGTGACGTAGCCAAGAAGGGGTTTGAAGGTGGGGTTTCCCCCCCTCCCACTATTAAAATGTAAAAAAGTACCATACTGACCGGCTATCTGTTACAGCTCAACTTGGCAATTAGAAATTCGGTTAACAGTCAATGTCGGGTATGAGGAAAGTTATTCAGTTATTTGTTCAAGATAAGTATAATAAGTGTGAGTTTATTTTGACTCCATAGAAGAATTGATAAAAACAACAAAAAAATAAACTGAATATAGAATCGGGAGAGCAAACAAACCCCAGGTAAGGTTTGAAACGTACAGATTTTAGATGGAAAGGTATTGATGGAAGAAGTAGTACGTGTTCGCTCACCCAAGTACGTGTTCGCTCACCCAAAAAGATTAAAATTAAATAAGGCATGCACACACACGCACAATCACAGAGACATGACAAGAACACAAGATAGAAAGCTAGACATAAAATTGATGGATGGATTCCACAACCCTGTAAAAACATACCTTAACTTCATGGCTTCTGATAATATAATCCAAATTATTCGATTTCAAGAACTTCTCCGTGACATCAGGACCAAACTGGAAACTGACTCCTCGTTTACTGGCTCCCTGACCAAGCTGAAATGAAAAGAACAGAAATTAGAATTAGGGAGAAAGGATGACAATATGAATAATGAGTTGACAAAATATGGTCTCATGTCTTGATCGAGTTTCATGGGCTTAAATAAACCAACATGCATGGTGGTACATACATGTGTTAGTATCAAGTTCATGCTTCCGAAAACAAATAACTAATTCCATACGAGGCATTGAATGGTAACCAGATGAGAGGCCGTGGTTCGCCATATGGTTAAGCCGTTTTATCGTCTTTCTTCTCCCTCTGGATAAATATGTAAATACTATCCCATGAAGCAGGACTCTTTAAATTGCATAGTATGGTCATGTTTATTCCTGCTACAGCAGGCATGGGCAAACCACGGCCCGCGGGCCAAATCCGGCCCGTTGGGAGGTTTAATCTAGCCCGCCTGAAGCTGCCACAACCAAACTAAAACGAAATTTCAATATTAACTTATGAAATAGCGAAATAAATTTGTTGAGATTGCGATTAAATTTAGTTTTTTCCCCGAGGCTCATTGTCTTTCACTTCGGCTTTTGTAACACTGTAAATAATTTTCATAAAATGTGACTTTTCGTCACACATACATGGCCCGGTGCTCCTGAAGTATGCGAACCAAGATGGCGGACATCGGAACGTAACATGGGTAACAGGTTAGGGTTAGGCGATAATTTTTTTCCAATTTTCCTTATTTTAGTCCTATTATCAGTTCGAAGACTAGCCAAGAGCCTACCGTAGTATTTTTTACCTAAAATTATGGCCTAACCCTAACCTCGCACACATATTACATTCCGATGTCCGCCATCTTGGTTCGCATACTTCGGGAGCCCCCATGGCCCACCAGTCTAGATGGGCAAAATTTTTGGCCCCTGATCCGAAAACCCTGCCCACTTCTGCGCTACAGCATCCTTGCATTATTCATGTATGAATACACTAGCATAAAGGAAGGATGGGGAGTTAGTCTCGCGCAAGCTCTACTAATCATGACAATAACAAGACTCTCGCATAGAATGAGCAGACACTTGGAATAGTCACCTTCACTCCTCCTACAGCATCCTTGCATTATTCATATATGGATACACTAACATGGAGGAAGGATCGAGAGTTAGTCTCGCGCAAGCTCTACTAATCGTAACAATAACAAGACTCTCGCATAGAATGAGCAGACACTTGGAATAGTCACCTTCACTCCTGCTACAGCATCCTTGCATTATTCATGTATGGATACACTAGCATAGAGGAAGGATCGGGAGTTAGTCTCGCGAAAGCTTTACTAATCATGACAATAACAAGACTCTCGCATAGAATGAGCAGACACTTGGAATAGTCACCTTCACTCCTGCTAAAGCATCCTTGCATTATTCATGTATGGATACACTAGCATAGAGGAAGGATCGGGAGTTAGTCTCGCGAAAGCTTTACTAATCATGACAATAACAAGACTCTCGGATAGAATGAGCAGACACTTGGAATAGTCACCATCACTCCTGCCACAGCATCCTTGCATTATACGCATAAGGTCCCACCAACGTAAAAGTATTGAGAGTAAGGCTTGCGTAACCTCTACTGATAGTTATATGAACAAATATCAGTTACCTATATTTGACATGTACACAAAAGGCTCCATTGACCAATTTACATCAATTTTAATTACCTGGATTTCTAAAGATTTTTCATTATAAAATTATTTTTAATTCTCAAACAAATTAATTACAAAAATCTTGATTCATGTGTTTTTGCGTTTTAGATAATGCCAATTGTTATGTCATTATCACAGTTTAGTCAATCAAGTTTGGGAACCCATGATCTAAAGGCATTAATATGGAAGGATTGGCAGTTAGTCTCGTGTAACCTCTAGTGAGAGCTACATAGACCAGGGGTTCCCTAGAGAGATGCCTATAGGCCTGTTTAACAGTAAGCCATGGTACAAACTGCTAAAATTAACATGGTTTTTCAAATCTTAGATGTTTTGTACATTCATTCTCTGACATACCTCAGCGACCCCACCGACCACATGACCTGTTTTCGACCCTACCTACTTATCACTTCGACCAAATTTGGGGTCGCGACCCCTGGTTTGAGAACCCCCGATATAGACATATATATGTTGTTTATATTTGACATGTACACTATAGCCTCTATCAAAAATTTACATAAATTTTAATTATCTGGATTCATAATGAAATTATTTATAATTCTTTATAAAAAAATACTTACTGCAGTCTGTGGATCTGACCATAATAAATCACACATGGGACCCGACTCTGGAGGTTGTTTGTTGCGTTCAATTTTCCGAAGATCATCAAGTGTAACTGTATCTTGACATAAACCACCATGCATTACCTTTGAAATATGGCAAAAAAGAAATTCAGGTGGTTCGATAGTATTACTGCATACTAGCATAAATGTATTTCTGTAATGTTTCGTGCACAAAGTGCTCTGTTTATTTTATTATCTCATGAGCATGGTTATGAACCATCATCTAAAAGAAAGAGCTACAGGTAGCCATCATCAAACTCAAAATTCAAATTCTGGTTTTCTTAAACAAATTTCATGAAGACAACTGCTTGTCCATAGCTCTATCCTCTTAACTCTTTTGTTCCGTATAACATATATATTCGTACTACCATCCTTGGTCATAATAGTTATTTTCGGACTATTTTACGTTTATGTTCATGTTTTGTGAAGTATTCCGCACTAACTAAATCATTTTGAGCATCCAACTATGATCCGTGCTTGATCTGTCAACATTTTGTTTTTTTGTAAATTTTTTATTTTACTACTTCGCGTTTCGCTTCGCTTGCGAAGCTGAGTCTGGTTTTTCTTCAAAGGTGACGTAACTCTCTTTCAGAAGAGCGCTTGGAATTTCGTTTCTTTGTAACACGTGTTCATCGAAGCGATAAGAGTGTGAAACGTTCTCTCAAAAATTTTTGAAATTTCTCTCTTCTTACACGCGTAGGGTCGAACGGTTTCGCCTACGTCACTTGGGCGCGTTTTAGTAGGAGGGTGTTCCTTGTACGTTTGGTTAACTGGTCATTACATATTATAAAATGGTACATAAAGTCGATTGTATACAGCGGAAAAAAAGGGTTAAGCAAATTGGTAAAACAACTCCCAAAAAATAGCGAAAAGACAATTTCTTACCAAAACTTTCTTATTAATACAATACGCCAGAGGTAAGAAATTGAAAACTTCACTGAAGAGTTCCATCATTTGTGGAGTGTATTTAGCTTTCACTTCTCCTTCAAACCCGTACATTTGGTTCATGTTATCAGTTTCATGGTTCCCTGTTGGAAACAGAACGAGTTTAAGCAAAGCCAAAAATTTTCAAAGCGAGGGTGAAATTTATAACTCAGACCCTATCAGCTAGCAGGCCGTAAAATATGGGTTCACAATAGTTTCATGCTACAAAAAATCCTATGTATGATATAAAAAAATGCTTCCTTTTCTACATTTCAAAAGGGGGGTTCGAGGGTTGGCCCTTGAACCCAACCCACCCCATTGGGTACGTCCTTGTAAGCAATGGTTCCCAACCTCTTTCAATATATTTCTCTCTTAGTCTATTTTTGATATTTTTTGGCCAAGAATTTTCGAAGGGTGGGTTTTCGAAATTCCGAATTGCTAAGTTAGACCGTAACAACAAGCGGGTCTGAACAGAGTCTTGGCTGAGTTTTTTTCAAAACCAAATAAACTATTTTTATTCCAGGTAACACTACTGGTCTGCAGAAGAGGAACCAGCTACAACGAAAATTCCTACAAGGCTCCATTGTTTTGAGCGATGCAAAAATTGCCTCAAAATGACGGCCGTTATCTTATTTAATATTAAGCAAGTTGGTTGCTTGTTGGCACTTACAAATTGTTTATTACTTCTACTCCCTCCAAGCGGAAATTAACATTTTCCACACAAGAAAATTTTAGAGTTGAAAATAGCTACTGTTTTCTTATTTCTCTATCTCTCTTAGCAGGAACAGAATATTAATTTAAATAAAAAATTAACAACAACAAACTCTCACTCACCTCTTACAAGGTGAAAATGCTTAGGATAAAGAACTTTAAAACCGAATAAAACAAGAATGACTTCGACAGACCACGAGCCACGATCGACAAAATCTCCATTGAATAACTGACAGAACATGGAAGTTGAGGAAAATGTTCTGCAAGATTATCTCATTCGTTTTTTAGACTTCAAGCAAACATCAAACGAGAATATCGGTTGGAAACCGAAGACTTATCGATCGAGAGTTAGGGGATCCCCCAAAACAGAAACTGCGGTTTCGATTCATCCGCTCTTGTAACTTGCGCACTGCGCATCGCACACACACACTCGGCGGATCTCAAAATTCTCTCGCTTTACAAATATCTAGATCACTTGATCACTAATTAATAAATAACTCGCTAATTATACGACATAATTCATCCAAAATCAATAGGCTTTTGGTCCGACATATGATGAATGCACATGCAAAATCTGGAGCAGATTCAATTTCTCTTTCGTGAGATATGCGTGCATCTAACAGACAGACAGACAAACACACAGACAGACAAATACCTATCAACATACTTACCGATTAAAATCGATAGGTAACAAGTATTTAAAATCCTTTGCTTCGCAAAGCCTGTACCCGAGTAGGCTACATTTTATTATCATGTCTATGATGTTACAATGCCCTAAAAGCTAGCTTGTGCGAAGCGAACAACGTAAGATAAAAGTCTAAATTTTTTACCTGCTACTAGAGAGTCTATGTTAATTGAAGCGACCAAGTTATTTGAATCTACCCCCCTGTATTAAAGGTTGCATGCCCTTGTTCTCAACAATATACCGTATTTCACCGTGTATAATACGCACCCACGTATAATACGCAGGGCTCTTTTAGGATGTGAATTGTATGAAAATACCAAGGTCCATGCATAATACGCACGGTCGAATTCAGTCACTCACATCGGTCACTTGCGTCGACCGCATTTGGTATTTTTAAGAAGCCAGCTTAGCAAGTTTCACTGTGAATTTAATAATATGTTTCAAGTGTTTATGACATCTACAGGTCTGTGTCTGTTAATCTCGGAGTGCTGTTACCCGGCTTTAAATTATCGTGCTGATACTTATCTTGGAGCATTTCGAAAATGGTTGAGAAAAAAAGATTTGTGAGCGTTTTGTGTCGTTTGCCGATTACCAGCGATTAGTCAAAACGAGAGAAATGAAACAAGCCGCAATCAAAGTGAGAAAAAAATGATTTAGGAACATTTAGTTTTGCCGATACGGCAAAACAGAACTGAGGGACGCCAGACTGGCCGACAACAACAATCAAACTATTGCTTTAAATTGACGTTTTTATCACTTATATACACTGGTTATCGAAATAGATGCGTTGTCCTTTGTTAGACAAGATAGTCTATTCTGTGGGTGTGATTCTACTGCAACAAGCATGATCTGGTTATAACGGACATTGTCACATAAAATTAATAGAAGACGAAAAGGAAACATGAGTATTTGGCAATTGCGTGTAAAATATCGATCAGGATTTTTTGAAAATTTCCAACACCAATTTTAATAGAAGACGGAAAGGAAACATGTGTATTTGGCAATTGCGTGTAAAATATCGATCAGGATTTTTTGAAAATTTCCAACACCAATGTATAATACGCACCCCCTAATTTCGGAGATGAAATTCGGAACAGAAATTGCGTATTATACACGGAGAAATACGGTAATTGAAAATATAATATCAAAGGATACATAAGGATTTTCTTCTGACGGCAAACCATTGAGTTCGAATATATGACAAAGATCGTAGTATTGACCATGGATGTCTCCACATACTGTTAGTTGGTTGCTCTGTTAAAATACAAATAGCAAGAATTCGAAATGTATAAGACAGTGTGTGCAACATTTAAGCAACTTCAGACATCTATTGCAACATTTAAGCAACTTCAGACATCTATCTAGGCCAGTAGTCGGCTACCTTTTTTTGGCGACGGACCGGTAAAGCCTGACCAAAATTTTGGCGAACCACCTTGTACAGACGAAATAAGCCTAAATTATATGTGAAAGGAAAAATAGGTTGATATTAAATTCAGAGAATAAAGGATGTGATGTTATTCAAGTAATGTGTTTTCTTACGTTCAGCCTACTGCGATTTTGTAGTTGTCAATTTTAAAAACCCGACTTCACATAGATGTAAAAATGCTTGTAAAGCTTTTTTGAAATGCCGGTGTATTCGGTTAGTAATATTGCCCAAAAGACTGCCGAAATACCCTATAAATCGCAAAGACTCTTTTCAACTAATTATTGTTTGAGTTGTTAATCAACTAGACATGTTATTAGGACATTGTCCGTCGTTTGTGCCACGTTTCTGCGGACCGGTAGTAACCTTTCCACGGACCGGAGATGGGCCACGGCCCGGTGGTTGCCCACTGATCTAGGCCACAAAAATTGGTTTTTCCATGTACACAAAAAATTTAAAAATCAGCAACTTCCAGAGTGCCACAGGGAAGGCAAGATAAAAAAAATGGGGGCCATTGCTTAGCTTTCTAGTAATAAAGCACAGAGCAAAATAGATTTATCAATTCTTGGAACAATTTGTGGCTAGCAAACTTGTAAGTCCGACTCTGCGGCAAATCTCGATCTGTATTTTGTCATCCTATTGGTGAGAGATGTGAATTCTGTCTCACACATATAAGTCGTTACAAAAGGCAAATAAATTTGAATTGCTTTTTCTGACAGAAATGCATATTTGTCCGAAACGCTCAACCAAAGAAACGCGAATGGTTTTTAATTGAAATCAATCATTAATGATCGATCAGACTCCTCACATCGTTACGAACCTCCTGTGCAGTCATCAATGACCCTCAGGAGTCTGCGGACTCCAGTTTGGGAAACCCTAAGGTAGAGAATTCTCTCAGTATGAAACCGAGTCATTCCATTCAGATTCTCAAGTCCAAGTCGAATCAATCCTCCGAGCACTGCCTCAATAAATGTGTAAATATTTTGGCGCTCTAGAAGTATGTGTACCAAGATGGCGCCTAACCTGTTACACACATTATGTTTAGGATGTGCGCCATTTTGGTGCACATACTGCTGAAGCTCCCAAATTCTTAGGTAACTTTACCCCATTTTTACTCATTTTCAAAAATACCTCTTCTATAGTGATGTCCACCATTGATGGCAACTCTTCTAAAACTTTCTTTACTTCGAGAACAATGTAGTACGCATCCCTGAATATTTTGAAAATTATTTAGTTGGTGTTAGTGTTTAAAGCAGTGGTTCATGGGTTACATCATTTTTTGAAGTGAATTTGATTTATTGAAGTGATATGATTAATTCTTTGACTATAATGCATTTATTCTTATACTTTCAATTGTAGACTATTCTTATTATTATTATAAGTGGCAAATAAAATAAATGATGGAAGCTTGTTAAAAGCAAAATTGAGATTTTAAAATGAAAAGTAAGGGACTATTGATCATAAAAAATTGAGGACCCCTTAGCTCAACGACAACTATTCAAGCGAGTGCAGTTTTTTGCGGCATTTGAAGCAGCGGCAAAACCATGGAGAGATTTTCGAAACAGAGTTTATAAATGCCACAAACCCATGGCGAGATGCTGGTATCACGGCAGCAAATTGAAGACCAATGGCGGGTAAAATTTTGCTGCCACAAACCAAGGCATGTCGGCTGTAATGGCAGGGCTGCCCCTGATGGAGACAAATATTGGGTAAGTTGGAACATTTTTCCCATAAATACAGTTTTGATAGATTTGGGGTTAGGTTTCAGGTTTAAGTAGATGTAATTCCGCATGATAAACTAACATCTGGTACATGACTTTGTGATTATATACCGATAATAGCGCCATAAAACCAGGGCGAGAGACACTGTGGTTCGTTCGTGGCAGGAGCTGCCATTAAGTGGTAGGAACTGCGCCTCCATTCAAGAGCTACTTATTGTTATGACATAGTAGTCCCAGATATCGCCAACTGGCTGCTTCCCCAAAGACTTATTAAGAGTAAAGAAACAATTCATTTTAACCATACGCCGCAGTCGTCCTATGATTACCATAGAATGCTACCCAAACCTCTCCAAAGAGATAGTGCAGAACATCAGTGCTTCAGTATATTCAATCTCTAAACTGCAGGGTGGCAAGGAATGAATTGTAGTGGGAAACTATAGTTGAGGTGGTATAAAAAAAAAACAGACCATTTGGAACATATTCTATAGAGAACATAACTTTTGTGCAAAGCTTCCTAGGTTACAATCATACATAAACAGAAGTTTGAATTTTAAATAAATTTTCGGTGCTCCCGAAGTATGCGAACCCAGATGGCGGTCATCGGAACATAACATGGGTAACAGGTTAGGGTTAGGCGATAATTTTTTTCTAATTTTCCTTATTTTAGTCTTATTATCAGTTCGAAGACTAGCCAAGAGCCTCCCGTAGTATTCATACCTAAAATTATGGCCTAACCCTAACCTAGTACAATGTTACATTCCGATGTTCGCCATCTTGGTTCGCATACTTCGGGAGCCCCAAATTTTCTTTATTTTCACAGAAGTAATTAGAAAATTCAATTTAAGATTATATTATTTAAGTATGACGTGCAAAGAGGTGGATGTAAGATCAAGCCCAAAAATTCCAGCATGACCCGGGCGCGTTGGTATTAAACCCGACCCGAGCCTGACTGATTAACTGAATTTGCAGGCCAGAGCCCGAAGCAAACCCGAAATTTCATATTTTATTTAGGAGTTCTTTGAATTCCGCACATAGTTTTTGATATATATTTTTTACAAATGCATATTTATATAAAAAAAAGTCAACAATAGAGAAGCCTGACCCGACCCAGACGTAATGATTGACACACAGGCACGACCCAGTCCGAATTTCGGGTCGGTCGGGTTTCAAAGAGGCTGATGCTACTAGTCTAGAGCTTGATACAGAGATGAGAAAACCTACCTTTTACTTAATCTCATGTCTTTCCCTGATTTATAATATTGGATCAATTCCGACATGAATTCCTTCGTCATGCCTTCGTCAGCGATTCGAGGACCTTTGTAACTGTCGTCAATTGCTGAAATAAATTAAATGAGAAACGAGGAAACAAAAGTACAAAATAAAAATTTTGATATGAGGTAATCTTTAAATATAAAAATAGTTATAATTTAGAATAAATAAACTAGAAGAAATAGGTCTCTTGCATACGACTGACAGCACAAGAAGTGGACCATTGCCAGCAAAGTAACCTCTGCTAAAGGCTATTGTAGTATCTTGCCTCTGTCTGCAACTGCAAGTTCCTATGCTTTCGCAAAGTAACTGATTACATCTCTGATCACCCACGTTCAAAGATTTGCATCCCGTGCGGTGATAACTATATGTGAGAAGATTGCTGGGCCCTACACCAATGTAGAGCGGTTAACGAATCTACAGATCGGTTACAGCTGCCTCCACCATCAAGTCCATGCAAAAAAATAATGGGGCTCCCGAAGTATGCGAACCAAGATGGCGGACATCGGAATGTAATATGTGTACTAGGTTAGGGTTAGGCCATAATTTTAGATATAAATACTACGGGAGGCTCTTGGCTAGTCTTCGAACTGATAATAGGACTAAAAAAGGAAAATTGGAAAAAAACTATCGCCTAACCCTAACCTGTTACCCATGTTACGTTCCGATGTCCGCCATCTTGGTTCGCATACTTCGGGAGCACCAAAATAATATTCTATTCCCATACCAGTTTGGGGTCGTAAAAACATACTGAATAGTTTAGGCCTATTTCTTTGTGATGAGGTAATAGATTTTCACAGATATTGTTAGTCGCCTGTCCAAACCTTGTTCGAAGCAAAGACAAAAAAGTACCAAAACTTACTCATAGCTTCAAGATGAATTGTTTCTGAAACAATCTTCTTGACTTCATCACAAGCGATCGCTTTCTCAAACGCTTGTCTTTTAACAATTTTACTACATTCAGTGTATTTAACTTTTGCATCTGCGTCATTAGGCTTTGATTTTACGACCTGAAAAGTTAGAAAATATATTTTAAGGGAGATTTAACAAGTCTTTACTCTTGTTACAAGTGCTTCTTTGCTTATTCATAGTAAGACATTGCAATACATGAAAAAATTAAATTATGAAAGTTTTGCGAGAATTGGCATGTTTTAACTTTTAACTGGAGTGAAGAGTGCTCATCAGAATCCTATTTTTGAATGTCTCAGAGTAGGGGATTGAAAACAAAATTTGAATTCCCTGAAGTCTTCGGAGTTAAAATTTCAAATTTTTTGTGGTGATAATCAAAGTCTGAAATTTTCTACAGAAAATATAAAAAATCAAAGCTTGTCAAGTGTTCTTAGCAGTCTATTAAATAAGGCCAAAGTTCGGAAACTTTATACAAAAGATCCAATTAGACCAGCTAATGAAATCTGACCGTTTCATAATCTTTCATTGCTGCCTTGAATTTTCCCATTGCCATGTTAGCCGATGCTCGCCTGTAATATCCCTGTGAAAAGGTGTAATTACAGTTATTTGTCAAGCTGTATTATTGCATGGGAATATATATCTCTTACAGCAGGAAGGGAGGCGACCCTTGGGTCACAAACCGACACGCCAAGCCATTTAGTGTGGCCCTCAGATTTTTCTTCATTAAATAAAATCTGACCAGATTTCAAATCCAAAATTTTATGTTTAAAAAGACACTCAAATGGGTAAAAATGTTTTTGCACTTGTCGCAGCTAGATGTCTTAAGTTGGTTATATGACCCACCGATAAAAAAGTTGCAAACCCCTGTCCTGCATTTTAGTGCATTTCCCATAGTTCCTGTTTCCCGCATTTCAGGGTTGCCCGAGATCACAATATCAACTGGGCAAACTATGCAATATCTCAAGAATGAGACAACAAATTTCTGTAGTGGAAACTCACTTTAAGATATCTTCGATCAAGAGCAATAGCTTTACTCGCATCCTCGAGTGCGTAGCCATAATTTTCAAGTTTTAAATTCGCAAAACTTCTGTTCCCAAAATACGCAGCTACAGAGGGATTGAGTTCGATAGCTTCCGAGTAAAGGAGAATCGCTTGTTCGTAGTTCTTTTCTGAACGAGTAAATTTCGAAGGTCATTAGTTAAAGTAAGCTTTATTATGTTGATAAAAAAGAAAAATCATAAAAACTACTATGCAGAAAGAACATAGCCACAAATACAGACTTTTCAGATCACAGACTTTCGGACCAGGAGGTGGTTTGTTTGAGGTAAGATTTGAGATTGGAATATAAGGTCTAGCGAAGTAAACGCCGTAACTGCTTGAATAACCGCGATCAAAAATGTGATGTCAAATTGTAATGTATCTGTACGACGCAGTATTTAACAGGTATTTAGTTTAAATCCAATTCAATCAATTCTGCAATTTTCAACTAAGCAGGGATGTCTCATGCCAACTAGCAGAATAGAATATCTGCATATTGTGTTCGAGCAATCGATTTTTTATTTTGAAGAAATGATAAACTTGGGTTGTTTTTTGTCTTTTCACATCATGTTTTCTTGTTTGCCATTATTCAAGCAGTTACGACGTTTACTTTATGAGACCCTATGTCTGTATGTGTAAACAGAAACTAATTGCAGAAATTGTATCAATTTTACTACAGTATCAATGTATCATGCAAAACACCGGCAAAATACTTCAGTCAGTCAGTGCTCTAGACCAGAGCTACTCAACTATTTTTACCGGTCTTTCCAAAAATTATATTTCGGCATCTTTAAATACACACTTCCCCGGTCGACTAATGATTATTAGCTAATCAAGATTGTTTATTATGGCGTTACAGTTCCTCCCTATATATATTTAAATCTATAAAAGTGATTTTATAAAAGGAAACTTCAAAAGTGGGGCTAATGATCCAAAATAAAGAGGCGGTCCGAATAATAAATTAGAGGCGGTCCGAATTGAATACCCGAAAGGTCCGGATTCGGACCGTGGTCCGCCAGTTGAGTAACCCTGCTCTAGACTACTTGTTTTAATAAATCAAATAATATTATTACTGTTATTTATATATTCGGATAGAGACTAATTCGGTTTGTAAAAGCACAAATTTCGGTCTTACTACTTACTGAATACAGCGCGAAACAGCGCAAAGAGCGCAGAACAGCGCGAAACAGCGCAAAACAGAGGGAAACAGCGCAAAACAGTGCGGAAACAGCGCGAAAGAGCGCAAAACAGAGGGAAACAGGGTTAAGCAGAAAAAAATTTTGCAATGAGTTCGGGGCACCTTGTTCTGAGTTGGAGTACCACGGCAGCAAATTAAAAACACAAACCAACGTATGTAGCCAGTAATGCTGTAATGGCAGGTCTGCCCCTGCTGGTGACACATTTTGGGTACCATAATTTAGAACATTTTCCATATGGATATGGTTGGCTTTAGGGTTAGGGTTAGGTAAAAAGGGACCTCCAGAAGTATGTGCACCAAGATGGCGCACAACCTGAAAATAGTATGTGTGTGTGTGTGTAGCGGATTCAGGTTGTGCGACATATTGCTGCACATACTTCTGGAGCACCAAAAAGGTAGATAAAATTTCGCATGATGACCTATAATCCGGTACAAAACCTTGTAAATATGCCGGAAATAGCGCCATAAAACCATGGCGAGAGGCGCCGTGGTTCTTTCGTGGCAGGAGATGGTAATGACTGCGTCTCCTGTTTTGCGCTGTTTCCTTCTGTTTCGCGCTGTTTTCCTCCCTTTTGCGCTGTTTCGCGCTATTTTGCGCTCTTTTGCGCTGTTTTGCGCTCTTTGCGGTGTTTCGCGCTGTATTCAGTAAGTAGTAAGACCCCACAAATTTAGCTTTTCTATTCCTACAATATTTTCAAAGTTTAGTATAGACTAAATTTAAGTTAGTTATACTAAACTTCGAAAATATTTTTTCAGTGCCCTATTTTTTAATGATTAAAATAATAATATTTCTGTTATTCAGGCGTTAAGATACACCAATTTGGACCTGTAAAAACATAAATTTAGCTTGTCAGTTTGTCCATTCCTAGCAATCTTTTCCATGTTTACAGTAAGCAATTTACGAAAGAGTAGAGATATTTACCTTTAAAAAATACATTTGCTTGTTCTTTAACCTTGTCGGCCTTTTCCACATTCGGATCCACCGAATCCACACTAGATTCTGTTACTTCCGACATAATATAATTCATTCAAGCAATCCTCAAAATTCCAAACCGCCAGAGTCTATATAATGACACCACGTGAGAATTTTGTGGCGTCGAAACAATGCCATAGATTATTTTACGAATGCCGACTGCAGCCTTTTGCAAAAAAAAATTAAAAATTGAACCTATTGTATTCACCTGAATTTGAAGAATAAAAAATTGTTTTAATATCATTTATTTTGGGCAAATTCTTATTCAAGATAACAAAGTTACTACGGTAAATTTGAGGAAATAGGGATTTTCAAATGACCGCAAAAACTCATCTGTGGTACCCAGGGATTTTCTCCCTTTCATTCCCCAGATACAATAATAATAACAAGATTCGTCGAAAGCCACTATTTCATCTATGTAGTGTTTGTTCATCATCAGTTTCATAAGAATTCAATTTAATCAATAGCAAACCCCGATGCCCGACATGGAATGGTATCCGGACGAGAGGCCGTGGCTTGCCTCTTCCCGGGATAAATACGTAAATCGGAATCCTAAACATGCCAGTTCAAGTGCCTGCAACAATCATCTGCCGTGACCGACAGTCAAAAAACATCAGTTACGGATACTGGGATAAATATGAAAATCTTATCCATCTAATGAACTTTCCATAGTGATAAAAACATCCGATTTTCGTTCTTCTATTGTGCACCTATTTCCCCACATCACAACTGAACCAGTAACATAATCAGGGAACATTGACCTAAACTGGCATACGGCAAACTCTCATCCAGTTACCAGTCCATGTCGGGAATGGGATTAGTTAGCCAAATTTGGTTTTCGGAAGCATGGAGTTGATTGTGCAGGAAGCCCTAATCAACTGGCGGTCACATGAACCACCCTACGGTACGAGGGGTCCAGCACTCCTCCGTACATAATTAACTCTGCATGGGATTCGAGCCCACTCACAGTAATCAGAGATGCGGTGACGAGCGTATTCCTAACGCCTAGCAAGATGAGCCACACCACAGAGCCAAGTAAAAGCATAAAAGGAAATGGACAGCACCCATAAAATGTGTTGTATTATATTATTGTCTCAAACATACAGAAATGGCAAATGTTCTTCATAATAAATTTCATGCGGCAAATGAGGCATGCAGTGGATATAAAATGAAACAATATACAGGGTGTCCATAAATTTCCTTTACAATTTCAATTTGTTATGAAGTCAATTATATCTAAACCAGGTTTGTTATTTTTTAATCATAATCACTAATTGTTAAGTATTTTTAATTCATTTGATAACACTTGTGAGGGCCAAAATAACATATAGTATCGATAAATTTCCTTTATATGTTTAAAAAAAAATTAAGACTTTATGGACACACCCCATAAATATGCTGACAGTGCCTTATTAGGCAAAACGAATAGAATTACAGAAATCGGTATAAAAAGTACTATAACAATATCAAAGGCTTTCACCCAGAAGGGATGAAATGGAATATCTGTTTCAATTTTTTCATTCTGTAGCCTTTCATTGGAATAGTTTGGTGAATATTTCTTCAAACTATGATTAGGAAAGCACCAATTTCATTATAGTAATACTGCTGTTATTTTTTTACTGCATTGATGATTTTTGAATTTGAATTATCTATAACAATGTTCAGCTAAGGAAAAACTAAAATTATTGTTATTATTTTAATTGTTTAATTTATTATTGTTATTGTTAATTATTGTTTTTTCAAGTATTTACTAAAAGCATGATCAAAGTACTCACTTGAAAGTTGTCAAGAAAGACTTGTCCCTGAGCCAAGCTACAGGCAAACCAATTGAAGATTCAAATTTCAAGGTCAGGCTAGTGGTGCCCAACCTACTGGGGCCTGTTGCCTCCTTCCAGAGGCGTTCAGCGCTCCGGGCCTCTGTTTATCTTTCCGGTAGTATTTATAGTGTTAATTTGATTGGTGGATTTCAAGAATTGTTTCAGATGTATGAACTTGCTAACATGCATTGATTATGACAAGATGATTGGTATTGGTAAAGAAGTTTGAAGTTTAAAGATCAAAATATCTCATAATGCTTCAATAATTGCTTTATATAATAATAAGTTCAAAGGCTACACTTCCTCATGATGTTCCAATAATTGCTTCCCGTAATAAGTTCAAAGGTCAGGGGCTAAACTTCCTAATGATGCTCCAAGAATTATTTCCCATATTAAGTTCAAAGGTCAGGGGTTAAAGTTCCTCATGATGCTTCAATAACTGTCTCCCATAATCTGTGGCATCAGAATCTACCCAGTCCACATAATTATTCAAAATTTCTTCGACTGATAATTTATCGTCGTGATCTGAGTCTGATTCTTCCATTAAATGTTCGGCTTCCTCACGTGCTAGTATGGAGTTGTCTGGCGCCATCCAGAGGACGATCTCCTCACCTGTTAGTAGAAACAGTGAAAAAATTGAAAGTTGCAAAAAATAATGATTAGTCTGCTTCCAATTAATTGCCAATAATAACCTTGTTTTGTCTGATTAAGTTAGATTAAGAACTAACAAAAGCTTACAGATATACTTCTATATACTGCTATTTCGTAGAAAAAGCTTCTGTTTTTTATTTCATTGTTTTTTAAGTAAATATGCCCAGCGATGCGATATATAGCGACAAATTGACAATGAAGTTACAATAAATCGTCAATATTACAATACTTCATTTGTTCAGTGCAGGGGTGCACATTTTCATTGACGAGACATATAACGAAATTTTGACATCTAGCTGGGCCATCCAAAAATGTGAAATGCGACTATTGCTTAACCTCACAGTAATAAACCCACTGGGCAAAAAAATTCAATGCAGCGAGAGAATAAAAAATTCATTATTCATTTTTACCCTATGAGCTGAGTATTAAACAAGGGCCACACTAAAAGGCTTGGCCTGTTGCACACCCCTTGTTTAGTGCTTTATTTAAAGCAAATATAAAACACTTTAAAAAACAGTCATCAGTTCACTAGGGGTCTTACCCTTCAAAAGTCCATCCTTGTTGGTGTCGAATTCATGTTGAAATTTTTCTTTTTCAAAAACTGCCCATTCTGGGTCGCCTTCATCTGCTTTCTTCCTGTGAAAGATTGAAAAATATTGAAATTGTGAATCTGATATTACCACATATGGTAGAGTAACTAATATTATGATATTATGAGAATAAAAAAATTTATTGGTGCTCGTTTGTTATCGGGCTCTGAAGTTGATATTTTGTGATAATTTTACCAAAAAACTCATCACGAACAAAATCTTATAAATTAAGAATACGAGAAAATTTGTCTCTGAGTAAAGTTTGATATGAACGCTGAAAATAACTAGAAATAAGCTACAAATAACAGATAGTAAAACAAAAATATGTGGATATATAATTTTTTATGTATTTTTTATTTTTAATCAGCTCCATGACACCACTGCTCTACAGGCTTGAATTAGAAACTTACTGATAATCTCCGAGGAATTCTTCTAGGTCTATTGCACCATCTCCGTTCAAATCTGATGAATCTAGTACTTCTTCGATCACGATATCCCGGGTTTTTTCATGAAGTCTCGGATGTTTGAAATATTGAAACTCTTGCAAATCTAATCCTCCACTTTGGTCAAGATCAGCCACTTCAAATCTGAAAAGAAATAAGAGAGCGGTGCTTAAATAGGCTATATGGACACAAAGTCCGAAACAAAGTACTTTTCGTTCTGGTATAAATTAATCTCAAAGTTTCGTGCAGTGTCGCGTCAAATCGGAAACAAACACCACGTTTGGCGAATCACGGTGAGAACTGTGTTCATATGAAAAATAAAAACGTAAAATAGCCAATAAATTTCGAATAAGAACTGTGACTTGGCATAGGATTTAGCAATCTTATCAGCTTTCAGTCCATGCATCTGAAAACAACTAACAGGCTAACTAATCCCATACCTGACATTGACTGGACATGAGTAAGGGTAACCGGACCGGCCCGTGGTTCGCCATATCATTAAGCCATCTTTATCAGCTTCTCCGCTTCCCCGGGATAAATGTTTTAATTCTATCCTCTCCTAAGATATAGCTAAGCGGATGAAAAACCTTGTTCCCATAAAAAATGAACTAAAATTTTGATAAAAGAAAGCTATTGCTTAGTGTAGGATTTTACAATCTCATGAGTATTCCTCTCCAAAGATAAATATAAAAATTCCTATTCTAGTACTCCTAATAAAACTCACTTTCTCCTTTCCTTTTTATACGTTGCAACAAAGTCTGACCATTCATCTGATGGAGGATTGATAAAATCCGGGGAGTCTTCGTTGAAATCATCTCCGTAGGAGTCGAGGGCATATTCTGACCACTGGATGAATTTGTCATTGTTTGTATCAATACCAGAGAAGGAGTTTCTTGTGTCTTCTGTTTCGAATAAATCGTAGGATCGAACCGCCCATGCTACTAGTTCATCTATTGAAACATATCTAAGAAAATGAATTAGAATTTTGAAAAGTGTTAGTGTTAGAATCAAGCTTGCCAACGGGATTCAATTTCAAAAATGTTTTGTTAGCAAATTGCTAATCACAGCAAGAGCATGGCCACGGAAGAGGGGCAATTTTTTCTCATAATGACGTAATATGATGCACACTCGTGCCTTTTGCTCCGAACGAAGTCAGATAAAAGGAGTCACTGATATCCAACAATATCTTAAAGAACAGCTCTACAGACAGACTTCGCAGTCGAAGCATATAAGCACGAATTTTCATCTATCTCGTTTGGGTTATTTCGTGAAAGAATTAATATTAGCAAGCAAGAAAAGGCCGGTTTTCAGTAAATCGATCAAAAATAGAGCAAAATGGTGTTGGAAAAGGAGTATGAATTCATGTTTTACTGCAAATGCCGCAAAATGGCATTTAAATTGTTGAAAACTTGAGGGGGGGATGGACATGTTCCCTCAGACCCCCCTGGCTACGCCTATGAATCACAGGTACCAGTAAAAAAAGTCAAGGCCCAGTACTAGCCACCACCAACAAATATGGAGCCAGTATATAATGTTTTTACACGTCTGCAAAACTTTTTTACAAATTCTTTATAGTCCTTAGTTTAGCTAATTCATAAAATATACCTATCCAACACAGAAAAATTGAAAATAACGCAATAAAAAGAATTTAACATCAACTTATTCTGCTTATGCCACTTTTATTTTCCCTGTTTGGGATGACTTTTAAATGAATAACGGAATGGAACTGCAAAACCCTGCTTTTTACAAATGCTATAAATTTTATGTTCATTTACCCATCTTTATCCGTATCAATCCTGTTTTCCACCAATTTTCTCAATTTTTCTTTTTGTTCGAGGGGGGACATATTTTCAACTGCGTCATCGTCGTCAATATCATTTTTTTCATCCCCCCATATGACATCACGGTCAAAATCTACGTTATGTTCTCCGTCCTGGAATTGAACGAAAAACTGAGAATAAAAGCCTTGTCCAGTCAATGTCCACCCATACCAGTATGGCACAGTTCCCCGATTCCAAGAATAGCCCCCACATTAAAAGACATTAATTATAACAGTGCCGACCCCTCCTTTATGAGACATTCTGGGCCTACATATTGGCATTTGAGTCGAATTCTATAAAACTGTTCATAAACATTCAACTCTAATTCCAGAGTTAAGAATGACAAAATATAAATTAACGTTATAATACTCTATTGAAAAAAGCAGAATAATTTAATGTAATATGTTTGATGAAGATGCTGCCAAGTTATGGTTCAGTACTCAAAAAAAAATTAAAATTTCTAAATTTGTACATCTATACCACTTACCTTAATGTGACTTTCCTTTACTTTGTTGACAAATTCGTCATGATTGTCTTCACGTTTGGTTACGGTCGCTTGAATTGTAATAAGAGATACAAACAGTATGACTAAATGAAGACCTGCCATAGGTCTAATACCGGTAACTGAAAGGAGAATAGTAACAAGTTAATGGAAGAAGTTACGGTACCGTAGTATACCGGTAGGCTTATAGAAGTTTATTTTTTTAATATGTGTAAAAACACAAAGGTCACCATGCAATATAATTCCCATCACATAAATGTACAATCTGACAATAGTTACGCGAAAGTGAAAATGGCAATTAGCAAATGAATATTTTACACCATTCTTCCATTATTAAAACATTGGCATAATACAGTAATAATTCCTTAACATATTTGCTATCATTCCTGCGAACTAAGTCTGTGTTTCAAACCCCTTTTTATTTGTGCCCCCTCCCAAAAAAAAAAATAAAATAAACAGTTACATGATTTGTAAATAAAAATTATGCAAGTCATCAAAAATTTTTTTATTTTACACCTCTGCAAGGTTCGTATACTGGTATATATTAACTAAATGTAGCATGTAGGATCGGACAGGATAATACGGCTTAACCATATCCATATGACGAATCACGGCATTTGATACAGAAGCACCGGTAGGCTATGTTAGTCGTTGAGAAGCACACACGACGCTAGCTAAAAATAGGATTTCTTGATGACCTTTAACCCTAACTGATAGTTGCCATTAGGACTGGGAATGGTTAACCGGTAGTTGCCATTAGGACTGGGAATGGTTACCCGGTTAACTGACATGTCTGGCATAAATCATCTTTAGAATGTACAATTCCTTCCAAAAATGATTGGTTCATCACAAATTTATTTTCCGTGGCATTTAATTCAAATATAACTGATTATGAACGTTTAATAAATGATAAAATCAGTTTTTTGGTCGAAATATATTATTCACGATTTGATTGCAAAAGCGTCTATCCAATGTCACCCAACAAGTGCGCAGTCGGTGCTGTTTTTCTTTATGATATTTCAAAGTAGAATTTGCACATACAGTACTGGAAATTTGTAACGTAAATGACATTTAATAACGGAATCAGGTTTTGCTGAAATACTTCCATGTCCGAAGCACGCAGCATATCTTACAGAATACAGATCATGACACTATCACGATTTGTGAATAATTTCGAACGATACCATTGTGACGTAACGAGCTAAAATTATATCGCGATGCAGTTAGTTAACCGGTTATTCTGTACGTTTTAAACCTTATCCAAGGTTTTGTTTGCTCTCCTAATTTTATAATCAGTATTTATTTATTTGTTTTTATCAATCTTTTAATCGCCTTTTATGCTGATTATGGAGTCGAAATAAACTTATCTATTTTATTTCAAAGGATCGCCTGATCAGACCGTCGTGTGCGGAAGTGATATTGGACGATGGAATACTGGAACAAGAAATATTTGGACTAAAATTTGGAAAGCAGGACAAACATAGATCCTTATGAGAAGATACATACAAACTTAAATCAAAACGATGCTGGTAAATTTGCCAGTAACCTTGGCCTCCCCCACGCAGGAGGGCTAAAACAGTATTTTTAAAAAATAAATACAAATGATATTTAATCTAAATAAGAAATAAATTGAACATGTAATAAAATAACACATGCCAATATAAAATAATGCGGCTCATTTAACTGGGTCAGCCTCCCCAAATTATGATAGGTACCACTCGCCTTTTACTATCAACCAAATTAAGTGACGAGAAGGTGTGAAGTGGTCTACATCGACAATATCTCTTAGTCGGATCAATGACATTAAACAACATGATGCGCAACTCCGGCATTTTTGGCCGAAGATCGTATCTGATAGCACGCTCCAATGCACATACTTGACGAGACGAAAACGAGCGAATGTGTGCTGCTTTCAAGGCATAGCACGAATGGTGTTCGTGCCTGATTTGACAGTTGTCGATTTTAATGATATTTTGGGAGGTTGAGGTAAAAAGAAATTGGAAAAAGGTATAGGCCGCGAGCCGAGGCCATTTATCTTTCAGTTTCGTAGCGCACATAAGGTAACTACCTGAAAATGATTTTAAAATGTTCCTTAGAAATTTAGTAACAAATATTGCCTTGTTCCCACTTCCAAAAGTTGCACGTTTTACAGAAAAGACGCTTTTACTACAATAAATATGTGTTACCATCTGTCCTATTTTCTCTTCTTTTCCGATATCATGGGCCAATGAACGCAGACTTCTGCATAACGTAACAATCAAATTAGTCAGCTGTAGGTGGATCCCCAGTGGTCGGATGAATATCAGATGTACTACTACTGGTCGCTTTTGCGTTGAGTAGCCTTTCCATAGTTTTTTTCAGTTATTATTAGTTCAGTTATTCTAAGGAGGTGTTGAAAAGTATAAGTAAGATATTAAACATTTGTATATCCTTACCATAAATAGCAATTTTAGTTGAGCACTAGCTCATAAGACGTTGTTAAATAGGTACGGTGCGGTAACTCCAAGGAAGGCTAGACCTAGAATAATGTGTCACAAACAACGATATTTTCTGGCTTGCATGAAATGTTCATGATTAATTTAATGACTCTTCTTGACTATTCAGCAGATTTATACTACTATATAGGCCACAGCATATTTGGAAATAGAAATTAATGGCTGTTTCTGTAATGCACGGTTGTGTGAAAGAGAAGGAAATAATCAATTTTACTAATGTCGGTTGGTCTAAATCTAAATTCATAGAGTCGACAAGAACCTGGAAAGCAATGATAAGTTATGCCGGAGTGGAAAGAAAGTAGCATTGGAAACGATTGAGAGGTGAGAAATCAAGTTGTAGACAGACAGTTGATGTTTTAAAATATAGTCTATAGTCCATACTCATACTGTCATAGGGCATTTCAGACTGTGATATATCAAAATTTAGTGTAGATATAGTCTAGTAATCGTATGCAAACACTGCTGGACTGTAGTACATGCAGTGAGCATATATACGCTCATTGAGTAAATCAGATAAAATGCATTATGTATTCAAGGTATTAGTTAGTATTTAGTGGTATTTTTACACTCGTGCTGTTCCAAATATGATTTTCTTCATCATTTTAGATACTGTACTACAAAAGAAAACGGCAATGTTTCACCTAATCTGACCTAACGCAGGCTCTAATCCCTGCTGCTATCAGTGCTATAAAATGGATTAAACAAGAAGTCTTGAAGCGTAAAGGTATATGAGAATCATAATAGTTGCAAACCGCTTATATGGGCTATTCATATTGAAATACTTTAGCACTTTTCTGCAATTGGAACTGCCCATCAAACTCATGTTGGAGACTTCATTGAGGTTTTCAATTCATTTTTTTCTCAACTATGAAGATCTTTTGAGGTTAACGAGGCATTAATAAATAAAGCTGAGGAATTTGTTTGTTCACTGTATGAAGAGGATATGAAGAATGTAAATGATACCAGGGCACGTCTATTTAACACTGGCAAACATAAGGGTTATACTCCTCCAACCAACAATGATTCACTGAAGAAGCATGTGGCCCTCAAATCAGTTCTTGAGTTGGCAAACTGCAAGTGTAAGAAAAATAGTCAAAATAATTTATGCAAGTGTGCCAAAATCAACTTAAATTGGACAGATTTTTGTTTTTGTATTGACTGCAAAAATCACAGTACACTTATAGAGGAAAAGTCGATTTTCCTGTTTCTAGAAATAATATTGCCTTTGTTCAAATACATACCCACATAAACTAAAAAAAGACTAATTGTAATATTTCCGTTCACTATGTTGTGTACATATTGTACATTCATTTTCTTGACTTTTCCGGTAAATTTCTAAGTGAGAAATAACTGATTTATTTGTGTTTTCGTGCTCACGATGTTAATTTGTGACTTCGTTGCTTAAAAATAAATACGTTTGATAGCTTTTATAAAATGGATGTAGCTTTTTATGCTGTTCTTGTTGTAAACTGCTTGTGGTTATTACATAAAATTTATTTGCTAATGTGAATCAGCGTTGTTGGTGTCGCTGCTTTCGATATCACTCGCGACTCCTGTCACACAATTACAGTATTTTTTGTTGTTGGTTACATGTATACCATATTTTTCGTCGTAATCTACCTAATAAATTATGATTGACTGAGGAAGTCCGATTTTGGTCAGGCAAAACATTACAGGAATACATTTGTGTTAGTGTGCTGTAGGGCTCTCGAATTGCATAGTTCTTATGTATGCGTTGTAAACTTATGGTTATTGAATTTCCGGGAACCTCTTATATTCAATTTCGCATCAGGAATGTGGAACAAGCTGTAATACGTTCAGTATGTTCATTTTCACACAAAACTGAAGAATCTATTTAGTTACCAGATGTGCGCTACGAAACTCATTTTCTGGGCGTTTCCAAGCCTTCGTCTCACGGCCCATATCCGTGGTAAGGATCTACAAGTGTTTAATAACTTACTTATACATTTTTCAACAACGTCTTAGCATAACTTAACTAATAATAACTAAACAGGCCTATGAAAAGGCTGCCCAACTCAACGCAAGGTCGAGCAGTAATAACTAATATTCATCCGCTCGCTAACAGCTGATTCGATTCAATTGTTACGTCATGCAGAAGTCATTGTTCATTGCCGAAAATGTAGAGAATATAGGACAGATCGTAGCACATATTTCTTGTAGTAAAAGCGTCTTTTCCGTAAAACGTGCAACTTTTGCAAGTGGGAACAAGGCAATATTTGTTACTAAATTTTTAAGGAACATTTTGAAATCATTTTCAGGTAGTTACCTGATGTACGCTACGAAACTCACTTTCTAGGCGTTTTTCAGGGCCTCGGCTCGCGGCCTAGTAAGGTAAATATCATTGTTGTATATCACACCCGGGCATCGCACTGTTAAGTACATGTGGGGAAAACCAGCTTTTGTCAAATACTACGAAGTTATTATTTCAGAACGGTACGTAGTTGCCCATTTGCCGAAATTGCATATTTACTTACCCCTTATGGGTTCAAATAGTTCATGCACCTTCATTTAGATTTTTTTTATTCAGTGAGGATATATACTCATTGCTGTAACCTACTATTGCTCATTCACTTTTATTTGCGTATTGAATCAAAGGGTTAACAAGT